TCTGAGCGTTGCGGCAGACTGAAAATAGAACCAATCTGGAAAAGACGTCTTAAGATAAACCTTATTTTCTACTTCAAGCTAACTAATCTCCTCTTGCACTCGTCCAGGCCAACAACTAAATATACCGATGTCATCAGTTGCGATCTTAAAAATCAAGACAACCTAGTTGCAAAAGAGCACTGTCAGACTTACATGCGGTACAACTTCTTAAATAAGTTTGCGGTCATTTTGAATAGACTACCAGCTGATGTGCGTGATGCATGCACTCCCGGTGTTCATCTCCTCAGTTACTAGACTGCTCAAACATGATAATGCACTCCTGTGTCTGACTCCTACACCCTGTTTTTCACCCTACATAGATATCTTAAGTTCATTAAACGTATGAGTTACAACAAACTACATTAATAAATTTTAATATTATTGGAAGTACATGATAAAAATGTCTACACAGGCCATTAATATTATTTCACACACAATATACAAGTTAGTATAACAGGGCTAGTTAGCTCATGAACCAAAATAATCATAGTTACCTTCGAAGAATATATACAAATTTATAAATCACTGTTTGAGGACTCCACTTGCTAGCTTCTGTGCTGCTGTCGTTTGCCTTCTTTTTACTCTCACTATTTCGGCTTCTATATGAATTTTTGAATGGGGATAAAGAATACAGATATTAGACCACTTACAATAACAAATGATCTGCAAACATTGCTGGTCCCATATCCTACAACTGCCTCGTGAATCACCCATTACCTTCCCCCACGACACATCCTGTATTACGGTTGTGGAATATACCTTTATTCCAGTGAATAAATCCCAATAACTATCTGTTCGGCGCCAGTAAATCTGGTTATTTGAGAAATAATGATCACATGCTGATGGTTGCATTTGGAATCTCGCTGACTCACGTGATAGTATTTTCCACGTCCTGCATGCTCTTAATGTCATTTTCGATGGATTGATTCTCCATTATTCTGATTTCTGATTTCTGGTCGCACATGAACTGAAAATTACCTATTGTTGCAACACTACTTCTTTGTATGTTTTTTTGGACACTTGCTGCTGTGTTTCTCATGAGGTTCTTCTATTCCTGTAATAGCTTTTAATAACGTGGCAATATAGCACTCAACCAAATATATGCTGTTCACTGTTTGACCATAACTAGCAGCAGGAAACGGAACGAAGTTTCGGTTGGCGCTCAACTTTGATGGTGACTTCAGTGAAGGGTTTACAAAATAACATTTATGCGAACCTAATCTGATTGCTTGTACTATCATTCAACAATTTAAAATTTTGAAAAAGTGCTAATTAATGGTACTTCACGATCTTAATTTACGATATAACTGATCGTGCCACTAAAAATGGCATGCATTTCTTGTAAACTTAGCCGTTTATACGTGACATAAATTTTTATCATAAATCATTTAGCGTTTAGCTAAATGTACCGTCGATTCCACATGGTTATTTGGCTCTCAACATTCGTTTATTAACTGTAGAATTTAGACCAACCTTTCGTTTACGTATTAACCCCTGTATTAGGCTGATTATCACAAGATATTAGTGGTTTTCATCCTTACTATCAGCGACTAAAGCGCTTGGGTATTCTGCGTGTTGATATCAAAGTGCTTTACTTTTTATGCAAGAGAAAAATACTTACAAAACAAGATAGTGTCACGAAATCCTGCTCAATCTATTGGTGCCAGTCACAGTGAAAATTCCCATCAATTCAAACCAGTTTACCGTTAGCTGGAGGCAACAACCCCTGTCGTGGCCTAGACGTCTGCTTGTTGACAGAAGACTGGAGCAGCAGAATCAGAAGTATTGTTGTACCTTATACTGACGTTAATTGTAGTATTTTTCAGTGTGTTGTTAATAACCGGCTGAGGACAACGTAATCGAACTGTTGTTTACTACACCCGCTTTATTGGTTTATGCCTGGTGGATCAATTAATCTTCGACGGCAAGCGTTGAAAAAGAGTTGGTTATTGTATGCAAAAAACAGTATTCTGAGCTCCGAAGAATTGTCTTCTGACTATGTGTTTTTCTGATGCCGTTATTCACAATTGGTCTTGCTTTGTTTAAGTCTACCGAGCGAAATCATTGTGTGAAATGAACCACTCTGTTATGTTATTAATAGTAAGTCGCCAATGTCACTCGGCAGTCTGGCTTGTAAGTTATCGGAAGAACGGGACAGCTTACTATTTATTCGTACTCCTTTTCAAATGCTTTATCAGCTGAGCGGGTCAGGAGCTGTAACTTACTCTGTCAAAAATTACTGCTGATGCTAGAAGACGACTCTTTAGAGCTAAGAAAACTACTTAGTCACTTAATCCTCAGCTAAACTTAGGCGCGACTGAAAGTAAAGGACGGACGGGAACTTCGAAGACTTATTGATCAACCGAAAACAAAACAAGACGTTGGGGTTAATGATACGGCAGTTTGACCTTGTAATTCTCATAAATACACTGCAAAAGTCCACAAATAAATGTCAATATATTGCAAGTGAATAATTTTGATCGTACCTCTCTGGCTTTGAGTTAACTAGAAGACGTCGAGGCAACAGAAATGATCGTCGCCTTCAAGGACAGTGAAAACAGCTGGAGTAAGTGAGGCAGTTAGGCATTCATTCAGCGTTAACCAATGTGGACAATTTTTGTAATTTAAGCCAGCGTTCATTATAAGTTTACATTAAAAAACCCATATTATGATTCCCAACAATTATTAGAAGTTTAAACATGTTCATGTCCATGAAGCGGCCTGTTTCTCTTCAGGAAATAAAATGCCAACTACATTTACTACTACTTTACCAGGAGGTAATCAAATGACACCTTGATAACGCCGTAAAGAAACAAACAAAAGCGATGACTTCATTTTCTCCACATCATTTGGCAGGAGCTATCAGGAGAACGGGGAACTTAATGTGAGTGCCTATACTTAAATAGAGTCACAGCATAGAAATTCAGAACTACCCTAGATGAGCTGAAGTATATCTAGCTTCATCCTGAAGTGAGAATAGTGTTATCAACTGACGTTTATCGCAAGTAATTGAAAATGCTACACTGAAGCGTTTAATGCTACTGTCAACAACTTAACCGGCTTTATACAATGGTTAGCACTGCTATATAGAACTGCGCAGAGGGACGAAAAATAGCGAAAAGTTTCAATTAAATGATTACTATTTTTATGTATAATCAGTGCCTTAGTTTTTTAGAAAAGTTATCACACATGGACGCTCTAAACGCTAGTTCTAGCAAGGAGTTAAAGAGACCACGAATGTGCTGCGAAGTTTCGTCGTCTTCGGGGGGGAAGCGGTAAAGTCGGACATGTGAAGATTTTACAGTTCATGGTTTCACATCCTTGCCATCAGCTTTAAGGGAATGGCTAATCTTGGATACACGGAACGTTGCACCTACAAATACGAAGTGGTGCAACTATGTAAAACAACTCAAAAACTTGTGTGAGATGCACTGAGTAATAGATTGCTCTCAGGGGGTCATGCAGTTGTTAAAACTTAATACTTGTTGTAAGATCAATTGAATTCCCAACCTTGAATCAAGTCAACCTGTCCCGGATCAGCCTAGCGTTGTTGCAACCCAATTATCCATGCCTAACGTGTCTATCCCCCCATGTTTAATGAACTGTGTGTGTTTTTACATCGATCCGTTTAGTCAGACAGTTGAACTCAGACCCAATCAGAGTATTTTTGTGAACTGTTATTTTGCTGACCCATGTCTTACTTTATACTATTCTGTCAAGTTTATCTCATTTATTGATCTTCATCTGTATCAGCCTACCTGGTTAAGTAGCCAATTAAATTCTATCTTTGTGCCTATGCTCTGTCTATCTCTTACTTCGGTTCATTCTTCTACTGACTGCTTACCTGAACAGTCGTGTCTGATTCCGGCTAGTTCGCAATTTTGGCTTTAACGTTATTCCGCTCTGATAGCGGTACCTTGCTTTCTGTTAAGCGTTGTGCTTTGTACTCTTGAAACCGTTAAGGTTTGCTATATGTATAATTATTGATTTGTTTATTAATAGTAGCGTAGAAACAGTGACCGGCTTCTTGTTTGCTCTGGACCGGGATATCCTTTATCTACACGTGACTTAATTTCAAGCGATATTGCGCTTACACTTGTAAATCAAATAATAATAATCCTCATTGGAACTTCACTAATTATCTTACACTGGCCAAACATAAGGCTGTAGTCTGCTGCTGTTTACAGTAACAAGAGAGTAGTGGAAGCATCTTACAAAAGTGTCACTTGCCCTGAATTTAGGGTAGGGAATCAGAAAATCAGGGCCTGCATATTCATAAGCGACGTACATACATCTCGGTCGTTGACATTATTTGCAGTAATTAGCGAGTTCATAGCTCCCCAAGTAATATAATTAGCCATCCCCATGGAGTTTGAGTACGCAGCTGCTCTATCGCAACCAGCTTTATGTAAGCTTTTATGGTGGATCCTCCTGGAGAGCGATAGGATGATTGGAAAACTCTGATAGATGGCAGCCAGACTTGGAGATTCTGGAAGACTGGGTGCTGGCCAAGGATATGACTTTCAATCTTAAAAATGCAAAGCAGTGCAACCACACACGCATACGCCACAGAGAGCAAGTTAATCCCTGTGCAGCGTAAGAGAATGGTTTATGTGCAGTTTGACCGCACCTCACGACCGATGAGTGAGTACATCAAATCCTTTAGCAGTGTGCTATCAGCACAGCGTACACTACAAACTACATAATACAAATTGCAGCACTACTCCTCTTGGAGTCAATCAAAGCTATCACAGTTGAGTGGTGGGACACAGTACGCAGAAGTTTACTGATGACTAGAAACCTTCAGTTCACAATCAAGAAGCGAACACAAAGAAATCAAATTGCTTTGTACTAACTCGTTAAAGCAATATTGGATATTGGAAGTACTGTTAATTAAATTAATTTGTTGCATAAATTCAAATGTGTTACATGTTTCCGTAGTCTGACTCGTTTCACTGATAATGGATGAAAACGCTATTTTTGTATTGAACATTCTCGAGCAACGAACAGATTCATCTTCAGATCTTACTTTGAGTGCTTTGGAGCAGTTATGCCTGCTAGTTTTGCAAACAGAAAACAATGATGAATTGAACAAACACTACCCTCCTGCATCCTTTGTTCCTATTCTGGCGAAATTGTTCCTAGATTTCGACTGCTGTCCCTCAACTTTAGAGGCAGCCTCAAGGGTCATAACTTATTATATACAGAGCTTACCAATAGAGTCAGCCTTAAGCCTATTCAGTGTCGATGGTGCTGTATGTGCTATATGTATCCGACTGGAGAGTAGTAATCTTCACAACCAAATAGAAAATGACTTATCTCAACAAATTATAAAGGTAGAGTCCCGAGAGCTTAAAGTGTTTTTTTTAGATTCTAGAAGAGTTAGCGAAAAGAGACACTAATATATATAAACTTGTAATTGGCATGCCGTGTGTTTTCGAATTTATATCAAAATACTGGAGAAGGATACATCTTGACACTCTAAGGTATGAGATTTTGCCTATAGTTGGCATCTTAATATCTGCATATGTATATTGGTTATGACTGTACAAACACCTTGTTGTTTTCTTATGATGGGATAAGAATATATACATATATATTAATATTATTAATAATATATATTATTACTTATATATACTACTTATAAAGATATCCTTATAAGTAATAGGCACTATCCTACTACACCATCAGGAAATCATTTATGGGAACATCTGAATTCGCTGAAGTGAAGAAAACAATAATGTTTAAGTATTCATCAAAGTATTTTGTAGTAATAAACTTTGGAATAAGTACACACTAGGTAGAAATAAAGTAATTCATGAACATCTCTTGGAGGAACAAGGAAATGCAAATGCAATATACACTGAAAAATCGAAACTCAACCTATAATCGTTCAAATCGAGGTTAACCAACTGATTTATAGCATTTCGAAGGGTGAAGGGATTCTTTAATGTTATCATAACCATGGCATAATATCAGTAGGTGAAAGGAAATTCAGTTTAGAGGGATGGTACTCCACCTTTTTTGTCTGTCCTGTATTCTGTTAATTTAAAATAAATACATTACTGTTCCTATCTCAGTAAAATAGATTAAATCAAGCTGTAAATTAAAGTCTATTATAGAAAATATCTCTTCTTTGTCAGTACTATAATGAGGATAACAGGTGATTTGTATTAATGGATATCACCGAATATTTTACGGATGTTAGAAGGAGAGTTTACAATGTTTCCGGAAACTTCTTTGTTCTCATATACCAGAAAACATCTGACTCTAACATTATGTCATGCTAACATCCAATCTAATGAACGTGTTTATGGTAGTTTTAATAAATTATAACATAATAAAATGAATCGTATAAATATGTATATACCTACGTAGTTTTATTATGACTGGAGGTAACTGATGTCAACATATTGCATTTTAAACAAAAGCTTGGATTTTTTCTGTCACAGTGAGCATGTGGAAAATCACATTTTCTTTATGAAGACGACTAAGCAAACTAAATGCTCATGTGTAATATATGGCGTAAAAAACTGTTAGTACTCTTATACACCTAAGAGGTGAAACTTCTCAATTGTTTTTCTCGTTGGTAGTGAAATAATTAGTTGACTAGTAAAAAGACTTTTAACTTAGGCAAGTATACATGCTAACCAAAAATCTGGGAAATTAATAAGGCTGGTTAATTACATTTAACAACTGAGAGAAAATTTCTCTGGATGAACAATCTTTACTTATGGTAGTTCTTTTGTATTGTATTCAGCATTTTAAATTACCCACTTTCTTCTACTGTGGTAAAGTGGAAAATAAATTCATGGAACTGAATTATCTTGCTTTGTCAGATGTATATCGACATAAAATTCATGTGATGAATATCCTTTTACTTCTTTTTGTTATATAAGAATTTTTTTACTTGTCAGTTTTCGGTGCATTTCATAAATATTTGTTGATCAACTGAACATTTACATACATTTGCATTGACCACCCACAGAAGAGTATAAGTTTTCTTGTTGAATGAGAAGTCCAAGATATCTAATGCTGATTCTTTTCCAAAGTCCAGGATACCCTATTTATACACGGCTTTGCTAGGCTAGTTACGGAAATACCCACAGTGTTTATACTGATCCAGTCAAAAGAATACAATGTAAGTAAAAATGCAAATTTCCTCGGTGGGGATGAGGCCTCGCATAAATTCCTTGGCACTATCTGCTTTTATCTCATAGCGTGACACCTGAAATCTTTTTGATAGTAATCATGAAAGCTAGATTACGAAGAACCAAACTCACCATTAATTAACACTGAAAGTTACTCGTTGATAGCACTCCAGGTGAAGGTCAGTGGACTAACAGAATATTTTCTACTCAAGCTTTTGTTTTTAACCACTGTGTCAATAGGAGATTTACTGAGATAGTGGCAGGCAGTAAGCGGAGAATAATTAAATAAAGCGTCTATGATGGAAGATGAGTAATTCATGATAACAGTATACAAGTGCTACTTCATAACTCTGAGAATCGCAAGTAATAATTAAAAAGAAATTAGATATATTAACAGTATGGAATAATAATCTTCTGAAATATCTGCGAGACTTGAGACATAACTGAATATCACTGTCTACGTCCTTTTTCATATATTTTATGTGCCTGTAGCCAGATGGAGCCTACCTAAGATCTAATTTATTCATTTCAGATCTGGATTACTTGTACTTTGTAAACTTTCACCATTCCTTGATACATGGTTAAAGGGTGAATTAGGCAACAGTTCTGTTTCCTGGACATCGAATTCTGGAATGCCTACTGTAGCATTCAGTCTTCAGTGTTGGATAGCAAATTTGATAGAGCTTATTTCTCATCGTGACTCTCAAGTATCATTTACTAGCCTAGATTGTTTATACATAGTTATCAATTCATGTCAGCGTTTACCAATTTCCTGGAATGTACTGGAACTGCTTGTTACAAAAGTGAATCTGATAGAAAAGCTGTTGGGCTTATTGTTACCTATTGGTGGAAGAATTGGGGATAAAAGTGATAATGCTGAGAGTTGTTGTACAAATACTTCGTATTCTTTACAAAGTGAGTATATGACCGTTTTTTTAAAACATTTTTATGAATGTTGCTTTACTTTGTAATCCGTACAGTTGGTGGAAGGCTTTTCAGTTTTATAGTCTGTTAAGGCATATTAAAAGCAAAAACCAACTACAGGAGTGGCAAATTTGAACATATAGTTGAAGGAAATATAAGTAGTGGTAACGCTACTTATACAGTATGTTGCTGCAGAAATTGTTTGGAAACACATCCTTCAAATCCACCAGACTTTAACCCGACTTTATCTGTGTCAGTAAAGTAAAAGTACTCACTATGCGGTTCGAAATAAAGCGGGATAGAATAAGTTCTTTCTTGTTGACTTGATCTCTGATGTCTATTCGCAATCGATACGAAACATTCCCAATGAAGAAAAAATGAGAGAATTATGGGTTGAAACTGTGACCAGTAATCTTTTGACGTTGAATCCCTTGGTGGAAACAGTCCCCTTAAAAACTCGGTGACAATATATCTGCCTGACGCCGCTTCAAATATAGAGACTGAAATCACTTCTTTTTGGGTTGTAGATATGACTTCCTGCCAGTTTCCTCCAATCACCTGACATCTAGATCAGTGGCCACATCTCACACTCAACTGATCGAATTCTGCCAACATCAGGACTAGGATCAGAAGCATGACATTGGTTATACGCCAGTGATCAGCCATTGTAATTCCTCTGCTACATTAGGTTAATACTGGATTCATTGTTTCTGGTGACAGCAATACCAGAGGATTGACGATAGGTTGCTTTATGTTGCCAGTGTTTCTCAAGTTATCAGTAGGTTATTTTATAGAGATTAAAATACCGTGCAATATCATATATGTGTTTGCAAATGATAAGTTGTACAAAAAAGTCATTCACCAAACAAATAATGTAACATAGTATTAGTAATATTATGAGTGAAGGCTTTTAAAAAAGCATTTCTAGTATTCAAAAAGCTAATATAAGGGTTGTAATTGAGGAGATTTTTCATGTGGTGAGGGTTATTAATTTAGAAATATACGTCGATGTTTTTTTCACATATTTTTGTTTGGTATGAATTCACACTGTAATGACAGCGGTTAAACCAAAATGGCGTCTACTCATGAAGCCTTCGACTATTGGTTGGCTTGTATGTTTGAAAATCATTCTGCACGGAGTGAGAGGACTTATTTTATAAGATCTCCCAGAATTAATTGGCCAGTGAGTCGGGTTCAAGTGGCCGGATGGTCTAGGAGCTTGCCTTGTAACCGGATGATTCTGAGTTCTAAACCTGGTGGCTGTTCCTCAAACTAGGACGACATAGTTGTCCAATATTCCTCAGTTTTCAGTGGTTCTCTAAGTGAGATCGTTCTGTGATCTGAATTGAAACGAATCAAAACTCTAAAATCTAACTCTTGAAAATAATTTCAGTTTCATTTGCTCTCTTTTCTGTACTTTTATGAAGTATGATAACTTGAACTGTTATACTTTCGTGAAAAGTTACACATTGAAATCTAGTTCGGTTAAGCTCAACGGATTAACATATATTTAAGGGAATAGTTAAACACTTGACGCATTAAGAACTCTTTCTACTTAAGAAATTAGAAGTTTACTTAATTTAGAGCTCTGTTTCACATTAACTTTTATGTGATCCTTATTATGCACAGAAATTGTATTATACTTTGCATTTAGCATAGTTTATGTATTTTCCGTTGATTGTTTCTAAATATATAAATGCCAGAGTAAGCTGTCATAAATTTAAACATCTATCACTGATATATATTCTGTTACAGGCAGCTAATATAATGTAAACCAGATATTTGAATGAAGCATGAAAGGTTTGTCCACAGTAAAATGGTATTATTATTATTCCCTTGCATTCTAAGTAGAACATAGGGCTTCAACAACACATTCCAACTTTGTTCTGTTTTCTGCCGTCCTCTTCAGCCGGGTCCATGGTTGACTAAACTCTCTCATCTCCTCCTCACATGATCTCATCCATGTCACCCTCTCACAGACGACCCAGTAGTCGCTCCCCATTCGGATTCCATTCAGGTGATGGCCCGGCACGTGATGTCAGTAGACTGCCTCCTCAATGTATTCCCGATCCATCTCTATTTTCTCCTACATATTTGTTGAGCGATCGGCTCTTGGCTGATTTGTTCCCACAGATTCTTATTACTAATTCTTTCTAGCCATTTCATCTTCAGCATGGAGCCAATAAAGGCAGCTGTTGATAAAAGTCCGCAACCTGTTGGAAATCCTTTTAGTGACTGACACGCCAACTTTCTGACCCGTATAGGTGAACTGATTTGACATTGGTGTTGAAAATCCGAATCTTGTTCTTTAAGCTGAGTCAGTGCAGAAGATTTTCAAACTAGTTTTAGGTTGATGAAGGTGCATCTTACCTTTCCGATTCTGCCTGACTTTGACATCCTCGTCCGTTCCGCGTGTAGTTGAAACGATGCTTCCTGGACAGACAAATGAAGGGGGCAATCTCTGCTAAATCTCTCCCGTTGATGGTGGTTGTTGCTGTTGGTGCGTGGGTATCTTCATTACCTCCGTCTTCTCTGTGTTCACCTGCAGTCCTGTTTTCGCTGCCGGTATCTTCAGTTGGTTTTCGCTTGCAGGTCTTCGAGTTTGTATTACACTAGATATATATCATCTGAGAAGTCCAGATCTTCTAGAGTCTTCTTATCGGTCAGTCCAACGTACTCCTGCCTCCTTGCCCCATACACAGTCTGACGCATAATCCAGTCCACCACAATTAAGAACATCATTGGTTCACTTCGAGCTCCTGTCTGAGTTTTCCGTTGTGGTTCATCTTTGTTTATTTCTATGGCTTCTCATCAGCCTAAAGAAATTATCAATTTCATTTACAGAACAATTTCAACACACTTGCAAGTGTTACATAATGTCAGTTGACAGGAGACTCTATAGTTAATAAAACCTTCTTAGAAATTACACTTATACAGTCAATGCCCAGTCGGTAAAGTAAAGGCTTGGATGAAATGACAGAAGATTTATTTAATAAAGATAGTAAGTGAATAAAATTATGAGTCACTGATAAATTAATTGGAAATTTAGTGAGTTCAACTCAAATCATAGAAACAGAAGACAAATGAAGTTACACTATATCAAAATGAAGGTGGGGGGGAGAAGTTAAATAAAACCAAAGATTACACAATCAAATGAGAGAGTAAAGACATCCAGTTATCAGGATAAGGAATGACTGACTGACTATTTCTTTCTGAACACATAAATCTGATTTCAGGCATCTGATAGAGATTGCTTCGCCAGACTTTAGGAGAATTAAACTATTTTGTCTTTTGGTAATCCTGAAGGATTTCATGATGTCTACCCCATGAATCATATTGATGAGATTCGTGACAGTAACAATACTGTAAACGTTTACTCCCTTGAAACATTAGCTTTTTGGCACATTTTCAGAAAATCAAAGGTAAGCTATTCTTTCTGCTTTCCCAATGTAATCGTTGCCGTAGATACATATAAATTTGTATACTCAGTTAGAGCTAAGTTGATTTTTGATTGCACAAAAGAGTATTTTGTCCAGTAGTCAACGTCACTACCTAAACTTATTCTAATAAAAGTGTTGAAGTGATGTTTTCAACGATGCCTTCTTGGATCATAAAGTGAGCCTGACCATATTATACTATTTTGTATGGTTGTATACTCTGAAAATATTTTCCTCAAAACAGAAATCTTATGTATTTGTCGTAAACGTCGTAGAAGAAGTAGCAAGGTGAAAGTCTGTCTGTGAAGTGTGCAAAAATCTTGAAATCTTAATATACTTTGTAATTCTATACTACATTAATGGCACGAAATGTTTCAACGACATGAAGGTACAGCCTTTCAGTAACTACAAACTCAGGTGAATGAAATACTGGATATAATCAATTCGACTAAAACATGAATGCATAATACACATAACTGAGTGAAATTAAAGCAAAAGTATGCAACACAAACTGTACACATGTAACGGTAAAAGGATGTCTTAGATAGTTGGAGGGAGTCAGTGGGAAGCCTTGGAACTAGGTTTCGTGCTATTTGGTACTCACCGGTCAGTAAGGCGTATCTGCAACCGTGAATGAACTCATGTCCCTTCTGCTATTCGAACCCGCGTCATTCACTGCTGCAGTCAGAGACGTTACCACCGAGCTATTCAGGCTCGCGACTAACCTCCTGTGGGATCGTAGTGGGTTTTTTGATTGGACAGAAGGGGATGTCTATCGGATATCTGGTATCTCTGTATAGCCAAATTATGCACACCTTATTTTCAAATCACCGTTTGCACAGATCTTCCGTGTTGTACTACTTCTGGCCATCATATTATGTTTCATTATGTTCCTTTGACGTTCTCCATGTATCTCCGCAACACTGTATCATTGGCTTTCTCCAACATCAAATCTATCTCACCGCTAATTAATGTTTTTATGCCGATGGTCGTCTCTTTGTGTGCTACTGATAAGATTTATCAGTAGCACACGCCACACAAATAGTAGTATAAATAGGACTGAAAACAAGCAGAAAGGAGAATACTATATATTTTAGAGTAGAAAGTAACCAATATATCAGAGTGGTAAAACAAAAACAACTGAAAGCAGTTTCAGCGGGCTGCAGACTTTCATCAAACCCTGCCTTTTCTCGAGACTGAAGATCAGATGGCCTAATCTGATGGCAAGTTAACCAACAATCTATTACCTGACAAATATGCAGAATGAAATGGAGGTGAAATGAGCATACGCAGAGGGGACCTTCAAATAGACCAAAGGTGGAAGTTACGAGTTCAAGTGTAGCATTGAGGATGTCATGTGATGAAGAGGAATTATCTGAAAGTGATTCCACAGAACAGAGTGCAATGAAGATGTGCTGCTGAAGCCTTACGTCCCACTCAGAACATTAGGAACGAATAATTAATTGTAATAAATTAAACAAACTACACTATGATTCTTGATGACAAGAATTACTGTTAAGAAAGTTTTGTATTAAATGTGTTCTTTTTACATGTCTATCAAATGAATTAGATGATCAAACTGAACATTTAGAAGAAAATGATGAAAATATCAGCAAAACAAATAACCCTGTACTAATTAATGATTCCTATGAACGTAAACAGTTAGATGGACAAAGTGCAACTCTCCTGGTAGATGCAATTTTAGTTTTATGTCAAGGAAAAATGAATCTTCTGTCAACAATTGCAAACAGTGTAGCATTGAAAAATTTATTTACCTCAGTTCTTAATGTAACATCAGTGAAAGTAAAAGATTCCAGTTTAAAGTCCACTGTACATGAAAATGTCATGTAAGTTAGAACTATAGTGATATTCTCATACTTGGTTAATGATAAATATCCCATTTCTCGTGTGGACTTATTTCTTATTTAGTATATACGTATAAACAATATACTGTTTTATTTTTTCAAGAGTTGATTTGTAAGGAATAGATTTGTTTTTCGATTGACTGATATCAGTTAGAGAACCACTGAAAACCAGCTTGGAGTGCTGGACAGCTGTTTCATCCTAGTTTAGGCATCATCGGCAGTACGCGCCCAATAATATTCGAACCCAGTGAGGTCCATCCATTCGGGAATGAGGATGGGTTTTCCGCCGATGACACTGGTTGAGTCAGATCCTGGTGACTGAATGGTATACGAGCTTGCCCTGTAGCAGCAAGGTCCTGGGTTGAAAACCCAGTGGGTGCGTGCTGCCGATGACTCCCAAACCAGGAAGAAACAGCTGTCGAGTACTCCACGCTGGTTTTCAGTGATTCTCTAACTGGTATCAATCCATGGTCAAACTCGAATATATTGCTTTGCCAATATTCATTTATCACATCTATAAGACAACTAATATCAGATGTACACTTACATGTAACTCAAGGGAGATAATCTTCCCAAAAAGTATGCAATTTGCTACATAGAAAGAAACCACAGTTAGAAAATTGAACATTTATGTCAGTAATGGATTAGTTTCATTATAGGTGTAGTAATGTACATTATTCGGTGGCCTGCTCCATCATGGGTAGAATTTATTTTGATAAAGTCTCACAGTGTTATACATCAAGGTACCTTGATATGATTATGAGCAATAAATTGTGCTCGAAACGTGGTCATCAGTAAATATTACTGTATAACACTGTGATACTGTATCAAAATAAATTTTACCCATAATAGAACTATACTCTACCAGAGTGCACAAGTATTATTCTTGTATCGATGGCCTGCTGTCAGTAGTTAGCGAATAGATCCACATTGCCTTGCATTTGAGTTCAATAACTATCTGTGAATTTAGACAACAACATATTATAGCTTTATTACAGCTTACCCATTCTAGATTCTGTACTCTCCTCATAGTGTTTGAAACTGTTCTGCTGAGAAAATCCTTATAAAATTACATCTGGCCTGCTCAAATCTCACCATTAATACTGCATATAAGCATGTGATCTCTGCTACACGAAGAAATCCGACACTTTTAAGAAAGTTACCAAGGAAGCTTTAGTGACGGGATATCTAATGTTCCTTCTAGAAAGCTACTAGGAAGTTTAAACTTTCAAAAGGAAGAAAACAATGGATTTTCAGGCTCTTTATAGTCTAACTAACAATATAGATGCTAATATTGTCATTCCTGTACTCTTCGAATTGATTATTATTGATGAGACTGTTATAAGATCTTCTCATAGACCCAGCCAAATAAGAATGGATCTCAGACTCTTTGAAAGAGTACTGAACGACTGAAATTTTTACCAAAATTAGTGGTAAAATTTAATTTGGTGAGTCCTTCAGGGAGGTAAAACAGTCTTTACAGAGATATAAATTGTAATGACTAGCAAAGTTAGCTTGATCCCAAAAATGGATATTCATTTAAATATTACCACCCAACAGAAAATCTGTTATTTAACATCATACAATCTGGAAAAAATGTAAATGTGTTCCAAACACCACGGCTTTCAGCCTTATGGTAAGTTATCAGTAGTAAATGGCTACCAAATGTAGTTACCAGAAAAACAGTATTGTGATGTATACAGTATTTAAACTCAGAAAAGACACTTATTTGTTTTCATCAATAAGGTATCAACTATGCCATCTTTTCAAGGGTTAGTTTGTAGAGATTCAATTTATCTCAGGTTTGATCATGGACTGATATCAGTAAGAGAACCGTTGAGAACCAGGAATACTGGAAGACTGTCTCGTTCAAGCTTGGGACTCTATAGCAGTACGCAGCCACCATGGTTCTAACGCGGGGGCCTTCCTGTTAAAAGATAAGCTCGTCAACTGTTGAACCAGTAGAAACTGACTTAGTGGTCATACTTGGAATAGATCAGATCTCTACAAACCAACTCTCGAAATTCAATGTGATGCTCGCTGGTAACTGACCGGCTACAGAATGAAGTTGCCTGGAGTTTTAGAGTGAGAAGTCGTAAGCAGTGAATATGATCAAGTTAGGTGTGAGGACAAACACTCGTCGATTACACTGGCTGGTGGTCGCGCTAAAATCACGAATTAGTAGAAGCTAGAACTTATGGGCTAGCTATTGAGTAGGTTCCTAGTGGCTAAATGCTCTATCAGCCTGCCTCGTAACCGGAAGGTCCTGGATTCGAACCATGGTGATCGCGTACTTGCTATGAGTCCCAGACTAGGACGAAACGGCTGTCCACTACTCCATGGTTTTCAATCGTTCTCTAGCTGATATCAATCCGTGGGCAAACTTATACTATTTTTCTTGATGAAAACTGTGTATCAGGTCGACTACGTTTCACTCTTGCATGTCTTTACTACATGTAACCAACTCTCATGACTGTATATTAAAAAGCACTACTCTATAACCTTTAAATAAATAGGGTTGAGAATGATTGAATGTGCATGACAAAACCTTTTGGTATTAATTCAGCATGAATGAAAGAAGATGCGATCCCAAATCCAGTATCACTGATCCAATTTTTGTGAAATAGGATACTTGTCTTCATGCAGCTCAGATTACTTTCACTAATTAATATTCGAACAAGACATATAAGCGAACAATATTGTTTTCAATTAGATCTTCTTCAGGCTTTACCCTAATTTACATAGATTTATACATAAAAATTTTAACCGATAAAGGTGATTTTGTGGATCAAGTAATAATGTGGTAAATGTTTTGACCGTCATTAATAGCGATGGTTATAATGATAACAAAATATTGATAAGGTTTATGCAAGTGACAATAAGAATACAAAGGTAGTAGTATGTGTATATGTCTAAAAAGTTAAGTAATACTAAAGGTAGGTGCAGCGGACAGATAATCAGAGTTTAAATAAATATCATAAAAGTAAGAAGGAAATGGAAAATAAGGAAGGGTGAGCGGGTTTTGATTAGAATTCACCTAGGCCAAGGGAGAGACAAAGGTAGAACAAACTTCTTTTGTAGGCAAGGACTAGGATTGTTCTCTCGAATTCCCATAGCTTCGGCTATGTGTAAAAGACAGCTTCGAATTCCGTTCGAAGGGCTCGATGGAATGCGATAGATAACTTTGAACGCACTATTTCTGTCCCCTTTGTGACCGCTATCAATCAAAGGAGTCAAAGTAGGTTTTATTTGGCCTTTTCCGAACCATGAAGGAAGATGCTCAGTAGTACGTTTGTTGAGCTGTCTAGTTGTTCTCCCTATATAGCTCTCTCCACAGGAGCTACTAAATTTGTAGATACATACAGAAGTGGCACAGCTAGGTAACTTGTCTTTCACTTGAGCAATCATAATTGGTTAGCTGAAAAATGATAAACAATGGGTGGTGGCAGTATAAGTCTGTTTTATTGCTCTTGATAATCTCAGATGTAAGACTTCACTAGCCACGTCCCCATTAAATTGCAATTTTAGGAAGAGTTGTTTCTTTTTAACTGTTGTCAGTTTCTCTTTATTATACTTGGTGTTCATGTGTTTCCTTACAAATCTACTAGGATAACCCATTTGGACCAGCATATTTTGGATGTATCCCAAATCATTTTCTAAGGAGTCATCTGTACAGATCCTTCTTGCTCTATTAGTGAGGTATTTGACCAAATTGATTTTGTATTGGATTGGTACCTGCATAAACCTTATTATCATTATTTTTGTGATCATGATTATCATCGTTATTAATGATGTTCAAAACATTTATCACATTACTATTATTACTATTATTATTATTTGACCCACAAAATCACCTTCATTGGTTAAAATTTTTATGTATAAATCTATGTAAATTAGGGTAAAGCCTGAAGAAGATGTAATTGAAAACGATATTGTTCGCTTATGTGTCTTGTTCACTTAGGCTTGCTCCTTCCTATCACGCATAATCTAACCTCGCTACTTAATATGTCAATTTCTTTTCTTCAAATTTCTTTCAATTTTGATATAATAATAAGTTTATGCGCAAGCTGTTAACATTTAGAAACGCACTGACATCACTTTTCTATCGACATTCTTTTATAAAATAAAAACGCCTCAGTAATATTTCTTATTATTATGAAGTGACATGGGCAGCTAATACTTCAGAAGTGTTAATCGATTAACTGGTTTTTTTCAGGTGCTCATCAGATATGATAATTCCAGTTTTGTATCTAGCTGATGGACTTTTGAATTTGGCTATGACTTCTCCAATGATATCCGATGAAAAACAGGATGACCACATTAAAAATATTACAGATTCACAAACGCCAGGCAATCGAAGTGTTTGTAATGTCCAAACAGGTAATAAACACGAAAACATTGATCAGACAAGCGGCCTACATTGTGATCGACGCCAAAAATGGTTGTCTAACTTGACTGCACGACAACCAAATGTACACAGCTATGAGAACAGTGTTAATTTCGTGGGGAAAACTTTACACAAAAACTCATCAACTAATTCAACGTATTCTTGTAGTAATTCAAGTAATCAATCTTTGTCCATTTCATCTCCATCAATGTTTCTACTGGCCAAACAAGGTTTTGAACAGATTGGAATAGCTGATGAACTTAAAATATCTTCGGATAGATTTCATTATTGGTTCTTATCTGGTGTTGCTAATAGGTTAAGTATGGGTAAGTTAACTTCGAACTGAATATTTTATGTAGTGATTTAGGAGTTTTAAGTTATTCATGTGCTTAAGTGATGAAATCTCCGGAGTGAAGTGTACCAGATGAAAGTTTCAAGAGCTTACTTTCTGTGGAAGAATTTCGGTGAAGTAAAGCCTACTTTTCAAAACAAAATTTATTGATCATTTTCATCTCTTCTCAGAAATAATACAAACTGTGAAGTACGATAAAGTCTTATAAAAATTAGAGTTTAGAAATCAATATTTATCACACTTAGGACTTTAAATATTAACAAATGAGCTTACTTTTACCTGTAGTAAATTAATATCAGGATGTTGGAACCAGCTGCCACAAAACCATCAAAATATATTAACAAAGTGGTGTGGTGAGTGCTACTTATAATCAGATATAAGTATTATATCAGTAAACGAGTTTAGAAAAGCAATAATATGTTTCCAACACTGGAAAAAGCAATCAAAGAACAAAACTGTATAAAGAAACGTTAGAAAGATTGTGCAAAACTCAACAAGATATGGAATATGGTGATATTCGACCAATTTCCAAAAGATGTGCAAATAAAGCATTGAAGATATGGTATGCCAGATTTATGTAACTACAATCAGTGAAGATTGCTTAACCAAATGAGAGGCAATAGAAACAAAGTTTACCAAGAAAGGTTAACTGTGATGGTAAATTGTTTTAAAAAGCATAAGGACCGTTTACACTTCCTAATTGCCAGCTAGGGCTTCCACACAGTTTAGGATATGCCCTAAGATGGGTTTAAAAGACGTGTAAAAGTCAATTTTATGTCTTGTCTCTATTGTATGTTTCGCAATAGAGGATCTAGGTCTCCTGTTCACACCATTAATAAGTTCTGAAGATTCTAGTTGCTTCTGGAGGTATTTAGGAATATGCTTTGAAGCCAGCCCTTACTTGCAGAGATCAATGAGTCCCCCCTATGTATGTGTGTCCCCATGTACATTCAGATTGGTAATTACAGTGGGATGTGACATCATTCTTCGCATGTTCAAAGGGCTTAGGTAGATATATCGGTTTTATATTCTCAATTATTATGATATTAGCTGCATAAAAAGTCTTTTTAATCGCAGCGTTCAATCTTTGTCTAATTGTCAAGCTGCTATGATGCTCCATATAGGCCAGCTTGATGTACACGTCTTTCTTAGGGGCGAGTTGGAGAGTGCGTCTTTCCTTCCTTACAATGGTACAAATACCATTGGAGATTAGTATTGTCCGTTTTGACCAATTCACTCATATCGGAAGTTGGATCAACCCTGATAGACTGTTAGCTAATGAAATCCAAGCATGGATTCAGAAGACTTTTTCGACACTTGTCACCTTGCATTACCTTTGTCCCTGGTGTGATTTTTGACTAAAAATTAAAGGCAGCTATGTAATATGTGAAGATCCGCTCCATTCTTCTTTATAGCTGTGAGTCATTGGCGTTGTACGGAAGAGATATAAAAGTTCATTTGAACTGTGATCAAGATTTGACCAGATAATTGCAAAATAATTGAGTGAGAAGTAGACATTTGTAAAAATTATATTTGTAAAATCTCAGTGAAATTGAAATGATTAATTCCAACGTTTCGTTCGGCAATCTGGTTCGAACTTCTTCAGGGAAATTAATCGAAATTAACATAACAGAGGTTTTATATATAAAAGGAACATCTCTTGTTTTTAAAAACTTTGTCCAGTCATATGAACCATGAAACAGGTATCAACAGGTATAATAAACAAAAATTGTATGAACTGTGATCAAAATTTGACCTCAGACTTCCAAATTAGTCTACGTTTGTTAAAATATATGTGTATATGCAGTATACAATGGTGTGTGTGTATGTGTGTGTGGGTGAACAGTCATAAAACATTTATTAGTCTCTCCATAAGAAGACGTAGACAATCGGGAAATTTGACCAAGTATGACTAATTGTTGATACATATCCAATTTTTATTTATTAGTCAGGATTTGCCATGCATCAGCTAACATCACACCTTCACGTCTGTTCAAACTGTTGGGATTCACCCATATATGCAGGGCTTCTGCAGTCAGTCTTTCTTTATATGAACCAAAACTATTGGCCAGCGGTTGTGCTATATCGTGAATTGGCAGAAGTTAGAATTCATGGGCCACTGGATCGAGTCCCAGTGGCTGAATGGCATAGGAGCTCGCCTTGTAACCAGAAGGTCTTGGGTTCAAACCCGGTGGGTGCGTACTGCTGAAAAGTCTCAAACTAGGACGAACCAGCTGTCCAGTACTCCTAGGTTTTCCAATGGTTCTCTAACCAATGTCAGCTGATGATGAAATCCTGTAACCAATCAACCAAATCCCTACAAACCAATACTTGAATATCAAAACCAAAGAGTTAGCACATTCTGACCATGGGCAAGAAAGAGGTAGGTAAGGAGGATAAGTTAATCAGCAAAGACTACGAAATCCCCTACAATAAGGCTCTGAAGTCATGCACTACGCTTACTATTACTGTTTGCTGAACTTACTTCAGAAAAGATTTTTCCTATAACACTATGATTTCATAAATCTTTGGAACGCATTTTTTCCATCGAAATAGATAGGGATAAGCAGTATCACAGAAACTTCACTTATTGCATATAGATTGCTACTAGTCAGCTTAATAACACTTTATGATGTATATGTTATGACTAGCTAGTAAGATTATTTGTAAATACTTCGAATGAGGTTGAATTCTTATTATAATTAACCCTGTTTTTTCATTTTCAGGTGATTTATTATCAATCTTTTACAGCGGTCAGGTTAGTAGCCTATGGACAGATTATTGGGGTCAGTCTCCACTAGCCTGGACACTTGCCTACGGGAATGCTGCTGCTACACTTGCGCTATGTCAAAGAGGAGTCAACGTAAACTCTGGTTTGACTGGATCGGCAATTCACTATGCAATATGTTACGGTCAGGTTCAAAGTGCAATGTACTTACTAGGTTTCACTAAATCTTCAGTTACCAGAAGAGCTGAATTTAATACTGTAAATCCTAGGCTAAGAGATTTAGAAGGTAGAACACCAGTTCAATTATGTCTACAAGCACTAGTTGCAGCTAAAAAACGTGGTGAAAATGTCAATCGGTATGAAAAACTATTAGATGCTGTTCAGAAGTCAGAAGAAAGTAAGAATTTCATGATGACTATAAAGATAAATAACTTTAGAATTTAAATATGAATTGAATGGTAAGATGTCCAGTCCATTTAAAACTTTACTTCACTTGTCGCTGCCTATATTAATTGAAGCATATATGACAACTACAAGACCTGAAATAAGGTAAGGCACACTTTTGTAAGACGTTTTTACCTTTCTTAGAATTAATTGTGAAACACTTTGAAGTGCTTTATACAAGCAATATGGAAGTTTCTCATTTCTGAAGTTCGTGGTATGGGGTATACATATACATATAAATATGCATTAAAGCGCTGTGTACTAGTGTAACAATATAAGACAAGGACCAGGCAACAGATCGTTTATTAAGGAAAATCAACATATATTTATAGATTTCAATGTACATTATTGTAGATTATTGTTAGTAGAAAATACAGTCTTTTGATTGGTTGTTTCTCACAGAAAGTTAACCTTGCATCTCTTTGTTGCTGTGTCAGATCATCCATATGCTAACTGCATCCGCCTACGCAAAGCCTTTGTTCTCACTTTCTCACCACCAATATTGGGGACATAAACATTGACGTCAATTACTGTCTACCGACTTTGGCTAGCAACCAGCTCTTACCACACTAGGTTTTTAAAAATCGAATATATACAAGCTACAGGAAGGGAAAATAGAAGAATAGAGCATTGTTATGTATATCCAAACCAAGTTCACTTTTAACGGTTTGAAACAATTTGGGCATTGGGTATATGATATTCATTATAATAAAGGTTTTGTATTTCTCAATGAATGAAAAACAAAACGATATTATTTTTACTGACGTTTCGCTATTTAATGCTAATAGCTTTATCAAAGTATTATTAAACCGGAATTTACAAAATCTCAGTATATATATGACAAACAGTTAGGAGGTGAGAAAATAGACATAGGTCAAGTTAAAGGGACATATTGGAAGTAAAAATAGCAATGAAGATAACTAAACCGAATAACAAAGATAATAGTACGTCTGTTATGGTATCAAAATAAAGTTTACTAACTTGATCATCGTTCGTCTGTCTGGGGGCATTTTTCGTTGTCAAGTTGGTCAGTTGGTAAAGATAACAAAATCAAGCGTGGATTGTTGGATTTGATCGGTGTGTAAAATTATAAAAGTAGTGTGTGTTTACATAGTGAACTTGCTTATCACATGTGTGTTGATTTTGTCACTTCATGGGGGAGGGAGGTGTTGTAACCCGGTCAGATTCTGTTTCAGTCTATCATTCCTGTTCAGGCAATTTGGATTCCATTTCATATGGAGTGCTTCTGATGATATTAGACGTTCTTTGTGATTTGTGAAGTTTTTCTGGATTATTTCAATATTGTCAAAATCAATTTTGTGACCTGATTCTATAGCATGTAGACCTATGGCTGATGATTTTTCAAGTTTTTGTAGTTCAACCGGATTTCTCGGTGGTCAAAGAGATGTTCTACGGTGTTCATTTCTTCTGATTTTGATTTCTCGAGATGTCTATCCGATGTATATCGCATCACATTCCAATATGTCCCTTTAACTTGACCTATGTCTATTTTCTCACCTCCTAACTGTTTGTTATATATATACTGAGATTTTGTAAATTCCGGTTTAATAATATTTTGATGAAGCTATTAGCATTAAATAGCGAAACGTCAGTAAAAATAATATCGTTTTGTTTTTCATTCATTGAGAAATACAAAACCTTTATTATAATGAAGAGCATTGTTAAGATAAGAAGTCAATTAAGCATGATAAATTCTTTCCTGAAAGTGTGTTTGTAATGAAATGATATATAGGCTAATTAACTGACAACCCCTAGAGTAAATGTCCCACTGGCAATCAAATCACATAATTTTATTAAGATTTAATTTGTAGGGATTTGGTTTGTTTTAAATTTCGATCGAATCGACTCTTGAAAATTAATCTGATGTTCGCTAGTGACTGACTGGCTACAGAAAGAAGTTGAGAGTAGTTCTATTGCGAAGATATAACCAATGAGATCAACCAAGTGAGGCCCAAGGACAAACACTTGTCGATGATATTCACTGGTGGTGGTGCTAAAATCACGAATTGGTAGACGTCGGAATTCGCAAGCTACTGCATTATTTCCCAGTAGCTAAATGGTCAACGAGCTTGCTTTGTAACTTGGAGGTCCCGAGTGCGAACCATGGGGGTAGGTGCCAACTAAGTCTCCAACTAGGAGGAAACAGCTGTCTAGTACTCTGAGTTCTTCCTGTGGTACGGTAACTGATGTCAGTTCGTGATCAGTCTTAAAATACTTAAATGGTATTTTAAGTCCTACTTTCACATTTTTCAGGACAACCTTTAATTTACATACATTTATAAATTACTGGCATCCTAAATATAATTGCATCAGTAATAGTATTACGAATTGTGACTTTAAGCACCTTAAGAACTTTGAGGTGCATTTACCTAACAAGCAAAAGGTTGATACCTACGGCTCGTAGATAGGGTGTCATTATATAAAGTCTGTTTCCTCAAGAATTTATTTATAAGATAAATAACCCAGCAAAGACGTTTATCTATTTGGTGTCTAGTAAAGTGAATTTTAATTGTCAAAATAATATCACGGAGAATCAAAACAAGTGATTCAGCGAACAGTCTCTTTTCAGCGAATTTATTATCAAGCTGTACAATTATATATATATATAGTTTTTTAATAATAATGTGAATTGTGACTTAATGTCAGTAGCCAAGAAAATGCTGTACATGAACCTTGAATTTAAAGGTGACTTAACTGCTGACATCATCAAAAGAAGGATCTGAAAGTCCCTGAATTGGACACTTTCTGCAGCATCATTCGGCATAGCGTCTTCTAGTTGACCATTACTGTTCAATAATCTGAAGGATAAGACCCCGCAGTTGACCGACTGAATGTGCGCTTATCAATTTATCTGCTCTAATGGAGTTAGGTATATCTGTCGTTCGACGTGGGTTTCGTTCAAGGGGCTGTACTGACATTAACCTGCGTGATTACGAAGAGGTAGTGTGGTGAGAGCTGGCTGCTAGCCAAAGTCGGTAGACAGTAATTGACGTCAATGTTTATGTCCCCAATATTGGTGGTGAGAAAGTGAGAACAAAGGCTTTGCGTAGGCGGATGCAGTTAGCATATGGATGATCTGACACAGCAACAAAGAGATGCAAGGTTAACTTTCTGTGAGAAACAACCAATCAAAAGACTGTATTTTCTACTAACAATAATCTACAATAATGTACATTAAAATCTATAAATATGTGTTGATTTTCCTTAATAAACGATCTGTTGCCTGACCCTTGTCTTCTGTTGTTACAGTAGAAGTGAGGCTGTAAGAAGCTGACTAACTGAGCAGCTGGTCGACACTAGTTATCTTATTTCTACAGCCTCTTTCTTTAAAGTTATCTACAAAGCGACAAATACCTTCGAAAATTTGTATTTATCTGAATCATCTGTATTGTTGAAGCTTTGGCCATCGAAATAGTAAAGTCAAAACTTTGGATAAACAAAAAGTGTATCCAACCTCTCCTTCTTTCATTGTTTTAATCCATCGATCCTACAGAATGATAATCCCCATTGATACGTTGGCCCTTCTTATTTTTCGTTTAATTTATTTAATTTGTATATCCTTCCCATATTATGTCGACTCTTAATATTATTATTATTTTTATATTCACTTCGAACCATTCCCGATATTATCTCACTTGTCACCTTTATTTATTTAATTCAATATACAAGTATTGGTTTGTAGGGATTTGGTTAATCGGTTACAGGATTTCATCATGAGCTGACATTTGTTAGAGAACCATTGGAAAACCTGGGAGTACTGGACAGCTGTTACGTCCTAGTTTGGGACTCTTCATCAGTGTGTGGGTGCGTACTGTTGAAGAATCCCAAACTAGGACGAAACAGCTGTCCAGTACTCCCAGGTTTTCCGATGGTTTTCTAACAAATGTCAGCTCATGATGAAATCCTGTAATTAATTCAATATACTCTTTTGTAATGTTATCTTATCACAATTATCAGCTTGTTGCATTATGTTTTAACTGTCTGCTAATCTTACCATTTCTATACTCTTGTTTAAGACTTATAAAGTATTAAAACAATTATTTTTGTCATAATTCACATTATATATGTATGGTTGTCCAGTTCAGTAACAAATTCGTTGGAAAGAGACTCTTCGCTGAATCACTTGTTTTGATTTTTGCTATATCTCCTAATGGGGATTTTTCCATGAATTAAGAAAGATTATATTTTCTTTATCGATGAAATCATCTTCAGAGGCTGTACAGTCGTATTTATATTTACCAGAAATGTATAGTAGTCCATTATTGAGCAATAGGGGTGTGCGTGACATAATCGATATAATTACTCAGAAGTGGCTTCAAAAGTAAGAATGAAAGTCGTAAATTACGTAATACTCAACGGCACAAAGGATGAAAGCGTTAAAATTTTGATAAGGTTAATATTGTTATTGAAAGTCCATTCAACAAGTGTGAAGAGGGTGTGAAAATGTACAAAAGGAACATATGAGAGTGATAATAGTGAATTAATTGTTAAAGTAAAAACAAACTAAAAGTAAAATTGAAAATTAATAAAAATTAATAAAGAAAATTTTTACAGGGTTAAGAACATGGTAGAATAAGAGACTGGACAAGCTTTTCTGTATACAGAGTTCGGCGTCGGTGGCACAGTGGTTAGGACTCTCGCCGACCATGCACATGGTCCGGGGTTCGATCCCCTGCCGGCGCACACCCGATATCTATGGTCGGCCTGAATTTGGGCTACCGATATCCATGCTGAAAATTCCATACTTGTACTGAAAATACGGTGTGGAATCAAGCTGTAAATCAAAAATAAATAAAAATAAAAAAATTGCCAACGCCTCCGCCATGCACAAATGACGAAACCTGATGGCCCTTTTTACCATTTAGTTTCACCTTGTAGATAATCTTGAAAGACGACTCTGGTGTAGCTACGTAGCTTGAGTTCATCAAGTGCTCAAGAATTGAGCTAGTAACTGTCTTGCATTGTCCTTTTGCTAACCATGCTGGATAATGTTCAGAGATGCGTTTGGAAAGTGTGCACTTTTTGCAGCCAATAAAACTAGCTTCACAGGAGTAGGTGAATTTATAAACACATAGGGAAGTGGCCCAAAGCGGTAGTTTATCCTTCACACATCTATTAACCATTTGTTGGCTGCAGAAATCGATTCTTAGCTCAGCCTAAAAGAAGGCTTTTCTCAGTGATCTGGATAAGCAGTTCTTCAGAATCTCAGCTGCGGTATCACCATTAAATTCAAGATTATATTAGTTACCACACAGAGACTAATATAATCTACAGTGACGGATGCTGATAAACTTACCTTTTTAATTTACTTTAGCTACTTCGTTGACAGAATTAAACTCAGACAGAAGCTTGATAGTACACTAAAATCAATCACGAAACTGTTCATATAAATGTCATTGAAACCTTAGTTGAACAGGCTCTGAATAGATGGAAACCTTTTCCTTTATTTGTTTTACTTATAGAATATATAAAAAATGTACATGATTTTTACATCTTTTCTTTTTAAATATCTTTTCATTTGTATACAAAGAATTCAAGTCTTACAAATATTATGTCAATTAATACGTTCAAGAACCGGATTCATTGTACTATATCAAATGCAAAGATCAAATTGTAAATGTGACAAAACAACAACAATAGAAGATGATAGTCAGACAACAAATGAACAAAGCATAAATTTTGCAGATAAATTAGTTCATATGATAGCTAGTGTTATCGGTCAAGTAAGATATTACATTATTGTTATTATTACTGTTATTATTACTCTTTTGGGTTCCGAGCTGAAAATAGAGCTTTAACAGTATATCTCCATTTCATCCTGTCCTTGGAATTTCTCTTCAACTGGCCTCACAATTTCCCGTAAGCTTTCATCTCAGATGACCTCCCCCATGTCAACCACGGACACATACTCAAGTCGGCTTTACCAATTCAGGTTCCACTCGAGCCACTGCCTGGTGCTCAGTTTCACCTTCTGGTCTTTTCAGCCTATGTTTCCCATCCGTCTCCATTTTCTTCTCCACATCTGTTGAGCAGTCGGCTCTTGATTGGTTTGTTGTCAATTCTTTCTAGCTATTTAATCTTCAATATGGAGCCAGCCAACTCAGTTGTTGATAGAAGTCTGCTCTAACCTTCCCGAAATGCTTTTCGTGACCTACCTATTTAGAAGAATTCGAAACTTTTTCTTTATGCTGACTGAGTGCGGGAGATTTCCAAACTGGTTTCAGGTTAATGAAGGTGTATCTTGCCTTTCAGATTCTGGCTAGCTGACTTTGATATATTCATCCATTCCGACTGCCTGTGGTTGCAACTATGCTCCCCAGCTGGATAAGTGAAGGAATTAACCTCTGTCAAATCTCTCCCATTGATTGTGGGTGATTGGTGCTGGTTGTTGTTGCTGTTTGTTGGTTATCTTCATCACCTCCATATTCTCTGTGATCTCCTGGAGTCCTGTCTTCTCTGTCTGCCTGCCGGCTTCTTTTGCAAGACTGTTGGTTTTCGCCTGCAAGTCTTCGAGTTTGTGTGACTTAGAACATAGATCATTCACACACGAAATCCAGATCCTCTAGAATCTTCTTATCGATCCAACATATTTCTATCTCCTCATTCCCCATAGTGTGACGCTTAGTCCAGTCCACCACAATTAAAAATATCATTGGTGAGAATAGGCAGTCAGCCTTGTCTTACTTGTGTATTCACTTCAGTAGAAGACTTCTCTGAGTTTTTCGTTTTGGATCACCCGCCACCTGGCATTGTCATATAGCTGTTGAGTTAGGATGATAAAGACTCGGGCACTGCACACAGAAGTGTTGAAGCAGTCTTCAAATTACTTCTCTGTCAACGCTGCCTAACGAAGGCCTTTCCGAAGTCGTTGAAACTGATATTATATATATAATGCTGAAGTTTTATTTTACTTTTTACACATTTCATACGTTTATATTTTCATAAAATGTTTTTCGCTTCATCTGAATTTCTTTTCTTTTATTTACTATGTTATTGTTTTAAGGGTTCAACGGAAGAAGTATTCCTAGTTTTATCTTTAATTCCAGCACTTATAGATCAACCAGAGTTTTTGAATTGGATGCATAAACATGGCTTACCAGAGATACTTTTATGGCGTGCAAAAATCTATAAAAAAACTACTGATAACATCAATGTTGATAAAAAATCTACTGGAGTAGAGTCAAATGAATTATTTAAAGAAACAGTTCCATTTTGTCTTCCTGCATATATTTTGAAACCTAAGGTAATTGAAATGTATTCACAAGTGTTGTTTAATACAATTAGCTGTCTTTGTTTATTTTGACAAAACAGCAAAATAACGTGATTTATCCGGCATATGAAATGTAGTTGTGCAATACATTTCGAACATACTGATTACACACATGTACTTGTTGTATGTGTTTATATATAAAAGGCTTCAACGAACTTAAGTATGATGACCCAAACCTGTTCTGTGTATGGATTTAAAGGCATTACTGAAATCAGCCTTGTGATGATGTGCTTTTTAGTCTATACTGATGGAAATTGGAATCCTTTAGGCTCTCTTGTCTTTTATATAAATATGTATGAGACGTACATGTGTGTTGTGATCAGAATGTTCAACTACATTACACGTTCCTGACATCTTACATCTCCTTGTTGTTTTGTAGAAATTTACTCTGTTATTTCAAAACCAAATAATTTCACTAGGTTTCGGAAATATCTTCAGCTTAGTACATAAAACAGTTAAATAACCAAAGGCGTTAAAAAGTATGTGCTTGTATCCTTCAACTTTCTACGTATAGTTAGTTTTAGAAACTAAGTTATCCTTCATGTAATTCTAAATCTGTTCACATATTTTCTTTGGAAAATACTACAACAATCAACCAATAGTGACATAAGATTTAAATTTAGCTGTGTTCTCTGAGCTGGTTAATTTAAGTGCGGAGCTTTCGTAGTCGTCCTTCTACACAACCTCTTCAGTGCACGTTTTGGTATAAATAAACTTATTTAAATTCTCCATGAATGATGTAATTGTATCTGCTGACATCACTGTCATGACTGGTTGTTAATTTACGTCTCTATTGATTTGGAATTCGAACTTTCTTGTCATGTAGTTTATTGGCTAGTAAACTTGGTCTATAGCAGTGTGTTTGTTAATCGCTGATTCACTTAAGTACCAGGCTTCTAGGAATACCCTGGCATTTTTGGTCTTTCCTGTATTTAAAATTTCTACATTATTGCCATCAAATTAGTGTCCGATAAAAAATGACCAATCACGACAATGGTTGTCAAGAGATACAATTACATCATTCATGGAGAATTTAAATAAGTTCATTTCACAATAAAACCTGTACAGAAGCGATGTTTTCTGGAAGGACAACAAGAGCTCCGCAATTTAATTAACCCAATCAGAAAATCCAACTGAATCAAAATCATTCACCTGAGCTAAAAATCTTCCCCATTAGTGACATAGGATGCTATTAAGTCTTGTATTTCAACATTTTACATCTTATATCAGCAGTTTAGGAATCAAGGCAATTTAACTAATCAAAATATAATTTATCTTCTGGAAGTAGAATTTTCTGCCGGTAGCAGATAAAAAGGTGCTTTCTGTCAGCCGGGGTTACTATCATTAGATGGTTGAAGGCAATCTACAGGAATCCTTGGACCTAAGTTTCGTGCTAGTTGGTACTCACCAGTCAGCAAGGAGTATCTGCAACACTGAGTTATTCGGGTCCACGATTGACCTTCTGTAAGACTGTATTTCCGTCTGGACTTGACTGATAGAATTCAGTCTGCACCATAGATAGAACTAGACACATTGCAGTAGTTACTAACCAGTGTCCAATCAAAAAGGGTTACTATTTCATTACTCAGTTTTATGTTTTGACAGTCTTAGAAACAGGTAAATATAGTTTTCACTGTAAATAAGATAATTTAGTTTAAAACTTTTAGAAAGTTTCGATTCTGAAACTAACCGAACACATGAAAAAGCCATTTCATTTTACACACCTGTGTTCACCAAGTCACTAGAGAAAATAAGCTACTTTTATTTAAATATACACTTTTATCGTCCATTGGTAGTACTAGTCTAGATTTCTCTCTTAAAACTACTTATTACTGTTGCCATTAGCCAACATTTTCAAATTGCTGCTGGTTAATCAAATGAATTTCAAAATAAGTAAACATATGATGAGTGGAATGTACTGAGGTTTTGTTTAAGTGTAACTATTAACACATCTAAAAATTTAGCTGCGAAACAAATTTTTTTATTCCTTTACGTTCCCAGTGGAACATAGGGCTTAAAGCTAGAGTCTGGAGGATGGAGTTGCTAGCCTCATGCTCAACCTTTCCTCTTAACCAGTCTTAAAACTGGTTTAGCGAGGTAGAGGAGTGAATTGGCCAGGGATCGAACTCCGGACCACCTATGTGGTCGGATATAGCACTCTACCGCTGTGCCGCCAACGCGAAACAAACTAGTTTGTATTTAGAAGTATTCATTCATACACCATGTAAAATAGTAGTTTAAAAAAGTTGAAATTTCAAAAATATATTAATATACAACTGAAGAATAAAACTAGTTTTAAAAGTAAAATATAAAAACAATATGAATGTTTTAGTAAGAAAATGTATGAGGTGCATTGAAAGCTATTTTATACTCATTATATTGTCTATTAAACGTTGACAGAATGTAGATTGAAAGTAGTATTCCTCGTTAAAACTAATTCGGGTATGTTGGAAAAATAATCGACAACGATGACATTCGCTGGTGGTTTCACGAAATCATAAATTGGCAGAAGTTGAAATGGGTTTCACTGGCTGAATGGTGTATGAGCTCGCCTTGTAACCGCCTGGATTTGAACGCTTGTGGTGGGTGCATATTGCCTAAGAGTCTCAAACGAAACAGCTGTCAATTACTCCATGGTTGCTTTTCCAATGGACCTCTAACCGATCTCAGTTCACGATGAAATCCTGAAGCCAATCACATCCCTGCAAACCAGCAGTTGAATACTACACAGTGAAACAGTATTTTTCCCTGGATAAGGTTTTGAATACACAATTTATTATTTATAATGATATCAAATTATATCATGTCCACTAAGTCCAATTTTTAAGCATATATCAGTGCTACTCATAAAAACTAATCAATGAACTGCATTGACAATAGATAATTTCTGTGCAATAAAAACATGTATTGTGTAAAGAAACTGATAATCAACAAATAAGGATAAAAATGTAAGTTCAGTTTCTAAAGTTGGTGGAAATTGGACAATACTAATAACTGAGTGAATCAGGTATACACAATGACACATTATGGAAGTATATTTTACCTAATTGACTTAAGCTACTCCAAAGAAACATAATCCAAAACTTGAAATTTGAACATACGAGGAGTGATTTAAGCTAATATATTTATGTTTTTTTTTGAAATTTGGCCGCGGAATGATCTCAGTTAGAGAACCATTGAAAACCAAGGAGTACTGGACAACTGTGTCATCCCACCGATGATATTAATTGGTGGTAGCGCAAAAATCACGAGCTGCGTGCTGGCGATGATTTCCAAACTAGGAAGAAACAGCTGTCCAGTATTCCGAGCTGGATTTCAGTGGTTCTCTAACTGACATCAATCTGTCGTCAAACTCGAAAAACAAATCTAATCCTCGTAAATCAACTCTTTAAATTAACATATTCATATGCATATATACAATATTTAATTAATATAACTTCTTTTCCCTATAGAAACTACCATTAGAACCCAAATTTAATGTAAGTTAAGCATGTTAAAATATTTAATTTTTAATATCATTTATCATACTTCTCACCTTGCCAAATTTGAAACCAAGATATTTTCAACCATGAAATTGAATAGCACACAGTAACAGGGGGTTATATTTAACTAATAGGTGAAGTAGTCTAGACTGGGATAAAGTTACAATCTATTATTTCCTGTAGAGATAATTTAGAGTATATGGAATTAACCCAACGGCTTTTAGCACCTTTATTAAGTGTGGATAATTATTACTTATTATTATTCCCTTAGGTACTGAATGGAACGTAGGGCTTCAACAACACGTCTCCACTTCGTTATATTTTCTGCTGTCCTCTTCATCTGGGTCTATGATTGCCTATAATCTCTCATCTTCCCCTCACACAGTACTCTCCATGTCACCCTTCCACTGACGACCCACTCCTCACTCCCCACTGTGATTTCACTCGAGCTATGGCGAGCATGGAGCACAGCATAATTCGGTGGCCTCCTCAACCTATGCCCGATCCACCTCCCCTTTCTCCAGTATATTTGTTGATCAGTCGGCTGTTGGTTCGTTTGTTCCTACAGTTTCTTGTTTCTAATTCTTTCCGGCCAGCTGGCTAACCATTTGTTCTTCAGTATCGCACCAGAGAAGGCAGCTGTTGATAAAACCTGTTAGAAGTCCTCTTCGTGATGTGTGCGTCAAGTTTGCTACCCATAGAGAAGTAGTGACTGACTTTATTGTTGAAAATCAGAATCTTGTTCTTTATGCTGGCTGAGTTAGTGCAGAAGATTTCCAAAGTGGTTTTAGATTGATAAAGGCGTATATTGCCTTTCCGACTCTGGCTTTGACATCTCCAACCGTCCCTCTTGTGGTTGAAACCACTTGAATTAGAATAATGTGAAATAATTCAGAAGTAAGCATTATTAATGATTCTGTAACTAGACACTAGAGAATGTTTCTTGATGGGTTTGTGGGATCCATTCCCCTTAACCCCCCAGCCATTTTCCTTTCAAGGTCAACGGGTAAACAACGAAATCCCGAGAACATATAAAAAACCAAGACAATACTTCAATGCTGTTGGAAAAAAACATGTCCTGAAATGGTTATCCAATCAGCCGAAATACACTTAAGTCCAACATCATCTTCCATGAAACATCTATTAATGTCTAGTTATGAAACCAATCAATACTAAAGACTGCGTCTCACTTATTTTACATACTTTGAATTCAAGATTGTTAGAGCTAATGGAAGCACTTTGAAATAGTCCCATTCAAGCTAAATTATGTGAAGGAAAAATAACCGATTTTAGCATCCATCAAGTTTGCATTACTTGACCTATTAAGACATGACTGGTTAATCTGGTATCATTTTACTTCATATTATTAATTGGTTGGTGAAAATTTTATTACTGTCAGGCAAGTTAACTGTAACACTACTGTAGAGGAACCGTAACGGTATCAGTTAGAAAACCATTATAATCTAGAGTGTATTGTATAGGTTTAGGACGCTTCAACGGTACTCATTTATGACTCCACGAGGGATGGAAACCTGAGTCCATAGTCTACAAGGTGAGTATGGGTGTCGTTCAGCCACTGGAACGCCACCTAATGAGTTTCAGTACCACTATGTACTGTAAGTTGGCACTTCAAATTTATAGACTCCATCCCACTGTCTGAATGATCGATGGGCTTGCCTCGTAACCTACAGGTATTGAGTATGATTCTTGGTAGAGTAATAAGTATGAAATACTAAAGAGTCTCAGTGCTTTGTAGTTTAAAATAATCTTTTAACTGATGTTGGTACTTAGTGAAATATAATCTGAAACTGCAAGAAGATTTCAGTTGAGAATATCAAACTATTCGCCATATTAACAAAAGACAATAATTTATCTGTTAAGTGTTTCGTCTCTAGGCTTTATTTGCTTGTCAAAATTTAATTCATATTTATTAATATGAACTTAGTTATTAAAGTTGCAATTTTGTGACAGAATAATTTCATGTCTTAATAGCTCGTTTTAATTGTTTATCTAATAGTAATTGTCAAATATCGACTGTTAAATTAACATATCTAATTTTGAGATTTTCAGTAGTTGATTGTCAGCTGTACACAAACAATGCGTAGAACAGTTATAGTATAGAAGATGAGACCTGCTTCAGAAATGTATCATGAATCATGTTCAGTAGGTCCAGCGTCCAGAATGGTTCATAAAAAATCGGTAGCAAGTGTTTAATTGAGCCCCAACTACTAGTGGAATTTAAGTCCAACTGATGGCTGCTACCTTGACGTTGTAGTCGAGTTTGCATATTCAAATGACCCAACAAGCTTCTCAAGGTCCTATCTTGCCAGAAAGGCTGTTAGGATAGCGATTAGACTAGAAGTAGTTATAGGCATGGTGTAAGGTGTTTACATTATGCTGGGGAACAGAGATATAACAGAAGTAAGGTGTTTCCTTCAGATGACTAACCTGATAGCCATGCTGTCCCTTCACTGTAGAGACAAGGGTTTAGAAAAGGCTGACCCCGAAAGTCGTACATTTCGATTTACCCTACGGTGATGCATAGCCAGCGGCAGGTTCCTAATATGGAAACAATTTTAAGTAGCAATTCATTTGGGCCATGTGTATTTGGCTTCAAGCAGTTGTCCCCTGGGCTCTGCTCTTAAGCAATAGCAATCCTCTTTCTCTTTCAGGTACCTCAAAGAAAATCACATCTCACAGTGGAGGACGGCTATTAATTCCCAGCTGTCCACACACTTCCGAAAGAACACAAATCTCTCCTGATCAATCAATCAGTCAGTCAGTGAAATTTAAAATATTGTATTCTGGTACCATTGAATAATTAGCTTTAAAATGATAATAATAGGAGACCTTGTGTACTCGATTATCAAATTATCTATAAAATATACCCAAAATTTAAAATTATGTCATTAATGTGTTAAACTGATTCCTTGAGGATCCTTTTTAACAAATGTCTGTTGTTATAGGTATAAAACTTGGGCACTGTGGTAGAGTGTAACTCCATTATGGATAAGATTTTATTTTGATAAATCACACTGTGTTACACAGTAATATTAACTGATGACGTTCCGAGCACAAACTATTGCTCATAATCATATCAAGTTACTCACACAACTTTTTCCTTCATTTATATACATGTGTGGAATCGATTAGATATTGGAATAAAATTCAATATGAGATAATGTACATTCAGAAATAATAATACGAGTGTTATTGATCAAATACAATTAGATGGGAAATAAGATGAATGTTCTTATAGTTATAATAAGTAATTTGTTAGAATGTTGTGATTTGCTTGAATTGAAATAGAATTTTGAGATTATTTATTATCATCATCTGATTTGACTGGTGGTAATAATATCTTCCATATTTCTGGTATTTGTATTGAGTCATTTCGGTTGCATGTGTTGGGTGTAGACTCGATGAACCAGGATTCAGTAGTCAATCTCTCTTTCTACCTACATAGATTACTTCTTAGAATCTTAACCTTCTCCCACCCTATTGTGTGGTTGTGTGTTATTGCATGTAGTGCAATTGCTGAGCTTTTTTCTAAATTACTTATCTTCTCAGGATCAACCATTCTTACCTTAGCTAAATTCTTATGTTCCGACAGTCTGACTACTCCCGATCTACTAGTTTGACCCATGTAGTTGACCTCACAGTCATTGCAGCGTATTTTGTAAATTATATTATTTTGTTTAATTGGGTTCACCGGGTCTTTTAGCCTACAGAGCTTGTCTCTGAGTGACTTTTCAGGTTTAAATGCCACTCTAATTCCTGGTTTATTCAGAATCATACGTAGGGTCCCAGATGTCCCCTCCTTATATGGTACAACAGTGGATCACTTATATTCTTTCTTATTTATGTTATCATTACTAATTTCACCATTGTTTTTATTTTACTTCTGGCCTTTTTCGATCTTCCTAATGAATTTTATGGGATAGTTAGTTATTTAACACCAACGCCTCTTCTATCTGTTTTATTTCATCATTTAGGTCTTTTTTTGTGCTACTTAGAGCTACTGCTCGGTTTGTTAAACACCTAACTAGGCCTACCTTAACAGTTAACGGATGAGATGAATTAAAGTCTAAATATTTATTAGAATAATGCGTTGGCTTTTTCTAAACTCTAGTGTGCAGTTTACATTCTTCAATTCGTTTTATTTTACAATCTAACATAGCTAATTCTCCTTGTTCATTTTCTGATTCAAATGTGAATTTTATTCCTTCTGCTAGTGAGTTTATATGTGCCAAGAAGCTGGAGATAGGTTGTGTTTTTAACACTGTGAAAGTGTCATCCACATATCTCCACCATATTTTTGGAGTAGGATACAATGTATTTAGAGCACTATTTTCCCAGCTATCCATAAATATATCTACAACGATAGGAGGTATTGGTGATCCCACCTACACCTTCTGTTTGTCTACATATTTTGCCTTGGAATTTAAAGATAGTAGATGTGAGACATAACTGAATTCCTAAAATAATTTCTTCAGAGGGCAAACTGTTTATTTTGATAATCTTCGGTGTGTTCAGAAAAATTATGCACGGACAGTAACCCTTCATTGGTCAGGGAAAATGTAATTGAATACACATCCTAGACTGCTCTATTAGGCACTACTAACGAAGTATATATATATATATGTCACGGGGAATCAAATTGAAAATAATGTCATTTGTTTCCACATTGTTTTTTCTATATTTTCTCACTGCTAATTTCTAAAGTTTAACAGAAATACTACTTACTACATAAATTATCATTCTGTATTTTTGCATAAAAATTTTATAAATACAGCCTTGTAGATTCCAGTGTACATATCAGTTGGCCATTGATCAAGCATATTCATATGGAGATTGGACGATACTGAGAAATGGATTTAGATCGTTGATCGTTTTTCATGAATTCGCTTTACTATGGTTTATTTATAAGAAAACCTATTCAACTTACTTCAATCTATGCACTAATGATGATGTTGATGATGATGTTGGTGACGATCATGAGGATAACGATTCAACTTCACTATCGAATAAAGCATATGAGTTAAAGGTTTACTTAATTACAAGAAAGGAGTCAACAATTAAATCAGAGAATAGTATCAATTGGTTACAATCAACAAGCTCACAACAGTATGAAGATCACAATAATTTAACTGATAATAACTCTCAGGATAATACTATGTTTCCAGTAGCCAGTTATAATCCAAAGAAAAATGATACTGATAATTTGTGTAGGCTGGAATCAATGAATGGTTTGTGTGTGAGCGAGATCCAATTTTCAGGGAAACCTGTGAACAGAAACGGTAATGTTTTCATTTCACTTCAATTCATTATTGTTGTCAGACATTTATTGTAATATTTTTATTATTGTGACCATTAGGTTCCGAGTGGAGCATAAGGCTTTAAGAAGGAATATCCACTGCACCCTGTTTTATGCAATCCTTTTTTCTAAGCTGGCTCCATGATTTCCTATAAGCTTTCATCTCCTATTCACGCGACTTCCTCCATGTCCTTCTTGGACGTCCAACTCATTATTTTCTACTTGGGCTTCATTTGAGGGACTATCTAGTGCTACCTAGATATCATTCAACAATTTACTCAGCATATGTTCAATTCAGATCAATTTGTTGGGTTGATTCATTGCGTAGGACGCTTGTTGTTTATCCTTTTGACCATTTAATCTTCACTATGGAGCAAAGGCAGATGTTGACAGAATTCTGTCGCTTACTGGAAGTGCTTTTGCTTATGCACTAAGTAGAACCTGGGAGTACTGGAAAGCTGTTTCGTTCTAGTTTGGCACTCTTTGTCAGTATGCACCCACTACCGGGGTTAGAACTCAGGACCGTCTAGTTACAAGGTGAGCTCGTAGGCCACTGGGACTCAATGATCTACGAGCTCACATTGTTACCAGAAGTTCCTGTGTTCAAACACTGGAAATGGGTGTTTACTGCCGAAGAGTCCCAAACTAGGCTTATGAAACAGCTGTCCAGTACTCCCAGGTTTTCCAGTGGTTCTCTAACTGATGTCAGTTCATGATGAAATCCTCCATCCAATCGAACAAAATCCCTACAAAACCAATACTTGAAAATTATATTTCTGTAAACAGACTTCCACAGTTTGATACAAATAGTTGGACACTTGCATGCCAGATAAGTTCAAACAACTAAAATTCAGCTTACTATCTGAGCAGACTGTTAATACATCTGACCAAATTTCACATTTTCAAAATTTATTCTCAATTTTCAATTCGAACAGTCCTAAGTAATTAGGCTGTCTGAGCTGAATCAAACCAGATGTATCGCTGATGACCTTGGGTCGAATGAGCAAAATTACCATTTATGGTTTAGATCACTTTGATCTGTCTAGCAAGCATTACTGGCTGATGTGAGTGACATCCAACTACTCATCATAGTCAGTTAGTAGTATATAGATCATATGTGAAAATATTTTCTGACAACCTACAAATTATTAATTGGAAGTGTGTAAGAATTAGATTAGTTACAGGTTTAATCACGGGTTGACATAGCAAATTGGCAGAGGGTTGAATTTATGCGCTGTTGAATTAGGTCCAAGTAACTGAATGGTCTGCGAGTTCACTTTGTAACTAGAAGGTCCTGGTTTCTAACCCCAGGGGGTGTGTATAGCTGAAAAATCGGAAAATAGGGATGAACAGTTACCTACTACTTCATGGTGGTTTTCAATAGTTCCCTGACTGATGTCAACTGGTATTCAAACTGCAAGTTGTAAGATTCAAGGTGTCAGGTTAGTTTTAAACAAAATGTCACTTATGTGACTTGAAGCTAACTGGTGGATGGTGACTAGCAGTGGAATTAAGGATGCTCATTTCATCCTATTTGGGATTAGTTACTGGATGTACCTGCATTCCCCAGTAATTGATAGTGTTCCCACCTTGTCCGGAATAGGATGAAATGAGCATCCTGGATTCCACTGCTAGTCACCTTCCACCAACTGACTTCAAGTCACATGACTAGACATCTTTGAAGCATCTGCACAAAAAGCCAATATGTCAGCCTGAGACTCAGTACTTCGGTTCACTCAGTCGGCAGGAAAATTTAAGACTGAATTAAAATATCACTTGGCATCGAATTAAATGACTTCCACATACAAAAATAACTCCAAAACTCAATGAACAATCGCTAATGAAGGGCTAACCATCTTTTTTCACATACAGGATTTCACCAATCAGTAAAAACAATATTTAAGATATAATTCAAAAGTCAAAGCAGCTGTGAAATAGATAGGAAACAAATGTGCTCTGGATTAATGTAGATAAAAGCGTCTGTTTACTGGGGTTTGTTTTCGGAGGTTTTCGCGACTATATAAATTGACCGGATGAAATAAATAATTTGATATTTTATAGGTAATGAACAAAATTAAAATTAAAATCTGGTTTGCAGAGAGATTCTAAACCACGTCCTTCAAGACTATTCAGTATAGTTTCACCGTCCATCGTATGTCCATTACATACGAATAACCATTAGTATTAATTCTAGAGAGATATATAATTTGATTTGTCATCTTTTTTTCATTTAGATCTTTTGCCAAAGATATGGAATAAATTACTGCCATTATTAATTAAGATAAAGCACATGCACTACGGTATGTTACCATTACCAGTGCAGAAATCCTCCTCCCCACTGACTAATCCAAGTAAATATAACCAATCCTTACAGATTCCTAGTCAAAAAATATCAAAAGAATCCAATCATTTAGAGGCATCTCAATCATTCTCTGAAAACTATACAATTTATAATAAAAAGAAGAATAATACACCAGTTCAGTTAAAAAACACTTTAAATGTATCTTTATCATCCACTGCTGGTCATTGTAACACCGAAAAAGAAACTAGTTCATTGGTAGTGGCACAAACTTCACAAATCTTATCTCACATCGAGTCTAATCCACTGTCTAAAAATGAATTATCAAAACAACCTGAACTCATTTTTGATATAAACAAAGCAGGTCCTAGTCTAAAGAAAGTGAATTGTTCAGATGATTATCCATCATTACTGAAACTATCACCAACAGATGAAGAATTACAGTCGTCGGTGAATCAGACAATTGATGACAGTCACCTCTCCAAAGGTAATGAAATGAAAATTAGTAGAAAGAAGCTGAATCCTTCCACCATGAAAAGAAATAATGATGCAATGATGTTTTTAAAACAAAGCAAATCATCTGCAAATTTAAGTGAAACATCTACTCAATCTATAGGTTATACAACAACAAATGAATATTCGTCATTGAATATGGATCAACCATCATGTACACTTACTCAAGAGAAAATCAATAAGATAGATGTGAATTGTCGTGAAAAGTTGGTTTCCACATTCTTTTGGAATATGAAATTATCAGTGAGTTTTCATGGTCTTTGGTTTACACTGGAGTCAGTAAACACCAGTCATGATGATGATAATAATAATAAGAATAGTTCCATTGATGAATTCTGCATTCATCCAGAATGTAAAAATAGATGGAATCCAGATTTTCGTGATGATGAGACAGATTACATTGAATGTGCTGATGACTGTTATTCTGTAGAAGAGATCAAGGATGAGAATAGAAGTACAAGTATATTATCAGATAATGCTGTCAAAAACGATCGATCGCGAACACAGACCTGTGCTGATAGGTTAGAATTACAAGGAATTGAAAGAATTTTCTGTCATCAAACAAAGCTTGGTGGTGTTATGGTTTATGCGAAAAATAATGATCTTATATATCAATCTGGACCATTGACAAAAAATACTGGTTACGCAAAGTAAGTCTTTTAGTACTTTCACAGTTTTATTCCCGTATATATATATGTTTGTAATATGAATGGTCACTAGATATTAACCGATCTGAATATTCACTACAGACCTACTGGAGGTGAATAGATAGCCGGAGTAACTCAGTGGTAGCGTTTCTCACTGTAGCGCCGGGTGATGTAGGTCCAAATCTCAGAGGAGAAACGAGTTCCTTCAAGACTGCAGATATATCTTTCTGACGAGCGCTAGCAATAATGAAACTTAAGGCAAGGGGCTTCCTAAGACTGCTCCTAACCATCGAACATGTATACTAACTGGCTTTGCACATTTACTGTAAATAATTTGGCATTTGTGTATTAGATATATCTTAAGATCAAACAGTATTATTTACTGGATGACGTTTCGAATCAACTGCAAATACGTGTAATAGGAATGATTCAACACCTCTTCCAGATATCTGGAAAATTCTACTTCTCCAACGACGAAAAATAGGAGGGAAAAAAGAAAACTATGAAACTCAAGTTTCGAAGTCGTGTGATTACAATTGATGATATGATTGTGAACAATAAATTTTGTTCGAAACTGTGTCCTCCAGTAAATAATACTGTTTCATCGTGTGGTACATCTAATAAACAAAGTATTATGGAATTGCTTACTACCACAGTGCCTAAGTTTTTCACATATATTAATTTGGTATTTGTAGCCCGTCTAATTATTCTATATCCTATTGTATCATCCATGGTGTTTTCTCACTTGTTGTACTAACAAATACCAATCTACTGATACTACCTACGTTTGTGCGTCGGTGGCACAGCGGTAGAATGCTCGCCAACGACGCCTCAGATGGTTCGGGGTTGGGTCCTCAGCCGACTCACTCCTTTACCTCGCTAAGCCAGTAATAAAACTGGCAAAGAAGGAAGGTTGGGTATGAGGCTAGCAACTCCATCCCCACAAAAAATAGACACAACTGCTACTAAAACTTCAAGCCTGTAGCTTGAAGTCCTATGTTCCACCGAGAACGTAAAGGAATAAAATAAATAGATAACACTCACGTTTGAGTTTGTCACTGAACCTGTCGCTTTGTAGTATGAAACACACATATTTATCCCATTTGAAACATGAATCTATCCAGGAAATAATGATCACTGCTAAGACAGCAGTCAGTTGCTGAGCATTTTAATCGGCTTGCAAATTTATGGATGGTAAATAATGAAATAGAAGTAATGAAAACAAATATAAAGTGATTGCGTATTTTATAACTAATGACGATCTATTTAAGATCTATTTCACAGAGCACAACTTATAAATTCGTAGTGATAGTAAATGTTCTTCAAACCAAGAGTAACTAGATTTCATGCTTTACTATGTGTGAAGAACAAAACAGTTTTTATTGCTCACATGATTTCATCATGAGCTGACATTCGTTACAGAACCATTGGAAAACCAACAGGGAGTACTGGACAGTTGTTTCATCCTAGTTTGTGACTCTTCATCAGTACGCACCCATCATAGGGGTTCGAACCCAGGACCTTCTGGTTACCAGGCGAGTTCGTAGACCACTAAGCCACTGGGACCCAATCCAATGGCCTATGAATTCTAACTTCTGTCAATCCACGACATAGTGCGACCGATAACCAACGTCTTTGGCGAGTAATTGTCCTTACACACGGCTTCCCATTAAAAACCCAGGTAACTACCTACCTGAATAGGGCCAGTCGCCAGTGAGCATCTCATTGATATTCAAGTATTGGTTTTTGGAGATTTGATTGATTGATTACAGAATTTCATCATTAGCTGACATTGGTTAGAGGGCCATTGGAAAACCTGGGATTACTTATTGATTTTGTAATTTTGACTTAATATTAATTTTCTTTCATTTTGAGTGAAATACAGGATTTCAGTCTTCAGAATTTGAATTTTCAGCAGCTATGGTTATATCGTCTGTATAGGATGAGGTTGCCAGCCAAATGTCCACCCCAATTCATTTTTCCGTGCCTACTACGGGTTAGTAACCCAGGAGAAGTGTAGAAGTGTATCCATGAGGAATCGAATCCAGACCGCCTAGGTGGCTGGCAAAGATACTGTCATTGAGCCACCAACGTTAAAATACGATAATGAACAATAAAGATGCAATATTGAACTTTGTTATGCTTGCTCTCATTTAATTGATCTATGGATGACCATTAAAGACTCGAAGTTTTCAGATTTCATCTGATAGATTCTCTGAAATGTGTACGTCATGAGCAATTTGTTTCACCACTGGCTGATGTGAGTATTGGTAGTATACAACTACTCATTTCAGTCAGTCAGTAGTATATGGTCCTAATTGGACTTGGATATGATGGAGAAGATTTTCAGCTCAGGTGGATGATTTTGATCTGGTTGTGTTCTCTTTGTGCTGGATAGTTAAGTTGCAAAGCTTTCATTGCCATACTAGGCGGCATCTTCTGCGCATACGTCAATTTGTCGAAGTGAGCTTTTACATTTCTCCATGAGTTTATAAGTCATCTCTCCCGGTGACCTTGAACGTGATTGGTTGTTTTTGTGTTTCCACACTCTCTAGGCTAAATTGGCCAAAGTGGGCGTCCCCTACATCTTCGTATCCATGATCATAAGCTAGCCGTCAAAAGACATGACATCCACTCCCTCATATCACTACATACAGACAACTACGGTCATCATTTAAACTGGGAAAATCTTCAAATATTAGACAGAGGAAACAACAAAAATGATAGAGAATTTTTAGAAGCCGGATTTTCAAGTGAATCGTTAATTAATAGATACATTAACATAGACAATATTTACCAATCGATAAGAAGGAAATCTCACATACAAAGGGTTAAACTTCAGGTCAAGGAAACAGTCAGTACCAACACCAATACAAGTAGCCTAGAGGGTGTGAAAACACACAAAAACAACCAATCACATTCAAGTTCACCAGGAGAGATGACTAATAAACTCGTGGAGAAATGTAAAAGCTCACTTCGACAAATTGACGTATGCGCTGAAGATGTCACCCAGTAGGGTGATGAAAGCTTCGCAAATAAACCACTATCCAGCTAGCTCAGAGAACATAACCACATCAAAATCATCCACCTGAGATACAAATTTTCTCCAGCAGTTTGTTTCATCCAAGCAGTCTGTCAGTAAATCGTGTGATGGATTTTTGAATGAAAACATGTATTTTCTAATTTCTTAACCATGTATAAAGTTTTTAAATAGATTAAAGTTCCCCTTAGTTTAGTCGGAAAAAGATAATTTTGTGTGAACAATTGTTTTCGACAACTTCTATCTCTGGCTCTACAGTTATAAACCCATGAATGTTAGAATACGCATAGCCGATAAAGGCAAGTGAAAATTATACCAGAAACTTTATTGGAGTACATGCATAGGATGGAATGATAATTCGTTGGTTAATATTGTCAACTGAATGTATTTAAAATGTACAGTCATTCAGAACACAAGACACAATGTGAATAGACAACTGGGTGACATACCAATCTATTTATGATCAATCGAATGTAAGTTCCACTGGGGGGGGGGGAGCTAGTGAGCTATATTCAGTAGTGTGAGAGGAATATGATTCTGCATCCAGTGATAACATACGTTTACCATTTATATTAATATCGTTTATCCGTTCAATAAATTTAAAAGTATCTTAGATACTACTTACATAGTTGTAGCCTCACAGGATCTAGCATTTTGGACAAACATCCATCCAGTACTCGGGCTGCTTTCGCTAACTTACACCGTCTCTGGCGTAGGCGTGACATCCGGCTATCAACCGAGGGACGTGTATACTGCTCAGCAGTTCGCTCCGTCCTTGTCTATGGCTCTGAAACATGGCCAATACGAGTTGAAGACATGAAAAGGTTGTCTGTTTTTTATCATAGATGTCTACGATCTCTTTCTCGCGTTAGGTGGTATAATAAGGTAAGTAATGTTGGCGTTAGGCGTAGAGTGTTGGGCAAAGAGGGAAAATCACTCGAAGAGGCTATAAAGTTACATAGATTGAGATGGCTAGGTCACGTGCTGTGCATGCCTAACCATCGCCTCCCCCGACGGGCATTACTACCTTTGTGTGCTCTTTGGAACGTGGCAACTCGAACTGCTGCACCTCGGTGCCAAGTTCTATGTTGAATCCAGCCAGCCAGTGCCCTCTAGTTTTCAGTGGTTCTCTAACTGGTGTTGTTTTGTGACGACATCTGCACCGAAATAAAACTTATTGTTGACATTTTTCAATTCATAATGCAGAAGATTTGTAACCATCTTTAAAAGGAATGGATATCCTAATAATTTCATCACAAAGTTTTTCAACTCGAGCCATAACACCAACAACAAGCCAGCATCAAAGACTGCAAGAAAGTTCATCCTACCATATATAAAAAATATTTCTGAAATAACGGCTGGAATTTTAAGGCCGTTTGAAATAGATATAGCACATAAGCCAGCCAGCACAATCACTTCATTCCATATTGTGTAAACCGAAAGATCCAACAGGAAAAGAAGATGAAATCAGTCCCATCTACCAAATAAATGATGTGAACTGAAATAAATATTACATCAGTCAAAGTGGGCGTCCCCTTAGAATCCTCATCCATGAACACAAATTAGGTATAAAAAGGTATGATATATATTCTTTCATACCAATGCATGTAGATAATTATGAACACCAATTTCGATTGGGATAATGTCGAAATTTTAAATAGAAGAAATACCAAAAATGCCAGGGAATTCCTAGAAGCCTGGTACTCGACATGTTTAAAATTGGTTCAAGTGGCCGACCAGTTTTATGTACCATATGATTATCACATAATACATACAAACAAATACCAACAAATGGGGAATAATGAATGTAAGTTCACGGGCTGACAGGCATCAAGTGTAGCGATAAAATAAAGAGGTTAAATTGTGATGAACTGTAATGAAATACTAGAAACGTAATAAGCTTAGTGTAAATTATAAAGTTTGACCAATATTATAATTATTATTGTTCCCTTGGGTTCCTAGTGAAACAAAGGGCTTCAACTGCACGTCTCCACTTGCTTCTGTCTTCTGCTGTACTTTTCACCTGCATCCATGTTATTCCATACCATTTCAACTCCTCTTCATACGATCTCCTCCATGTCACCCTTGGACGTCCCACTCGCCGCTTCCCTTTCGGGTTCCACTCGAGAGTTGGCCTGACGCGCGATGTTACCCAGTGGCCTCCTCAGTGAGTTTCCAATAATATGGATGAAAATGGAGTGAAGTAAACTAGGTGAAACGAATAAGAAAGGCATAGTATGAAGTGAAAATATGAGATAATTATGTCCCTGATGAGGACAAATGTCCTATTTTTGCACACTGGTTAGCTTTCCTCTCATTAATCTCTCCAGCTTCAGCTATAGCTAGGGAATGTAATCGTGTGCCCTTAGGCAGATTGTTTGGTACTCAATTTAAAACCATAAATGACTCATCTATTTTCATGTGGTGTCCATTATCTGCTGGATGAAATAAATTGACACTATTTATTGATCTAGTTATTCTATTTCCAAGCCAAAGAGGAACGTGTTCATGAGTGCGTAAAGATAAATTCCTCTGAGTTCGACTTACATAACTATTTCCGCATGAGTAGCTGAATTTTTACGCATACATTTATGTGGCCATCTTTGGTAATTTTTCTTTAGTGCACTATATCAGTGTTCTGCAGCAATGAAAGTTCTTTCAATCTATCTTATCAACCTACAGCTTATTATATCACTGAATTTAACACCTTTAAATCGTACTCTTAAATAAAGCTTTTTCTTAAGCACTTAATTTGATTAGTATTTTGGGAAATACACGTTTTTTTTACAAAATTGGTAGGATAACCATTTTGTACTCTTAAGATTTTCAATCTCACCTTAAATACACTCATATGAAGCCTGAAGAAGAACTTATCAAAAACAATTATTCTTTCAAAACCGTCTTGCTCGAAAGCTTTCTGCAGCTTAACGACAAATCTATAAGACAGACAACAGTACTAATTAGGAGATAGGTGCTAGATTAGGAGAACTACAAAAATATGTACAAGATCAGACATTGGGTGTAGTCGAGTTTTGAATGGCATTCTTTATGAAACTTTTAAAAATGTAGCATACTCAAAGATTTCATCGAAATGATACAGAAATGTTAAATTTTGTTCCTGCTTTTTATCTGGTGAAATTTTAGGCTGACCACTTTTTTGGATCCTGCAAATTGCCATCAGAAACAAATTATCTGTACGAAGTAAGTTTGTTGCAATAAAAACAGTTGGTGGCATAAAACAGACTTCTAGGTCACTAAAATACAATGAGGTGTGTCCAGATCTTTTTTCGCTTAAAATTCTAGGTGTTTAGTTGGTTTAGTAACATGCTGTAGGCTGTTAACTCAGTATTAGTTTTTCTTATCGCTGGTTCATTAGATTAATGTGGTCATTTAAACACACTTTTTTCTATAGTTTTTGGTTTGTAAGGATTAGTTATGTTTTACGAGTTGATCACAGACTGATATCAGTTAGAGAACCATTGAAAACCAGGGAGTACTGGACAGCTGCTGTTTCATCCTAGATTGGGAATCATCGGCAGTACGCACCCACTGGGATTCGAACCCAGGACCTTCCGGTTACAAGGCAAGCTCGTATACCATTCAGCCACTGGGACCCGATTCAATGGCTCATGAATTCTAACTTCTACCAATTCGTGATTTTAGCGCGACCCCAACCATTGTCGTTGGTGGGAAATCCATCCACACACGTGACATCTAATTGGACCTCACTAGTCACGACTTCTCACTAGCTTGATTCCAAACCGCATTTTTGGTACAAGTATGGAGTTTTCAGCATGTGATATCGGTGGCACAAATTTGACAGGCCGACCATTGATATCAGATTTGCGTCGGTAGGGGATCGAACCGCGGACCATATGCATGGTCGGCGAGAGTCCTCACCACTGTGCCACCGACGCACACTTCAAAAAACATTTAATTTATTTCAAATAGGACCAGACAAGTGAAAAAATCACCATGGTTGTCAGAAAACTACTTTTCAAAGGGTGCCCTGATGACCATCAGCTTAGTGCCTATAAATTTTGAAAGTTACTTCTTCTGTGAACACTCCCATGTATGCACTTTGATCGTTTGATTTTGAGGACGTCATGAGTAGTTTTAATTAGTCATTATTATATTTCCAAATAGATGTTTGCATGCTGCCAAAAGCCTTGCATTTAAGCAGCCCAGCTAAGATTATATCTCATTTGAATAACCTTCTGAGCTTGAAATAATTACTGATATTGTGTCATGTGCTACTGATAAGATTTATCAGTAGTATATTACGGGACGCTCATCGGCAAAATCATATCAATTAAAGGAGAAATAGATTTGATGTCAAAGACTGGAAATAAGCCATTGTTGCCGCAAAACATGGGAGATATGAGAAGAAGACAAAGAAACACAATGTGAAGGTCAGAGATGGTCGAAAATAGAAGATTTGTGCAAATGACGAATTTTAAATAAGATGTACATAATTTCCATATATATATATATATATATGTGTATTTCAAATTCCTAATGAACATTTAGCTGCTAAGTCTCTTGTCTTCTGCTGTTACGATAATACTGCATAAAATGTGCTTTAAGCTTCTTTATTGTACCGTATTTAAGGATAGTCTCTTTGAATTTGATGAATGAGTTATACTTTAACCATACTTTAGCTGAGCAATACCAGAAAATTCCCAGACTGAAGCAAAATAGTTAGCGAGTTATGATGCAGAAGATTTGTAGCTCAGGTGGATGCAGGAAATCTCACATACAAAGGGTCAAACTTCAGGTCAAGGAAACAATCAGTTCCAATACAAGTAGCCTAGAGGGTGTGAAAACACACAAAAACAACCAATCACGTTCAAGGTCACCAGGAGAGATGACTTATAAACTCATGGAGAAATCTAAAAGCTCACTTCAACAAATTGAAGTATGCGCTCAGGTGAGGATGTTGCCTAGTAGGGCAATGAAAGCTTTGCAAATTAACTATCCAGCACAGAGAATACAACCAGATCAAAATAACTATTGACTGCTGCCTCGTCCTCGGGGATTCTCTAGCTTATTTCAATTCAAGTCTATACCTACCTTGACGTGAATCAAACTTCAAAACATACAAAATCCGAATACCTGTTATTTGTAAGACTTTAAACACAGAAGAATATTATAAGTTATAGCGAACGTATCTAATAGTTTTAATCCTACTGCAATGTAGTACATGTTAAGTACTACCACTAGTATTGAAGTCAGTCAATGAACAAAACAGCAGTGGTATGGATCTCAAACAACTCCTCATTCACTAGTAGGACTTCAGCTTACCAAAGGAGTGTGAAATTATGAATATTAGACTGGTACTGTGATCGAAGAAGCAATCAACTCAGCACCAACTCATATTTAATCTAAGACATACTCTATAGAAATGTTTACTTCCGTTTTCATTCTACAATAAAAAAAGACAAGTGCCTTCTCCTCTTGCTTACAATTCCATGATGCATTTTATGTTTTCTTTTGTCAATCCATAGACATCGTGAAATTAGATTACACTGGATACGTAGAACAGTTGCATACGCTTCAATTATTTTATCAAAACTTTTAAACAAACTAATGATAAAAGCAGTCACTGGTACAGTTCCAAAGCATTTAACAGTTCAATACAATAAAAAATTTTTAAAGTGTCAAACTACGCTTACTACACAATTAAGAAATTATGTTACTTGTATCTCAGAGATACTCTGTATGAAAATGGATTCAAAAACGTCTGGTAGCGTAATACCATGTGAACTGAAAGTCAATGAGTTATTTCCACTAATTGAAAAGGCTACTCCACATGAAATACTAGAAAGTGGAATTGTTTCATTACTCAGTGAATGGTTTAAGGTCAGTTAAATTCTTTTCTTCAGCAATAATTATTCATTCCTGTCTGTCTCTGTCTGTTTTCGACATAGAACTTTGCACATATGTGAGGCAGTTCAAGTCGCCACACTCCCCACATGTAGCACACAAAGCAAGAGAAGAAAGTAGGAAAAATACATAATAAAGACAGTAAACAGAGGTGTGAGACAAAGGAATAGTAATAACAAAGGACAAAAAAGTTCAATTGGAAATCATAAGTCACAAGGAATGGATGCATCTGCGTCACTGAGACCGAACGATTTTGATCCATGTCACCAATTGTTTCCAACCATTGGCTTTTACCGTCCCGAGGACCCCAACCAGTCAGGAAGTCTACACCTTCCTACGTGGCTTAGACTAACTGTTGTGGATTTCATTGACTGGTGCCATGTTTTCGTTTGACAGCCGCTAGCTCTTTTCCAGCCTGATCCTTTATCAGCTAACATTGCCCATTGTCGAGGAAGGCGATGACTAGGCATATGTAACATATGTCCTAACCATCTCAGTCGATGTAATTTCACAGCCTCGTCGACTGATTTTCCCGCCTTACCTAGTACTCGACCGACGCCTCACCTCAATATTGCTCACCTTATTATACCACTTCACACGGGAGATAGAACGCAGACACAGTTAATCTTTTCATGTCTTCCAGTTGAAGTACAAATAATGTCTTAATTTTCAATGATGAGACAGGGTATTACGTCAGTCTATTACACTTGTCACAAAATTATGAAACCTTTATTAAATGGTTTGAAATCACTCTGTTGTTACTTTCACCTTGATAAGGTTTAAAGTATTTGTATAACTTGGAAATATCCTACAAATTATGTTGTCACATTACGATGAATTATTCTAAGTGTTTTTGGAACAACAGTGTTCGCTGATATCGACAGTTATTACCCAAACCAACCTTCAAAATAAAGGTTAAAAATATCCTTCCATACATCGCTAGCTGATTTGACTTTATAAAAAATAGAACAGAAAAGAGTAAAGACAACTCACTCATCTGGGTCGTTTCCATTACAAGCAGAACAGATGAAGGTGTCAAAAAAACAGTGTTTAAAAAGCAAGACAGACTAAGTTAAACTTTAAGCACCAGTAAGTACCAATGGAATGTGACCGCACCACTGACCTTGAAACTCTCACCAATCAGGTTCGTGAAACCCGGCAAATAATGCTGTAATCATAAAATATGCTTATTGAGGTGTTGTGTTAATAAATGGGAGAACTTGCAAGTTTCAAGTTAGGTTTGGGAAAGATTAAGTTAAGGTTTAGGCTTTGGAACCAGTTAGGGTTAGGGTAACCTAACAAGGGTGACATTAGGGTTGGTTTGAGTCAGAATAGGGTTAGTTGAGCAATATTTTCACATTAGGGTTAAGTTAAGGAAGCATTACAGTTATTGTTAAGTTTAGAAGACTTAGATAGTTACATGCATAGGATGTGGTTAAATTACTCTGTTGATACTCCACAATCCAAAACTAAGAGGTATTTTTGTCACACGTCAGACAAAGCTACCCCGTGTAACTGTTTCATACCTTGTATAACATATATGTATTTTATACTCAAAAATCGCCTCTGTCATGTGGTTGGTGCGTTCAGGGTTATTTATCCGCTAGTACTTATTGGTGCTTAAAGTTTAACTTTGTCTCAAGACAAACCATTAATCTAAAAGTCCGCGTGGAAATCTGCTGTACTAACCAGTAAGAAAAACTAAAATATCAAGTCAGTGGTTATCTATGGTTCTGAGCACTTGGTGCGTCACGTAAAGCATTTCCAACAATCTACTGAAGTCTTTTCTAAACATCTGCTTTTGCCAGAAAGGATACACAACAAGGAACTCTGGCAACGAATCAACCAGGAATCTATCACCCAAGACGATATGCAGAAGGAAATGGAGATGGACTGAACTGAGGCTAAAGGGAACTATTGAGTGACATTGTGTAAAAGGAAGACTGTTGAATAAGATCCAATTAAGAAATGATGAGTTATGCATCCAAGTGTGACATAGAAGAGACTGTGTGAGGAAGAAATGAAAGCGCATGGGGTCAGTCATGGAACCAGGCAAAAAAGACTTCAGAGAACAGGGTGAAATGGAGATGTGCTTCTGAAGCCGTATTTTCCACTAGGAATCCGGGAGAGTAATAAAAATAATAATAAATGCTCAGCATGACATTTTCCTTCATTTAAAATGCGGAACTCCACTCACCTTTAAACAAAAACTGTTTTATAAATAATAAATAAATTTATTTACAGTAACTTTGTGATTCTGTTTATTTCATTTCTGACCAAGAACTCGAACTTAGGAGAAAAGTGCCACTTGAGGACATAATGCTGAGAGTGCAGCTATGCCTGACTTCCACAGTTTTTAAATTCCAAGGGAAAATATATAAAAAAACTGAGGGGTTGCCATGGGATCACCAAAATCCTCGGTTGTAGCAGATATATTCATTGATAGGTAGAAAAACATGGCGATTGAAAAGTTCACCCCACCCCAAAAGTATCGTGGAGGTATGTAGGTGACACATTCACGGTACTTAGAAAACAGGACATAAATAGATTTATCGAACACATCAATGTAAAGGTGGAGGCAATTCAATTCACTTATGAATTAGAAAATCAGGAAGGGGAGCTTCGAATGTTAGATTGCAACGTAAAAAGGAAAGAAGGTGTGAAGTTAAACACTAGTGTTTACAGGAAACCCACACATTCAAACAGATATTTGGACTTCCGATCATTCCATCTTATGTCAGTGAAAATAGGATTGGTGAAATGTTTAAGTGACAGAGCACAAAAACTAAGTAGTACCAAGGAAAATCTAAGACAGGAAGTGATACACATAAAAGAAGCTTTGAAACTTTATAATTACCCTGATAAATTAGTCAGGGAATATGTAAGGAAATGTAAAAATAAAATAAATAATGATAGTAGCGATAGTAATAATAATAATAGTAATGATAACAATAATCATGATAATAGTAATAATGATAATAATAATAATATTAATGACGACACCAATAATAAGGAATCTAAATCATCAGTAGTAATTCCATACAAAAAAGGAACGTCGGAAACCTTACACAGAATTCTTAACAAGGCAGGAATAAAAATGGCATTCAAACCCACAAACTCAATTAGAAACAAGCTTTGTCGGTTGAAGGATCCTGTAGAGCCTTTAAAACAAAACAATTTAGTTTATCTAATACCCTGCCTGCAATGATTGTCAGGTCAAATACATAGGTCAAACTAGTAGAACAGGGGCAGTCAGTCTAGCTGAACATAAAAACTTAGCGAAATCTAGATTGGTTGATCCAAATAAGATAAAAAATCTAGAGAATAGTCCAGCTATAGCACTACATGCAGTTACACACAACCATACAATAGGATGGGATAGGATGACAGTTTTAAAATCTAATGTCACAGGGTGGAGGGAGAGATTGACAACAGAAGCTTTGTTTATCGAATCAACTGCAAATACATGTAATAGGAATGATTCATCACCTGTCCCAGGTATCTGGAAAATTCTACTACCCCAACGACGACAAATAGTAGAGAAAAAAGAAAACTATAAAACTCAAGTTTCGAAGTCGTGTGATTACAATTGATATGATTATGAACAATAAATTTTGTTCGAAACGTCATCGAGTAAATAATACTGTTTCACTGTGTGATACATCTAATAAACAAACTAATATGGAATTTCTGGTTACACCAAAATAATATTTCTAAAATCTTTCTATCTCTTGTAGTTTATTTTATCAAACATTCAAAATGAATACTCTGCTAAAATTCCAATCAAGTTATTAGGTGACCTACATAAAGATGCGCATTTGTACGTGTTGAATTCTTCACTTACCTATGAAAATATTGAAATACTGGCAAAAAAGCTGATTTCTGTTTTGGAATTAGTAAGTTCTAATCATAAACTATTAATATAATTTTATAAAATATTCGTGATAATAAAATAATTATCAAGTTTTGGTTTGCAAGGATTCGATTGACTACAGGTTTGATAACAAGCTGGCATCAGTTAGAGAACCATTGAAAAACCTTAAGTGAGTACTGGATAGCTGTTTCCCCCTTAATTTGGGCCCTTCATCATTAAACCCCACTGGTGTTCGAACCCAGGACATTCCGGTCTTCAGACAAGCTTGTAGACAATTTAGCCACTGAGACCAGGTCCAATGGCCTTTGAATTCCAACATTTGCCAATTCGCAATAGTAAATAATTCATTTTTAATTAGGTCATCGTAATGTGTATTTCAGTGCGTCAGTGGCTAAATAGCACAGTACCTGCAGACTTTACACCTGACGAAATTTGAGACCTCGCCAAGTTAACCAGTCGATAGTCAGCCTGGAAAGAGAAGAGGTAGGGTGTGGAGCAAGTAGCCCCGCCTCTTAAAAAAACAACACCTTGTGCCAGTGAAACTACAAGGTTTCAGTCTTTAAGCTCTATGCTTCACTCGGAATGTAATGGATGAATATATATATATATATTAGCATGTTATTTAAGTGAAACTGTCACTAAGATTCAGTGCTTAGTATATCTAGCTATTTCATTTTTCAAGTTTACTGAGGAATGCATATTAAGAAATAAAAGTACTGTCGGTAGTACACACTTCGGACCTTGACTTTTTTCATAAAAAGAATCAAAAGGTATTTAACATTTCAATGTGGCATCAATCACTCAGTCTATCCAGTCTAATCGTGTGTCATTTGAAGTTTTCGCAACCTTCATAATAATTTCAGAAGAAAAACAACGATGGTGGTAAGGATAAAGAAATTGCAGATAAATTAAAAAAAGACTACAATTTCAGAATAAATGAAACAAAGGGCTATAAGATAAGCTGTTGATATTCATTACGAACTTAATAGCTGAAGTTTAGAATCTAATGAATGCGATTACTGTAAATTAATCCCAGGCAAAAGTAATGTATGGTTCTAAACACACCTTAGATTAACAATAAGTAGCGTGGTAGGCGATAATGATATTAATTTTTGTTACAAAGTGAAATAAAATCTAAAGGAAGAAAATAATATTTCCATCACTATCAAATGTAACTTGAAGTCAACTGGTGGATGGTAACTAGCAGTGGAATCCAGGATGCGCGTTTTGTTCTATTTGAGACTCGTCGTCTGGATGTAGTTGCATTCTCCAGTGAGTGATGGTGTTTCCATTAAATCTTGAACCAAGTGCCCATAGTTTCAAATGCCAAGGCGTTATCCACTAAACCACCTGGGCTGCAGTTAGAGACGTTGCCACTGACCTATTCGGGTGACACGGGTTTGAATCTCAGAAAGGACATGAGTTTCCTCAAGGCTGCAGATACACCTTACTGACTGTTGAGTGCCAACTAGCACGAAACCTAGGTCCAAGGCTTCCTATAAATTGCATCCAACAATCTAATATCAGCAATTCACAATGACCGTGATAGCGAGCCACCTAGCATGGTGGCCACATTGCCAACGTGACAAATCGAATTCAGTCTGTACTAAAGATAGGACTAGATACATTATACTAGTTACTAACTAGTGTTCAATCAAAATAAGTACTATTTAGTCAATAAAGAAGACTGACACAAAACCTGGTCTTAAAAATTAGAGTTTGCTTCATATAAAATCGTGTGGATCGGTGGTTCAGCGGTAAAACACTCGCTAAACAACCCAAGTGATCTGGAGTTCGATCCCTGGCTGACAGACGTACACTTAAACCTCGCTAAGCCGGTAGTAAAGCCGATAAAGAGAGCGAATGTTGTGTATGAGGCTAGCAACCCCACCCCGTAAGCATGAAACTACTTCTGCTGAAAATTCTAAGCTCCAAGTTGAAGCCTAATGTTCCACTTGGAACGTGAAGGAATAAAATAAATAAAAATCAAACAAAATCAAGAGATCATAGAATGAGATGTTTAATAAATGAATTGGAAACTTCTGTATTTCCCGTATCATGATTCAGTACAAATGAAGTATATTATTTTCAGTTTGTAGAATTCAGGACACTTAAATGAAGTTGATGTCTAAACAGCCTTTACTATGATAAACCATATTCTAAAAGTACTACCATTATATTTATATATGTATGTATATATAACAGTCGCTTTGTTCTGAAAAATACGTCTATATACAACACAGAATTTACAACAGTTTTCTCATTGTAAGAAATTTACTCCTTGGGGAGAATCTTCAAGTGATATCAGAGACGAAAATATATCAACTGAAGTGATACCGTTTTATCACAGACAGGCTTCCACAATCCACGACGTTCTCCCCTCCCATTTCCGTTAGAAATTTCCTAGCGATAGGTTGAAACATATTTGAAAATGTGCCTGAGTACTTTGTACTATGCAGTTATCAGAAATAACTCTATGATTAAAACTTCATCGACTTCGAAAAGGCCTTCGACAGCGTCGATCGAGAGGTGATTTGGAAACTAGTTCGCTACTACGGGTTGCAGCCAACAATTATACATCTCATCCAACAGTTGTACGACAATGCTGCATGGCGAATAATCCACAACGGGAAACTCACGGAATCCTTCGAAGTGAACATGGGATTAAGACAAGGCTGGTTGGCTGCCTACTATCGCCAATGATTTTCCTGATTGAGGCAGATTGGATAATGTGACAGACAACGGGCAGCGAGGAAACAGGCATAAAATGGACCCATACATGCAAAACACTTGGAGGGTCTGAAATTCGCCAGTGATAAATGTCTGATTTCCCACAAACTGGAAGATATGCAAGTGGAAAGCAACAAGTTTGCAGAAGAAGCATCCAGAGAAGACAGGACTTCAGGTGAACATATAGAAAACAGAGGCCATGAAGATTCCTGGCCGCCAACAGCGACAGCAACAACAACAGACAACAATCACCATAAATTGGGGAAATCTTGAAGAAGCAACCTTCTGCACCTACCTACCTGGGAAACATCATTTCAACTGCTGTCAAATGGATCTGATGAGGGTATCAAAGCGAGGATCGGGAAAGCAAAGTAAGCTTTCATTATTCTCAAGTCTGTGTGGAGGTCAACAGCAGTCACTATGAGAAACAAGATCCGGATTTTCAACTTCAATGTGAAGCCAGTGCTACTTTACCGATCAGAGACTTGGCACCGCGTCACGAACGGCGATTCGAACAAACCACAGACTTTCATGAACAGCTGTCTTCGCTCAATACTACTCAAGATCAGATGGCCGGCCAGGAAAGATCAGCAAAATGGATCTCTGGGAGCGAACCAACCCGGAAAGAATCGATTATACGACAAACAGGAAGGAAGAAATGGAGGTGGACTGGTCACACTCTGAGAAAACAAATCATCAAGTGACATCACACCCTAGGCCATCACTCGAGTGGAACCCGAATGGGAAGCGGTGAGTCGGTCGTCAGTGCGAGGGTGACATGGGGGAATTCATGCGAAGAGGAGATGAAAGAGTGTGGGCAGACGTGGAGCCAGGTGAAAACGTTGATAGAGAACCAAACGCAATGGAGACTTGTGGCTGAAGCCCTATGTTCCTCTAGAAATTAAAGGAAACAATAATAGTAGTAATAAAACGATGTAAAATGGGGGTAAACACAATAAATTTAGGCGGATAGAAAATTTAGGTAGCCCAGTGATTTAGGCAGGCCGCCAAAGTTGAAGTGCCAGCTTCCTTTTTGCAACTTTAAAGCTATAGCCAGTATATAACCTAAAGCTGAACTTTATACTACGAAAATGACATAAATGTTACTTCTTACTCAGCCTGCTCTATACTTTCCTACTAAGAATTATGGAGTTTCACTTATGTCATCAAAGTGAATCCCAGTTGAAGCATTTGTTACAATCGAATTAATCCTGAAAACACTCTAAATTATTTTCATTCCTATTATCACATCTTTTTATCTGTTTGTCCCATTAAGATGGAAAAGTGTTAATTTTAAAAACATTATGGTAAAACTCTCAATGCATCCACTTTTTATTCCTTGGCGTTCCGTGTGGTACACACAGGGACTTCAAACTTGAACTTAGAAGTTTCAGTAGCATTGGCGAGGTTGCCAGTTTTATATTCGACTTTTACTCATTACTGGGGTAACTACCAGCTATGGCGGTGGGTGAGTTAGGAGTGCATCGGCTACATATTGAACCCCGAACCAATCGTGTAGTTATTGATTATTCTATCACTGAACCACCGAGGCATGCTCTCAACACATTGGTACTGTTATTTTAAAATGCAAGCATTAAATGCACATAAATTCTATTCTGAGGTGATCTAAAAAATGATGTCAGTTTCATATTTAACTATTCATTCAAATTATCGCCAATATGAAGATTTAAATGATCACAGTTTCTTTCCTTTTTTTAAGACTGAACACTTTCCAGTTTCAACATTTAGTCAGTTAAACTTATCTGACCAGTTATTGACAAGTCCGCTACGTTTATGTCCACAGTTAATAGAAAAATCTGTGGCTGAGATTTTAAACAAAGAAATGTTTATCGGTGAACGTCAGCCTTATTTTCGACAAGTAGATATTTCAGGATCTTATGTTTCTGTACAACCTTTAGTAACTGTAAAACAACTTCAAGATTGGATACTGAAGACTGCAGCTAAAATACCTTGGTAGGTTCGATAGTTTTTTCATATAAACATTTCTTCATTGACAAATATTTCTACTTATTTTTATGTTCCTGACTTAGTCCCTGTTGAGTACAATAATTCATCAAAGTGTTTGTGCAGATATGAAGATTAATCTTTTGATTATGTCTTAAACACCAAGCTAATAAGCTTAATTTGTGATGAGTTGTGTGCGTCGGTGGCACAGTGATTAGGACTCTCGCCGACCATGCACATGGTCCGGGGTTCGATCCCCTGCCGACGCACACCTGATATCAATGGTCGGCCTGCAAAATTTGGGCTACCGATATCACACGCTGAAAATTTCATGCTTGTACCAAAAAAACGGCGTGGAATCAAGCTGTAATAATAAATTAAAAAATGAGTTCTCTTGTGTGGATTCAGTCTGTTTGAAGTTTGATGATGGATTGAAAACCAGTACTAGATTACTGGACAACTGTTTCTTCCTAGTCTGGGACTCATCGGAAGTACGCACCCATCGAGTTATGAACCCAGCAACATCCTGTTACCAGTGAAGCTCCTATGCCATTCACCCACTAGGACCTGAAACGATCCCATCTTCAACAAATTTGTGATTTTAGCGTGATCACCAACCAATATAGTCGGCATGTATTTGTCCTCACTCCCCACCTTGTGGACCCTAGGGGTCACGAGTTCTCACTAGAACTCCAGTCCCCTTGTCCTGCAGCCAGTCACTGGCCAAGACTCGGTTGATTTTCAAGAATTTGTTTGTAGCCATATGATTTGTTTAATCATGAATCGGTAAGGCAAGGCAGACAGACCTTCATCATTCTAAAACCAGTTTGGAAATATGATATACTCCTCAGCATAAAGAACAAGATTTGGATTTTCAGAGCACATGTTAATTTGGCCAGTTCTTCTCTGCGGGTCAGAAACTTGGCACCAGCGTCACCAAAAGCATTCCCAACAGACTACCGTAAGCTTTTCTCAACAGCTGCCTTCCCTATATATTGAGAATCAAATGGCCAGAAAGAATCAGAAGCAAGAAACTATGGGGACAAACCAACCAAGAACCTATTGCTCAACAAATATGTGGAAGAAAATGAAGATGACACACGCTGTTGCGCACCAAGCCGTTGCTCAAATGGAACCTTAATGGGAAACAATGAGAGGGGCGTGTGTCTGAGAGTGACACGGGGGAGATCGTGTGAGGAAGAAATAAAAGCATACAGGCAATTGTGGAGCAAGCTAAAGAGGACCTTAGAGAATAGGTTGGAATGGAGGTGTGCTGCTGAAACCCTGTTCCACTTGGAACTCAATAGAATAATAGATTATTACAGGAGAAGAAAACCGATACAATTCGCTTATGAAATAAAAGTCAAGAACAACATCTAGGAGTGTAAATATATTGCTCAAGACATAAAAAATCCCTCGTGATAACTCCTGAAATCTCACTGGATTTGAAAAGAAATTAGTGATTGCATTATACTAAATAAACTATTTAACAAAAGATTTTTGGCTTATAACATTAGGATTAGGCTACAAATGCTCTACATATGTGAATAAATCCAGATAGCCTGAATACACAAAGGGCATAGTGCTTGTTGCTGCTTACCAAGTGATGATTAAGAAATAATATGGGGAATAATCATCAAGTATCATTTTTATCCTATCGGAAAAGAAACCATGCATCTTTGAGATCATCAAAACTAGTCATTACTGAATTAACTGATATTCAACTGGCACATCGAGGATGTTATGAATGTAAACCATATGATTGTTAATGTTTTGCAACAAGTACCTTATTTCACAATGTATTTCGGTGATTCTGAAACTTTCATGTACTATAATCACCAATCTGATACATTCCACTAGAGAATTTAAACACAAAATCGTTATTACTTTTTTTACATTCAACAGTGGAGACTTAATTTTCTTGCTTTGAAAACGCCTGGAGTGATTTAACAGCGAAACAGAGAATAAAGAAGTTGGCTTGTCTTTTATATATACCTTTGCTTTGCTAAATGTTGAGAATTTTCCGAAAATGTTTAGGACAGATTTTCTGATGTAACATTGAGATTGCTCTTGATGAAATTTCTGGGACTTTATTAAGTAACAATCTTATAAACTAAGTGAATATCGTAGAAAGTGGGGAGTGTCAATTATAACATCCAGTTTTAAAGAAAGGCAGTTATCGCGAGTATAATCCTCGAGACATAAGAAGTATCATATTTAACTACATAGAAATGAGTGACTAATACTGTGGGATATAATAGAAGTGTTGAAGCTTGATCGTCTTTTAGTACTTAGATAGCTACATCATATGAACTTTAGTGATACCGGATTCATAAGGAACGGCAAGAACAGAAGTAACAACTAAAATTGACTTCTTAACTACATTAATGCTGTTGCATTATGTTAGAGTAACATTTTCTGTGCTAAGCGGGTGAGGATTTTGATCATCCTGTTACTTTATGTCGTCCAACGCATGAAAAATAGTTTCAGTTTACTGCTTCTGCTGCATTTTTGAGTGTATTAGGTCTGTTCACATTTCTGTTTTTTATGTGACCTATATCTAGCGATAATTTCCTGATCAGAATTATTAGGCTTATAGGCTAAGTGAAATGCAATAAAACCGATAGAGGAGTATACATTTCACCTCTCTCTATCTCTGATTCGCAGGTATTTCGTTTGAGTGGTTGGAGGATTTCATCATACGCTGAAATCAGTTAGAGAACGATTGGGAAACCAACAGGGAGTACTGGGCACCTAGTTTGGGACTTTTCATCAGCACGTATCCACCGCCAGGGTTCGAACCCAGGGCCTTCTGGTTACAAGGTTAGCGAGGTCGTAGACCATTAAGCCACTAGCCAACCCATAAGTTCTAACTTCTAACAGTTGACGACATGGCACGATGACTTAGGAATGTTTTCGATGAGCAACTCTGCTCACCTTCGACCTTCTGTAACCTACTGGTCACGTCTTCTCACTGCAAATATTTACATGATCAACACTACCTTGAATATTTTGTTATTCGTTCATCTGAAATACTTTTCTTAATTTGTCTAGGTATATGGATGAATTACACAACCTTGGTTTTGTTCATGATGTTAATGTAGCACCATGTTATATTACTCTTCTTCCTCCAAAGCACTTGATGGTAAGATAAAATCTGTGTTTTGCATCTATTAATACGTTTACCAATCGTAGTATAAAAAATGTTTGGGACAAACCCTGTCATTCTGTGTAAATACATTGAAGTATGCTTCCAACGAGGATCGTTTCTGCATATAAATATGTAAATGAACTAACTGTTCTACAACTAGATGAGTCGAATTTTAAAGAATATTATAACTGAGAAGTAAATGAGAAAATAGTAATCTCCTTAAGGGTAGTAGCTAAAACGGAATTCATATTCCTTTATTAAGATAATATTCAATAGTGAAATTTGTCGTTTGCAAACTACACAACTCGAGATGAGAAACTACGTCGCATCATGGCGACTGTGTACTTAACAAGCGTAAAATTCATTTCTTTGTATTAGCAGTTAACCCAAGTAGTTAGGCAAAATACGAATGGTTTGAAATAATTCGGCTATCTGACCTCAGTCAAATCGCGTACACTGCTGATAAGCTTGACACCAAACGACCGACAAGGCCGTCTGGTGTTTAGATGTTCTCTTTATGGTTAGAAACCATCCCTGTTTGATGCAGGTGATTTATAATTACTCTTAACAATCAGAAATATATACTACCACAATATTTATCTATGTATTTAGAGCCAGAATTAATAACTATGGTCATCATGATAAACTATATAATACTTTTATTAAAGTTTCAAAAAGGATTGTTCTTCTAGAAGTCAGGAAGGTTGTTAGATATTATATCAGTTGATGGTGCCTACCACTGGAAACTTAGACGTGAGTTTCATCCTTTTTGGAACTTATGAACTGAATGTACTTGCGTTTCCATGAGACTGAAAACTAACACCAATTATTTAATACTCCAAAGCACTTTTTACTAACTACGGGTATTAAGTGTTATGTACTGAGACATTTGATTTCGCTGTTGGTCATTTACCTGGATCAAAATGTCTGGTTTATATTGGCACATTGTATCCTAGTATGGACACTTCAGTGTGGATTAACTTAATAGTTTTCGAAGTGCCCCTAACTTGTAGATTTAGTAAACATTTGCATTGATTTATTCAATTCCAAATAATTAAAAGTCACAAAAATTTTATCCGTTTAATATCTTTTGACTGCGTTAGACGAATGCATGTTCTTAAACTGTGTTCTGTAGTATTATGAATTCCTTAAGTCGAAACATATCTCACGTATACTTGAATTAGGAATGGACTTTTGTCTTCAGAAGTAGTGAGCGACGTTTGAAAAACAAACGTATTCCATTAGATTACATATTTGGAAATTACCAATGTAATTAAAAAAAGTAATTCACTGAACAGAGCAGAATGTAAGCAGTTCGGTCATACGTAACACCACATTTCAGTATTCCATGTTTAAGTAACAAATATTTCCCATTTCCGGTCAAAAATGATATCACCATTCTATTTCACAGGTTCTCATCAGCTGCCAGCTACCTAAAATTACAACGGTTAGGGAAACGACGGTAACATACTTCATTCTTTGAATAGGAGTAGAGGAAATGGTATTAAAATTTAATACATCCAAAATGTAAGCACCACAATTTTTGATTAAGGTTACCATCAATCTATATGCTTTCAAATTAGAAAATGAAGAGGGAGAGGAGACAGGGAACAAAAAATCTGATAAACAATCTTAATTTATAAGTTCACGTAGCAATTCAAGAAGTCTGTAGTTCAGAAGATTGAAATTTGCTCAATGAGCATAGTGTGATGAGAGCTGTCTGCAAGCCAAAATTGTAGACAACAATTTACGTCAATGTTTATGTCCTGAATCAGGGTCATGAGAAAACACAAGAACAAAGCTTAACCTTTAGGAACTCACCAACCAATCACAGCAGACGTAAAGTGTGCAAATACATTCGCAGATATATGGCTTAATTTTCTGAGAAACAGTTATAAGCAGTTCAGAATAACCTTCAGCGGGAAAACAACCAATCAGAAGACGTTGCCTCTCTGCTGACAATAATATACATAAAGAGCCATAAATATCTCTTGATTTTCTCGATAAACGATCTGCTGCGTGGCCCTTGTCTTTTGTCATTACAATAGATCACTAACTTGGATAACTAATGAGTGTATTCAGAATGCCGTTAACAAGGGAGTGAGAGGTTGCTGACACTCTCTTTCTGTGTACACAATTTCGGTTTGAAACGTGTGAATGCAATCGCTTCAGTAAATCATAGTAAATTTGCTGTCCTTTGTGTGCTAAGTATTTTGAAAGATTTGGAAATTTCGACAAATTTCCCGTATCCACAAGGTGTCTGGTAATTGTACCATGTGAATATCTGCTTCATTATGAACATAAGTGTTTTGCAATATGTTCAGAAAATAGTACTGAAGCCACTCTTTTTATCCATCTTATGTACTTGTTCCCGCAAGTGCATATGAATTTCTAAACATAGTTGCAGGGGAAATCATCGGGTATTTATCCACAGTTGCTACGTGAACTTATAAATTAAAACTGTTTATAAGACTTTTTGTTCCCTGTTTCCTCTGTCTCTTCCTTTTCTACTTCGAAAGCATATAGATTGATGGTAACCTTAATCAAAAATTGTGATGCTTACATTTCGGATGTATTAACTTTTAATAACATTTTCTCTACTCCCATTCAAACATTGAAGTATGTTATTGTCGTTTTCCTAACCATTGTAAATTTAGGTAGCCGGCAGCTGTTGAGAACCTGTGAAATAGAATGGTGATATCATTTTATACTAGGAATTCGGTCTTTCTTTAGCAGAATTTATCAAGACAACCAAGTATATAGAATATTTCTCACCCTGATATTTATCTTCCATGTTTTTCTAAAGGAAACCAATCATACTATTTTATTGATGAATGCTTATTTGTTATAAGTAATCAAGCTTTCCATAACTTAAAAGCAATTTTAAGATTTAGAACAAAAACACTTAGATCAAACAATTATTTTCAATATGAATACTACATAAAAATAAACTAACAAATGGGATAGATTACATGTAATTACATGACTAATAACAATGATAACCATAATGTAGTGTAAACTTTAAAGTACTATTAGTGAATGATTATCAGATAATAATGAATTTAGTGAAATGAACAGGATTGTGTAAATATAATAACAAGTTAGAAAAAGCATTACGTATAGCCAATGTAATAGAAATCATAAGAAAGGTCACGAAGACACTTGATTTCTGACCTCCTACGACTTCGTAACGTTTCTCCTGCAGTATTCATTTGTCTCACAGTCCACTGATTACACTCACCCTCGAAACTTGTACTTCTGTTGATGATATGTATATATATGTTTGTACAAACTGTTTTACCTCATGTTCTCATTGACCATGCATATTCAAAACTAACCGACTATTGTTCCATCCCTTCTTATACTTATTCCACAATACATTGATATGATTCTAACATGTCTTCACTGGCTACTGTATGTTTAAAATTAATGGATGTATAATTATAGAGGCTGACGAATTTATTGAAAACTGATTGCTCTAACTGTTTTTGTTCTGAGTAAAAGATTTAGTTCTCAATTTTTAAAAAAAAGCATGATAACTCATTCGTTACACCTAATAAGTGATGAAATCGTCAGGAAAACATGCTGACACTCTTATCTTTGATTATCATATTTATCAAAGGAATACATGCAGCCACTGTATAATGTAATTCATGTTCTGGGACTGCAAATACCTCCATCGATGTGGCGCTAATTCTTCTTTTGAAATTGGTCTAAACCCCTTAAATTTATTGACTAACAGTATCTTATGCGCAATGCTATATGTATGAAATTTTCATTGCACAAACTGAGTCGTACTTTTTTTTTAAATTTTCACCAATAAAAGCAGCAACTGAATGAATCACCACTGGAATCTCCACAGCATTCCTATCATGGTGGAATTTTCAACTGGATTGGTACAAATGGTGGCCGTGAAGTAAAATGGGCTAATCCATTACGATTAAATGGCTTTGTACGTTTAATGAGTTCAGATCGAAAATTGAATCAAAAACCCCAACTTTTAGGTTATTTAATATCAAGAGAAAAAACTATTGGTAGATCAACTTCAAAGCAGTTAAATCGCTTAAATTGTGATCATGTTAAGTCAGAAGGCAAAAAACTTAAATGTGGTAAACCAATAAAATCAGCGAATAAACTACACGAAATAGTAATCGGTGTTGATTCAGATGAAGCCAGTTTTTTTCAGGCGATACTAACACCATGGGTTGCATTTGATCTCGGTGTTCTCTTAGAAATAACACATTATTCAATTCAAGTGAATCTATTATCGAATAATTGGCCATCTTTAACCAGCTGGCAGCTTCAGGTGGGTTTATATGTACGTATTATGCTTCTTATTACGTAACGCAGTGGACTGTTTCATGATTAGATGTAACATGAGAAAAACAGTGAAAATTAATTCATTTTCACTTTGTTATTAGTCAAGTGATCACACTTAAAATGTAGTCTCCTAGTTCAGATGACACTCATTTTATTTATGAATAGGGAGGTTTAGTAACGAAGCAGAACCATTAGTCTCTACAACTATGCGGTTCATAGAAAACAGACGGAAAAGGTTATTCAAAACAAGTCAAATATAAAATGTATTTTCAACAAGGCAGTAAGTTAAATTCGGAAGTGAATTTTTCAGAATACAACACAAATTTAAGCAAGAGAAACACTTATAAACCAAGGAGTACTGGTTCCAGTGGATTAATGGTCTACGAGCTCGTCTTGTAACCAGCAGGCCGTGGATAAAGGGTCCCAAACCAGGCTGGTGAGACAGTTGTCCAGTACTCCCTACTGGTTTTCCAATGGTTCTCTAACTGATGTCATTATTATTATTATTGTTACCTTGGGTTCCTAGTGGAACATAGGGCTTCAACTGCACGTCTCCACTTGCTTCTGTCTTCTGCTGCACTTTTCACTTGCATCCATGTTATTCCATACTGTTTCAACTCCTCTTCACACGATCTCCTCCATGTCACCCTTGAACGTCTCATTCGCCGCTTCCCTTTTGGGTTCCGCTCGAGCGTTGGCCTGACGCGCGATGTCACCCAGCGGCCTCCTAAGTGAGTGTCCAATCCATCTCCACTTTCTCCTGCATATTTTTGAGCGATTGGTTCTTGTTTTGTTTCTTCCCATAGTTTCTAGTTGGTGATTCTTTCCGGCCATCTGATCTTGAGTACAGAGCAAAGACGGTTGTTGATAAAGGTCTGCAACCTGTTGGAGATATTCTTTGTGACACACTGGCCAAGTTTCTGATCCGTATAGAAGAACTGACTGACTTGACGCTTGTATTGAAAATCCGAATTTTGTTGTTGATGCTGAGTGGCGAAGATTTCTAGATTTCCTAGATGACTAGCTCACTAGTTTTCTAGCCGGTCCCAAGCCCGGCAACTCCACCCCCCAAAACTTAACCAAATAGCCACAGAAACTTCAACGCACAAATTTATTAACTGATGTCAGCTCATGATGAAATCCTTCACCCAATCAAACAAAATCCCTACAAAAGCAATACTTGAACAAAGTAAATTATTTAATAATGTGTCAAGTATTAGTTTGAGGGGATTTGATTGGTTACATGTTTTACCATGAGCTGACATCAGTTAGAGAACTACTGGAAGCAGCAAAGACTACTGGACAGCTATTTTGCCTAAGTTAGGAAAGAATCATATTATAAGGCGGCTTGATTAAATTTGAGCTACTGAAAACTTCCATCGATATATTGAAGATAATTTCTCTTGTTCACTTTGTTTAAATCTAATAAAATACGGTTCCTAATGGTATTATTTACACTTGTGAGTATTTAAAATGCCTTTGACTCGCTGACTCGCAGGTTTCTATTGAATTTGGGAGAAAGCATAATCCTGGACGACAACATATCACAATACATGAGATAATTGTTCCTGAGTTGTGTTCTTAGTTTTCAAAATGTACTCCTGAACCTTTCATAGTTAACATTTGACCGAATTTCGTACATTTATCGAAGGTGACAAAGAAGAGACATCATAATGGATTGGTTTGCACTTCAGGTCAGATAGAACTGTGTCACACGGCCTACTATCAATTAATATTTTGTTTGGAGATCCTGGATGAAAAGAAAATAGCATGCGATAAACTCCTCTGAAAATTCTGTACATTATATGAATACTGTTCACAATGAAACTATTATTATTATTTTGAAGTATTGGTTTTGCAAGGAATTTCGTTTGATTGGTTGCAGGATTTCATAATGAGCTGATATCAGTTAGAGAGCCATTGGATCACCAACCAGGGAGTACTGGCCAACTGTTTCACCGGCCTGGTTTGCGACTCTTCAGCAGCGCGCACCCATCATAGGGGTTCAAACCCAGGGCCTTCTGGTTGCAAGACGATCCAACGCGTAGACCATTAAGCCATTGGGACCTGATCCAATGGCCCATGAATTCTAATTTCTGCCAATTATTATTACTATTAAAACAGCTATCCAGCAGTTTCTGATTTCAAAATGGTTTTCTAATGTTATCGGCTTGTGATCAATCCTATTAAATGTGTGACAAATGGAATTCAAAATACCCACCAGACAGTTGTTTGAAATACATCTTCTAAAATTTAACTGAGAAAAAACCCACTAAACAATCTTACAGGCAGTGTGTAATTTAACAAAATTTGTGACAATGAAGTTCACAAAATTGTATGCTTTTAAATTACTATTCTGTCTTTCTTGAATTGCACAGAAGGTTAGTGAGTAACTGCATTAATAATTAAACGTTAGCGCGTAGCAGAAAATAATGGGCATTTTACAGAAATTTATTCCTTAGAAAGTGTCTTTAGAATGCCTGTTGTATTAACTTTCCTTTCATATGTATATGTAAACTGTTTATAACAATTTTGAATTCATTTTAGGCCTCAAATAATGGATTTCTATGGAAAGCAATATCAGAACACCATATTATGCCTACAGGTGATCCAAAAGTATATTGGGGGTTGTGTGGAGAAAAGCTTTGGAAGATTAATGTAAACCAGTGTTACAAGGAAAGAAGTTGGCGATTTTTTCGTATTCAGCTATTACCCACAAAAACAATGTCCAGTAATAAATTGTGCTTTAGAAGTATTGAATTTTATGGGAATATTCACAAAGTTTATACAAGTGCTGATGAGGTAAGTTGAGTTATATATATGTATCATACCATAGTAAGAGGTAACTGAGCTTCACATTTTGTGATGACTATTAAATGCAGTCTTAGTGTCTTTATTCAAATGAGGTTTTTTCATTACTTTGCATTCCGAATGGGATGTATGACTTCAAGCTTGAGCCTTGAAGTCTCCGTAGTGGTGGGGATATTTATAGATTATGGTTGCTAGTCTCAAACAAACCTTCCCTAATTAACGGGCCTGCTTAAAACTTTGGCTACCAAAAACTTACATCTCTCTGTTGCATATATTTTCTCTCGTCCAGTTTGTTTTATTCAATTAACATATGACATCTAATGGTATTATCTAATCTTGTGTGTATTTAAAATGTTTACAAGCTTCTGATTGTGGATGTCAACGTGCTCCAATACATGAGATAACTGTTCTTAAGTTATGCCCTTGGGTCTCAAAGTGTACTTCTAAACATCTTACAAATGGCTTACAACCAGATATCGTGGATTTCTTGAAGGAGACAAAGAAGATATATTATAATGGAATGGTTTGTGCAGCAGCTCAAAGACCATTATGTGTCACAAGATATACTGTCAATTAATATTTTACTTGAAGATATTCTATTAGGGGAAATATCATGCAATGAACTATTCTGAAAATTCTGTACATTTTATAAATACTGCTCAGAATAAATATATTAGTATTACTAGCAAAGTTTTAGAGGTACAGCAGCTGGGACTCAAACCCGAACAACCTACATGGCTAGCAAGCATTGCACTGTTTTACCACCAATACCCGTTAGAATCTTAGAAGGGACTGAGTTTCATTCACAACTGTAGATAATCCTTGCTGACGATCTAGTGCCAACAAGCACGAAAACTAGGTGAGAGGTGGCTTCCTGCCGACTACCGCCAACCATCTAATAACAACACTTCTGAGCGCAGGGGGATGGCGAGCCACCTAGCATGGCGGCCACATTGGAAACTTGACTGACAGAATTCACTCTGCAGCAAACAAAGGACTTGGCACGTCATAAAGAGCATCTCAAACAAACTACAGACCTTCATTAACAGTTGTCTTCGCTCAATTCTCAAGATCAGATGGCCAGAAAAGGTCAGCAGTAGAATTCTCTGGAAGCGAACCAACCAGGAACTGACTGTGAAACAAATAGGCAAGAAGAAATGGAGATGGATTGGCCATACTCTGAGGAAACCATCAAGTGACATCACTAGACAAGCCATCGCTCGAGTGGAACCCGAAAGGGAAACGGCGAGTTGGTCGTCAGTGCAAGGGTGACTTGGAGGAGGTCATGTGAAGAGGACATGAAAACGTGTGGGCAGACATGGAGCCAGGTGAAAACTCTAGCAGAGAACCGAACGCAATGGAGACGCACGGCTGAAGCCCTATGTTACTCTAGAAATTAAAGGATACAATAATAATAATAAACAAAGGACTACATGCATGACACTGGATGCAGTACTCAATTAATATTCAAAATTTTCTCTAACAAGATTATTTATCATATCGGAAGATACTGGTGGTTCAGAATATTATCAGTACAGTCGTTTTTTTGCTGTTGAGGTATATATTTGCGTCGGTGGTTCAGTGGTAGAGCACTGGCCGACAGTGCGCGTGGTGCGGGGTTCTAGTCCTGACCAGCATACACCTTTATCTCCCTTAGCCAGTTACAACCTCGACAAAGAGGGAAGGTTGGACCTGAGGCTAGAAACCCCACGGCGTAAAAACACCACTGTTACTGAAACTTCAAAGCTAAAGCTTGAAGCCCCATGTTCCACTGGGAATGCAAAAGAGTAAATATAATATAAGTTTGAGCTATATGTTGTGCTGGTTTTTCTTTTTCGCATTAGGATACGCAACTCAATGCAATTTCGTATTTGAATGAATTTCAACCAAATGCTTACGTTGTACCAGATATTCCTGTCCTGTTGCATGAAAGAGTTATACGAGATTCTTGGGAAGACCTTGACTGTGAAATTTGGCCTCCTACCTCATTCGACAATGAAGCTAAAACGGAATATGAACAACCACTACCAGAAAATTCCAAGACTTCTTTGAACTATACTTGTATGTTTGGAAGGATTGTATCTTTAGAGTCAACTGGTCGTGTCACTGTAGAATGGTTAAGTGACTTTCAAACAACAGATTTAGAATGGAAACATCGAATAGCTTCACACGCTTTAGATATCAAGGTTTGCGGACTTATTTTATTTTTTCAATCCTTTGGAGTGCAGTGTTATCCATGCTGTCGGTATACGTTTATACTTAACCAGTTTACGCTAACTTTTGAAACTTTACGATATTAAATATAATACTGTGTATATGATTCTAAACTGAACGTGTAGTTCCAAAAATCTCACGTGATGTGGTGTAAATCTCAAACACATCAATATGTAGAATAACAGATCGAGATAGAACACTGTAAAAGTAACTTAGTGCGTCGGTGACACAGCGGATGAGTGCTCGCCGACCATGCAGGTGATCCGGGGTTCAATCCCCGGCCAACGTATTCATTTCCCTCGCTAATCCAGTTTTAAGACTGGTAGAGAGGGAAGGTTGGGTATGAGGCTAGCAACTCCATCCCTTAAAAAAATTAACACCACTGCTAACGAAACTTCAAGCCTCTAGCTTGAAGCAGTCCTATGTTCCACTGGGAACGTCATGGAATAAAGAAAAGTAACTTCATTGAATTAAAAGAAAATTATGTGGAATTGTTATTTACTTGATAAGGACTAGATGAATGCAACAGGAATGATTTAGTTACTTTTTAGATATCTAATTAATTTATAGAAAATCAAAACAAGTAGTTGAACGAAGAGACTCTTTTCAAGGAATTTATCATCAAGCTGTACAATCGTATGTATATGGTATTTTTAAGAAGATATATCCAGTGGGGGAATTGAATCATAGGTGTCAATGCATATAATAATAACAATAGCATTAAATGCTGCATCTCTAAAAATAGACTTTACTAGTCGACCATTACTGTTCAATAACCTGAAGGACAAGATTCCGCTGCTGACCAACTCTATGTGTGTTTATCAATTCACCTGCTCATGTGGAGCTAGGTATATTGGTCGTTCGACTCGAGTTTTGTCCAAGAGGATGAGTCATGAAACAGGCATCAACATGTATAATAAACAAAATTGTATGACCATTGTATACTGCATATACACATATAATTGAACAAAAGTAGACTAATTTTGAAAGTCTGAGGTCAAATTTTGATCACAGATCATACAGTTTTGTTTATTACACATGTTGATGCTTGTTTCATGACTCATGATAGGAAAAAGTTTCAAAAACAAGAGATGTTGTTTTTATATATAAGCCTATGTTATGTTAATTTCGATTAATTTCCTGAAGAAGTTCGGACCAGATTGCTGAACGAAACGTTGGAATTAATCATTTCAATTTCTCTGAGATTTTACAAATATAATTTATTACAAAAGATGTAATTAATCTTTGCTCTTTTACCAAAGGCATTTACTGAAACAAAAGCTACATGCATTAGATTCGAAGTTAAGGGTATACTTTCACATAAATAATGACATTAAACTGCTCGAAACTACTTTAAGGGAAATAATACTGTCTACTAGTGTAGCTTTATGTTTTATGGAATTAAGATACGAATCTTCTTGGTAAACAATGAAAGCAAAACGCAAGAACGCAGTGTAACATCAGACTACAGTGGTATTCGGTAGCAAAATTATTTATTTGGCAAAATACAAAACATACATTTCAGCTGGTTTATTGCCTTCATGACATTAATATTATGAATAAACATATGCATTTTTTCGATGTAAACTCTTTATTCACTAATGTACCTTTACTTAAAACATTTGAGATTTTGTGTGATCACATTTCCACACATAACGTTTTCATCCCATTCCCTATATCTTATTTAAGGGATTTATTACGTCTATGCCGTGTACTAGCTATGTTAGATTTACATTTGAAGGTGATTGTTTCAACCAGGCTGATGGTGTTGCTATAGGAATTTCGTTAGGGCCTCTTATGGCGGATATCTATATGTCGTACATTGAGAGTTAATCGGAAGATTTAATAGAAAATGTGCCACTTTATTGAAGGTATGTAAATGACATTGTAATCATAAGTGACCAGCCTTGTTCTGCTACCTCAATTTTAAATCGAATCAATGAAGTTCCGAATAGCATATAACTTACGTCTGTAGAAGAGAAAGATAATTGTTTATCTTTCTTAGATTTACTGCTTAGACAACGGCTTGATGGATCAATAAAAAGGTCTACTTATAGGAGAACAATCCGGAAAGGACAGTATCTTAATTATCCCACTTTCTGCTCTGTTCGCTACAAAAGAGCCTTAGTAAAGTGCCTTTTCAGTAGAATCCAGCGAATATGCACTGAAGACACACGGTGAGAAAAAACTGCAAAAATCTTAGATTAAAATTTCCCTTTGCAAATGTTATTTGTACAATGCATCTTTTTTATTCCTTGGACGCTTTCTATATTGTAGCACAGTACTTTCCATTTCCACTCTTGAGCGCCTAATCTGTCGTTTCATTATTCAAGGTTCCTGGAGAAGAAATCACATACAATATACTACTTACAAGTTCTTTTCAGTAACACAAGCCACAGCAGCATCATTTTTAGAGTCTTCAAAGTACTATTGTAATTTCAATCTTCTTGTAAAGTGAGCACAAGGATGGAGGTCAACGGTCTCTCTCATTAGTCCCTTCAGAAAATCAGAATAATCAAATATAATTATGTTAGATAAAACAGCTGTTGAATCTAAAGTGACCGGTACACTCACCTCATGGAAAAGTGCACCAGAAATAACTTGCTAAATGTACTGAAATTTAAAAGTAATTTTCATTATGCTAACTGTATGATGTTGAGTAGCAGTGGTTCCAGGATGCGCATTTCGTCCTACTAGGGACTCGTCATTCAGATGTGCCCATATCCCTAGTCAGGTTATTGGTGTCCCTGCTGAGACTGGAACTGAGCACCCATCGTTGTAAACGTCACAGCTTTATCCACGACGTCGCTGGATCATGAGAGTTTAGTATGCAAAACGTCTGCGTTTCAAACGACAGACGCTCGATTCGAGTCTGCATAGGGTCACCAAAGCTCACTAGGTATGCAACCATATACAGCTGACGAGTCTCCCCACATTGACATCATGTTAACCCTAAAACATCATCTTAACCCCCATAGTAGGCGGCGACATGTCAAGGGAAATCAAGGATTTCAGTACAGCATAATCAACCAACGAGAAATGAAAAGTTGACTTGAAAAGAAAAACATTAAATCTCATTAATGTAAGTGTAGAAATAGGGCAATTTGGGTAGGATGTAATTCCATATAAGATAAGTTTATCTGATATAACACACAGTGATGCAGTTAAAATAACTGTATGAAGTTCCATAATTATAAAGCTGTGTCAGTAAATTGATATGAATATGAGCAATAAATTTTTCTGAGAACTCTGTCCAGTTTTCAATATTTTATCATTGTATTATATCACATAAACTTCTCCAATATGGAAGTAATTCTCCTCGTTAGCTAAAAGTGCAAGAAAACTTTTAGATAAAAAGATACTCATCATCTATATAATCAGACCATTTAACCAGAAGTTAGCAAATAATTTACGTTACACTGTTTAGTGCTTTTCTGTTTTCTGTATACTTTGTTTTTAAACTAGACATATTCTGCTGTCCAAGTGTTGGTTTTTTAGGGATAGATAGATTTTTCGAACACATTAACTCAAAGGTGGAGGCAATTCAATTCATCATGAGCTGAAATCCATTAGAAAACCAATGGAAAACCTACGAGTACTGGACAGCTGTCTTGTCCTAATTTAGGACTCTTCAGAGGTACGGATCCACCACAGGGGTTTGGACGCAGGGTCTTCTGGTTAGTAGGTGAGGTCATAGACCATTAGGTCATTGGGACCCGATCCAATGGCCAACCCATGAGTTCCCTAGCCACTGAGCCTACCCACGTGGGTAGTTACCGGGGGTTCTAGTGGGAAGTCGTGACCAGTGAGGTACAGCAAGTCTGGTGTTAGGACAAATACTCGCCAGAGATGACACTGTTTATTGGTTGCCCTATGTCTTGAATTGGCAGAAGTTGGAATTCATGGGTTGGCCATTGGATCAGGTCCCAGTGACCTAATGGTCTATGACCTCACCTCCTAACCAGAAGATCCTAGGCCGAAACTCCTGTGGTAGATAAGTACCTCTGAAGATTCCTAAGCTAGGACAAGAGGTTGTCCAGTGCTTATAGGTTTTCCTATGGTTTTCTAGCCTATTTCAGCTCATGATGAAATCCTGTAACCACTATTCTGTTGTTTTTGTATCAATGCTTCGCGTTCTGACAGGAAAATAGGGCTTCAAGCTTGAGCTTTGAAGTTTCAGTAGCGTTGGTGCCATTTTCTTATGAATATGGGTCTCTAGCCTCATACGCAAGCTTCCTTCCCCACCGAGCTGACTACTGGCTGAGATTTAGGAATGCGTCAGTTGGGAATTGAATTCCCGACCATGTTGGTCGTTGGCAAACAGTCTACCGCATGACCATTGACACAGATAGATTCTGTAGAATAGCAATTCATGAGACAAAGTCTTTTCCATTATCATTTTGATATTTTTATAATTTAGCTAAATATTCAATTTATTTTTATTAAGGGTCGATGTGATATACGTTTAGCTACAGATAGAGAAATTCAAATGCATTCTGATTTAATACGTAAGGCAATATCTCAGATCAAAAATGAAACTCAGGTGCGCACTTCACTTTCTCCTTCTGATGAACAACACTGTGAAGATACTTCTTTAAAGCGTGTAGATGCTACGATGAACAAAAATATGCCAGACTCATTAACAGATCAACTAGTTGAAGAAAGTATGATTTGTACAAAAGAAATTCAATCAGAAACTGCACAGGTACACTTTATTTTTTCACATTTATTTCAATCAATCATTTTTTCTTAGATGAATATTCATTTTACCAAGTATTGGTTTGTAGGGATTTTGTTTATTTGGTTGGAGGATTTCATCATGAACTGACATCGGTTAGGGTGTACTGGACGACTGTTTCATCATCCCACTTTGGGACTCTTCATCGGTATGCACCCATCAAAAGGGTTCGAATCCAGGACCTCATTGTTGCAAGGCGAGCTCGTAGATCAATAAACCAATGAGAATTAGCAGAATTCATGGATCACTGAGTTGGGTTTCAGTGACTGGATGGTGTACGAGTTCGGGGTTCAAATACCTAAGGTGAGTGCGAACTGCCGGTGATCCCCAAACTAGGATGGAACAGTCGTCCAGCACTCCGAGCTAGTTATGCAATGCTTCTTTAACTGGAAACAATCCATAGTGAACCAGGAAAAATAGATCAAATCCTAGCAAATCAACTCTTGAAAATAAATAAATGAAATAAAATTAATGAAACCCTTAAAACTGAATTCCACAGATAAATAATGTGTAACATTGATACCAGCAATAAGTTGCTTTTTATTTACGCACTACAAAGTAGACTAGCAAGCACTTTAATGGCATTTATCTTTTTACAAAACAGACGCTCCAGACGTGGTATGATTGAACTTTTATGTTTATGCATACTAGAGTAAATGCTTATTAAGTTTCTTCTGGTTTTACCCAAAAGTATACAAGGAGAAGGTTATGAATAAAATGGATGTTAAGCATCCGGATGTTTGCAATAATTTAAATGTCTATTGACAACAATATCAGCTAGTTGAGTCAAAGACACACACTAATAAACCTGCTTACAGGCTTTAAAGTCCTAAGCAATATAAATTAGCCTTTTTGAGAAGCATAGAGGGGAATAAGGAGGAGCAATAAAGAAGAATGGGTAGAGTATATAAATTGATTAGTTGTTAGAGAAGAAACTGACTTACATAAGAAAGTTTGAACTTCACCATACAATAAGTCAATAAACAGACTAAATATACTGCCATGATTTCATGAAAACCCAAAAATTTACGTTCAGCTTTTGAATCTACTGCATCAATTAACCCATTACATTGTGCAGATATTAGTATCAAGCGATATTTTCTGATAAAACTGTAGTATATACAGCGCAGTTCAAGAATATGTATGTGAGGAAACAGAAGCTTAATGCAAAATTTCATTTAAAAAGCACATAGAAAAGATAACTTGTCATTAAATCAACAAGGCAACGGACTAAGAGGCCACAATCAGCGGGGATATGCAGGGAAGCCACTCCAAGATGGGTAAAATTCGACTTATTTGCTTTCACAGTGTTCTCGATATCACAAGAATCATGTGAGTGAATCCGCCAACGCAAGTCTTGTTCATACCGGATGGATTTTCAAGTATATTTCAAAAGCCAACAAAGTTAAATTCCAATTAAAGGATCTGTTTCAGCTTAATTTAATTGTTTTGAATATTTAAAGCATTAATATGAAGTCAGATGAAAATCCCATCAGAATTAAAAAGTCGATAATAAACAATATTTTCCAAACATCAAAGAAACAAAGGAACAATATTTTTCACAAGCAGAGTATTTGGAAGATTCCTATTTTTGGCACTTTCCTTGAATGACAATGAAAACAAATCAAAATGAGTTCTATTCCCTTTTTAAGCAATTGTAATAGCCATCTGTCTTATGCACCACTCAAATTATTCTTTTCAACCTACTCTCGATAAATGAAGTAGTAACATGATTTATTTGTATACATTTTTTTTGCCAACAGGTATCCCTTACACAGATTACGTCTTATTTTCTGCCATTGAGTTTTAATTGGCTTGCTGGTGCACTGATTCCAATGTTCAGTAGAATTACTCCATTTCTTTTCGCGTCTGGAAGCCCTAATATCATACGTGATTCACCAACTACGAATACAGAAGTATCAAGTATGTTCTACTAAACAATGCGTTTGTATCTAGTATCTTTCATTTTACACACACAAAATACACAAAATAATTAATTAAAATGACATCAGAAGGAATATCCTTGTATAAGGATTTTCAGTGATTCGGTTAATATTTTTAAGAATTTGAAGCAATTAGTTCCCTTTATGAATTTAGACAAAGCAATAAGAATACGTAATTTGTCTGAATTGTGTAATGTATTTGCGTAACACATTTCAAACAATCTGATCACACAGAGACTTGTCATAGAAATATATATGAAATTGATAAAGAGGTAAGAGGTGAGAAAATAGACTTAGGTCAAGTTTTGTTCGCAAAGATAGAACTATTTTAATGTAAATTAGCTCTTATTTTTCTGAATTCTGGTAAGTTAACAGTACCAAAATAGGGAAACTACAATAAAATAGTTTTGCTTTACTTTATCCTGGGATCTACACCCCTTAAAAAAATAAAAAAAGTACATGTTTATTTGGTCATGGTTAACAGTCGAGTTCAGGACTCACTTCGTGTCTCCTCTTATGCTTACCATCATCATCATCTATGAATGGTAGTTTATCCAAAAGAACTGGAAATCCCTAGTTTCAGAAATGATGTATTCTTGTTTTGAGTCTGAAAGCAGATTCAACCAGATAACGATTATTAAATAAGACGATATTCCAAATTTGGAATGATACAACTTGGTGATCACTATCATAATAATGATCTAGGCATTTTCAAAATAATAGGCTCATAAGGAAAACTTTTTCGAGTTGTCTGATGCTGAACAGAATGTTTGATAGAATAACAAAGTAAAAAACAATCTACTCTTGTTGGAATGGTAAATTAGATATTGTTTCAGACGAAAAAACTACCTAAAAGAATTATAGACTAATTGTATAAGCATTACGAAGGTAAAAATAAAGTTATTCGGATTTCAGTGTCACTGAGGCTTAGGAAGAAAATCAGTGGGACACAAGGTTGCTTCATTGTGAAATGTAGTCGTTATCCGCCAAAAGAAGGACGCATAAAAAGGTTTTGTTCAAACAAGATTAGAAGACTGTTTAATTTGATTAGACTCTAATAACTGATGTCCAATAAAAGTATCCAATACAGTCCTATAGGAGGTCAATCGCGAGTCCGAATAGCTCAGTGGTAACGTCTCTGACTGAATGCAGCACTGGATGACGCGGGTTTGAATCTCAGAAGGGACATGAGTTCCTCCAAGGTTGTAGATACGGATTGCTGACTGGTGAGTGCCAACTATCACGAAAAGTAGTTTAGGCGTGGCCTCCTGTCGATTGCCTGCAACTATTTAATATCAACAGATTATTTAATTCTTACTTTGTTGTTTACAGTTGAATAGTGTTTTCACCTAATAAAAATTTCCTCTCTGCTTATTGCACGTTTGTTAGACTATTCAGATACAACAAGTTTATATGAACATGGTGTACTTTGTTCAACTCAGACAACATCAGTGGAACCTTATCATCAAAACACGATTCCTGAAGAGCGGAAAACATTAGAATCAGTATGTTTGCTTTTTCATAATCAATTAGGCTTAATAGTTATGACAAATATAACAATGTTTTGATGCTTTAAAGTTTGTTCTTATATATTTTTTTTATTGTTCTCTGAAGTTTCTGTGGCGATTGGATTGATTTTTTGGGATAGTATCACTAGCCCTATGTCCACCCTCCCCTCTTTTCCTGGGCTTAAGACCGGTTAGAAAACTAGCGAACTAGTAAATTCGATGAACTGCAGACGAAAACTTATAAGTTTTCAGAAGAAGCAATAAGGACAGGACTTCAAGTGAATATAGAGAAGACAGAGGTGACAAAGACAACTAACCACCATCATTGTCAACAAACACTAATCACTATCAGTAAGAGAAAATTTACAGATCATCATTTCAACTACATGTAACACTGGTAAGGATGTCAAAACCAGAGTCGAAAAGTCAAGGCAGACCTTCATCACTCTGAAATCAATGCAGAAATCATCTGTGCTCAACCTGTAGAACAAAATTCAGAATTTCAACACTAAAGTGAAGTCAGCCAGTTCTTCCATATGGGTCAAAAATTTGGCGCACATACCACAAAAAGTATTTTCAACATACTTTAGGCTTCTATCAATATTTGCCTCCTTCGCTCCATACTGGAGATCAGAAAGGATCAGCAACAAGAAACTCTGGGAACCAACCAACCAAGAACCTATCGCTCGACAAGTATGCAAAAGGAAGTGGAGATGGATAGGTTGTATACATACAAAAGAGACCGCCGGGTGAAATCGTGTGCCAGGCCATCGCTCGAGAGGAGCCCGAGTGGGAAATAGTCATTCAAGCTTGGATCAGAGGTTGACATGCAAGAGATTGTATGAGGTGGGGGTGGGAAATTATGAGCAACCGTGGAGCCAGCTGAATAGGAATCTAGAAAGAAAGGTGAAATGGAGGCATGCTGTTGAAGCAATAATATCTGCTTGAAACATAACGCAATAATAATAATAATGTTCAAAAATACACGTCGGTGTTAAAATGCTGAACGATATTACTTATTTTTCTATTCTAGAATTGTATAGTGTTCACTAGAAGTATAGCGATGTTGGTTCATAAAGTGACTTTGAATTAATGGGTGCTGTGTTTGAGTCTCACCAAGGAAAACACCATAAAGTGATGTGTAGGCACATCAGTCAGACGACTGATGGATTCTACAAACAGTATCTGTCAGTCAAATATGCACAATTTAAGTTTAATTATTTGATCGAACATTATAATTTTTTATTCAGTACAAGAAAATTACGCTTATTCCCATTGACAGTTAAAAGCATAAATGATTACTGAATTAATTTTTGAGAGTGTTGTGTCGATATGAGCACTCGATTCAGTAAACATGAAAAAAAAGTTGTCTGTGAATTTAAATGTGGCTAATAACTCCTTCAGAAGATTTCTAACAACATGTTCTTCAAAGTGAAATCTATATATTTTAATGTAAAGTCAAAATTTTTATTCAGAATAACTTTTTGGATAAGCTTTATTTGAAGTAGGGTTATTCATTTATGAAACTTGTGAAAATTAATTATTAAAATATCATTAATTGCTTTGCTTTTCACAGCAGATCAATTTAGAAGTCGTCTGCAATTCAATATTCATACGTCGGAATATTATTATACCTTTGGGTTCCAAGTGGAACATAGGGCTTCAAGAACACATCTCCACTTTGTTCCATTTTCTACTGTCCTCTTTAGCTTGGTCCACGACTGACCATAATCTCTCATATCCTTGTCCTCCTCGTACGATTTCCTCCATGTCACCCTGGCAGTGACGACTCGCTTGCCGCTTCCCGTTGGGATTCCACTCGAGCGATGACCTAGTAAGCGGTGTCACTTGACAGTCTCCTCCATCTCCATTTTCTCCTGCATATTTGTTGACCGACCGGCTCTTGATTGGCTTGCTCCTGGTTTGTTGGTAATTCTTTCTGGGCGGCTGGACATTCGGTCTTCAGCATGGAGCCAGCAAAGAGGGCAGCTGTTGATGAAAGTCTGTAACTTGTTGAAAATCCTTTTCGTGACACGCAGTGCAAGTGTTTGACCCATACAAAAGAACTGACAGACCTAACATTAGTTTTGAAAATTCGAATCTTGTTCTTTATGCTGGCTGAGTGACTGCAGAAGCTTTCCAAATTAGTTTCAGGTTGATGAAGGCGTATCTTGCCCTTCCGATTCTGTCTGACTGGCTTTGGCATCTTCATCTTTGCTGTCCGACTGCCTGTGATTGAAACGATGCTATCTAGTCGGATAATTGAAAGAAGTGAAGTAATCTCTGTCAAATCTTACCCACTGATGGCGATTGGTTCTGGTTGTTGTTGCTGTCGCTGTTGGTTGACGGATGTCTTCATCACCTCCGTATTATCTATGTTCACCTGCAGTCCTGTCTTCACTGCCTGCCTGCTTCTTCAGCCAGTTCGCTTTTCGCGTTTGTGTGACATTAGGTATAAATTCTTCACACAAGAAATCCAGATCTTCTTTAGTCTTCTGATTGGTATTCTCTCTCCCCAAGCACAGTTTGATGCATAATCCATTCTACTACAATTAAGAATATCATCGGTAATAACAGCTTTGTCTTACTCGTATATTCACTTCAAACGCCTCACTGGTTCCGATAATCTGACTACACCCAATTTACTAGTTTGTCCTATGTAGTTGATCTCAGTCACTACCATTGCAAGGTAATTTGGAAATTACATTTTTTTGTCTAGAGAACTAGTCCCTGGGTGAGTTTGTAGGTTTGAATGTCATCCTAATTCCTGCTTTATTAAGGGTCTAACGTAGGGTCTCAGATGTCCCCTCCTTATATGGTATAACAGTAGATGCTTATATTCTCTCTCATTTATGTTATCATTACTAGTTTCGCAATTATTTTTATTTTGCTTTTGACCTTTTCTGACTTTTAATATATGTGTAAAACTTGGGCACTGTGGTAGTAAGTAATTCCATATTAGTTTGTTTATTAGGTATATCACACAGTGAAACAGTATTATTTACTGGATGACGTTTCGAACAAAATTTATTGTTCATAATCATATCACAATTGATATGATTATGAACAATAAATTTTGTTCGAAACGTCATCCAGTAAATAATACTGTTTCACTGTGTGATATACCTAATAAACAAACTAATATGGAATTACTTTTCTGACTTTCCTAATTAATTTTGAAGGCGAGGTATTCAACATCAACGCTTCTTCTATCCGTTTCATTTCGTCGTTTAGGTTTTTTGTTCTACTACTTAGTGCTACTGCTCGGTTTGTTATACACTTAACTAAGCCTGCCTTAACAGTTAACAGATGAGACGAATTAAAGTCTAAATATCTATTAGAATGCGTTGGATTTTATTAACGATAGTGTGCAGTTTACCGTCTTCTATTCGTTTTATTTTACAATCTAACATAGCTAATTCTCCTTGTTCATTTTCCGATTCAAATTTGAATCTTATTCCCTTCACTAGTGAGTTTATATTTGTCAAGAAGCTAGAGATATGTTCCCTTTTTTAACACTGTGAAAGTGTCATCCACATATGTTCACCATATCTTTGGATTAAGATTAAATGTATTAAGAGCAATATTTTCACAGCTCGCCATAAAGATATCTTCTAGGATAGGAGATATTGGTGATCCCACCTACACCTTCTGTCTGTCTATATATTTTTGCTTCGTTTTGTGTGAGTACCTTGATATGATTATGAGCAGCAATAAATTATGCTGGAAACGTCGTCATCAGTGAATATTACTGTATAACACTGTGAGACCTTATCAAAATAAATTTTACCCATAGTGTAACAGCTTGCTCACCTATATCAATAGTTTAAATATGATAATTAATGATAAAGATCAAAACATTTAAGACAATATATGCCACTAAGATCAATCTTGAGGGTTGAATAAAAGTTTATTTTCATTTTTTTTCTAATTTTACAGACATTTAACAAACAGAAGGAATATTCGATAGACAAAACACTGCCAAAGTACCAATCTGCCGAGTCTCATGAACCAGTTCAAAAACATATTATGACTACATCTAATTTTATACATGCAGCCGAACCAAGTTCATTCAGTTCACATAGAGAAGTATTCGAGACACATTTGAGTACACCACTTGTGAAACAATCCAGTTTTTGCCATCATCAAAATAAAATTTCAGATTTTAATCTACCCAAAAATTTTGAAGAAACAAAGGCAAATGGAGTGCAACTGACTGATCAAAACAAACAGCTCGGTATTAAAACATGCTTAAACACATTTGTCTATGAAAAGCAAAACGATAAAGCGTCTGTGAGAGATTATGAAAATGCATGCTCTGAAAATTACCTCTATGATACAGACAACTATACTGATCCAAATAAATACGCCATACAACCTAATCATTCATCTAATTTAGAAGTTTCTCCCAGTGAAAATGATCTAGATGATGAGTTGGAAGTATTTAAACAAACTGTCGACATGACTGTTTCAAAGAATGCCCAGAAAAAGAATCTTCGTGCTCAAAATAACAGTAGTCCACAATTTCAATTAGATTTACCAATTTGTATGAGAAAACAAAATCAGCTTAAAATAGATCAATGGGAAAATATTGATTCGGTTAATTTTGAAACGGTCAGTCCATGCAAACTACAAAAATAATATAATTATTTGTTTTATTTAATAGGTTTGCTAACTTGGAAAATGCAGTTAACCTGCAGTAATATTAAAATTGAAAGCTATATGGCATGAGTCTTGAAATATATTGACCAGTTACGTAGGAGTATAGTTTTATGCAATGTAGACAGTTGATGACTTAATTAGTCGCATATAGTTGACATAAAGTTTACTCAACGAGCTGTATCTCATGTATTCTTCTTGTTAACATACGAAATGCCAAGTTAGGTCTTCTTTTGGCAGTTCTTATCATACTGAATAAGAAGGTGAGTAAAAAGTTCTCAATTCAGGTTTCACCACGGAGTGACGAAAGGAAGCACTTGATAGCTGTTTCGTCCTATTTTTGGGATTTGTCATCAGTACGTACCCATGACCTCGCCAAGGATCAGACCCGGGACCTTAAGGTTACTAGGTAAAGCTCGTTGACCATTCAATCACTTGGACTAGAATTCAATGATGGGTGAATTATAACTTTGTCAACTCGCGATATAGCGCTGCTCTTTCCACTGCATATGATGGCCATCCACTTCACCTTGACACGGTGGATTCCACTGGTCATGATTTCCCACTGCAGCAGCTTCATGAAACCCAGCCAGTAGCTATCAGTGAGCTGTCGATTGATATGCGGATTAGAGGATTTGTGTGACTGAATGTTGAATGAGCCTGGTCTCATAAAGTGAAGATCCCGGGTTCAATCCTAGGAGCGGTCGTGTATGTGTTTGCTCAGACGAAGAGTCCCAGAAATGGGACGAAACGGCTGCGCGGTACTCTTTGCTTCCCAGTAATTTCTCTAACTGATGCTGGTTTGTGACGAAAATCTAGCGATTAAAATCAATCTAGAATCCTCACAAATCCTTTAATATGGAGGTTTTAATGAGTGGTAGAACTTTCAGTCATTGCCAATCACATCCATAGTAGTTTGCTACTCTACATGGGGGAAATTAACTTCAGTTTTATTTTGCGACATGTTTCTTCGTTTCTAACTCATTATGATAAGAATCGCTCGTTTGCTTGTCAGAGGGGAGTCACTTAACATTCTTTCATGTAATAACTGAACATTACCCGTAACGATTACCGTGAAGTGACGATTAAGTTATCGGTTGAGTGTTGTAGGTTGGCTGCAAAAATGTCAGACTAGAAATCCGGGGTCAATTTGTACAACTTTCCCCTCGACCCAGATACCGGTTTCATCTTTCCGTCTCCATTCACTACATCAGTATTAGTCTGTCAATCCACATTTATACCGGAAAGTCTCATTTTTAGTCATTATGTATGCGATTTTCAAGTGTTAGTTCTTACGGATTTAATTAGTTCGAAGTTTGATCATGGGTTGAGAATCATTGAAAACCAGGGTGTACTGAACAACTGTCTCACTTCGATCATTCATGACTCAACCGGAGATCGGAAATAGGATCTTTAGTTCGAGAGTTCAGCTGGTTAACCATTCAGGCACTGGAATGGAATCTAGTGGCCTATGAATTCTAGCTTGTAACTAACTTGTGGTGGCGGTAAAAGTGGAGAGTTGATAGAAGTTAGGATTCATAGGCTATTGGATTCCGTCCCAGTAGCTAAACCGAAACAATGGCTAAAATCTCAAGTAACTTTACTTTTCTTTTTGATATTTATCTTTTCTGTTAACTCTGTACATCATGCGCTTAAGAATACATTTGGTGAGGATGAACATAGTGGTTAGGACGCTCGCCGACCATACACATGGTCCGGGGTTCGATCCCCGGCCGACGCACCCCTTTACCTCGCTAAGCCAGAAATAACGCTGGTGAAGAGGAAAGGTTGGGCATGAGGCTAGCAACCCCATCCTGTAAAATAAGCACTGATACAGCAACTTCAAGCTACTAGCTTGGAGCCCTATGTTCCACTGGGGAACGTGAAGGAAATGAAAAAAAAGAACATATCAAAGGCTGGTAGATTCAGTCCAGGTAAGTAAGCTACAGTTTTATGCTAATTCTGACAGATTAATTCATAGAAGACTAAAACGATAAAGTCAGTTGTCACTATATCATATACTTCCTTTATAGTCTGCAACTTGTAATTATCGTTAAGGCTTATGAAATCTGAACGATTCAGCGTTATATTCAGGTCAGCAGTTTCCCAGCTGACTCAGTATATTAATGAAATAAGACGTTTGGCATCCTGCTTAAATTGGTGGGCTAACAGAATTTCCCTCCATCAAAATGTTGCTTAAACTCTTGTGCATTTCTTATTGTTTTATTGGTGCAATTATATCATATGACAAATACATGAACTCGCGCGCATATTTTATTCGTTTCCCACTATACCGCTATGCAGTCTTCGAAAGAATTGAAGAAAAAATGTACAGCATTTTTTTCACTTCATATGCCTTCAAATACCCAACAAAAACTCCACTATCGATAAAATTTTATTTTGATAAAATCACACAGTGTTATACAGTAATATTTTCTGATCACCACGCTTCGAGCACAACTGATTACTGCTCGTAATCATATCAAGGTGATGTGATTATGACATGGTATGATTATGAGCAATAATTTGTGCTTGAAATGTCATCAGTAAATATTACTGAATAAAACTGTGTAATTTTGTTAAAATAAAATTCTATCCATAGTGGAGTTATACACTACGTCAGTGCCCACGTTTTATCTTTACATGGTCGACAATATTACGACAAATGATGTACTTCAGATTATTGCTTTACATGTAAACTCTATATGAAGAGGAAATATTTCGGAACTACATAAGCTGAAAATTTCCGTTATGAAATGCTCACATATTGTCTGAAATAAAGCTTTGTTGTTATTAATATTATTATATATGCAATAATATATTAAGCATGATCAATCATACTACCCAACACATCGATTACTTGATTAAACTGATTTCCACGATATGGAATTTGTTCTACTTAGAAAAGAGCCAATCGACGCTTTTTTCCACTTTGTGAATGTATTTTTAACATTGGACTTTGAATTCATGAAATCAACTTTCATATGGATGCCTAGACAAGTAAATAACAACTGAATACTGTATTATTAAGTTTATCGTATTTCACAAATGTTTAATATTAGCCTAGAAAATGATATGACCGTTAATACACTTCGTAGTATGCGCTAAAAAGCTTTTTACCTAGTCGATTTGCTAGCTTACTCTTCCAATCAATATTAGCAACAACAGCGAACGACGCGTTACGATACCACCACGCAAGAAGACAAATCATTGACGTAGAGAGTTTTTACTGTTTCGAATCAACTGCGAAAGGGGTTGACAGAAATTGCGTAAGGTTTTGATTTGTTTTTCGTGTTTGACCATTGAATCAGGTCCCAGTGGCTGAATGGTATACAAGCTTGCCTTGTAACCGGAAGGTCCTGGGTTCGAAACCTAGCGATGGGTGCTTACTGCCAATGATTCCCAAACTAGGATGAAACAGCTGTCCAGTACTCCAAGCTGGTTTTCAGTGGTACTCTAACTGATAAATATATGCTTTAAGTGACCTTGGGAAACACTAATCACACTGATCATTTAAGACAGTCAACAACCAATTGGGTTCCAAGGTCATAAGTGGGGCGACGGAAAGGAAACAGCCCTATACTGAAAAGATAAATGTAATGTTTTAAAAAAAATTAGGTTTATGTAACAGAAAGAAAGATACTAGAATGACTACCCTTTGAGTAATAATTGTGACCATGTGAATTTATTCGGTCTGGAATGGTATACGCATATACACTACCAAATGAAAATGCAGGTTTTTTAAGAATTAATACATGATTGTAGGCAGTTTCTCTAATTGGACGAAAAATCTATTCTACTACAGGGGATATATTTAAGTTTTTAATTAATTTTCTGTCTAGTAAAAGTTATAATATAACACATGCTTTCGCTTCTATCTTGTTTCTTTAAACATATAAACAGATTCTTGATAGATGTATGAATTTAAAAGTCCTTACTGATGTCCAGTTTCTTCAGTTGTTTGAAAAGAAATGCGAAGGAGTTAACTCTGACAGCCCCAGCTCTATTCCTTCACTAAAACAAGACTATCCTGAATCAAAATCACTAATAAATAAAACATCAAGTTATACATGTGGGCCACATTTCCATAGATGCGATCATAGTTCAAACTCTGAAAATTCACTAACCCTTCAGCCTTCTGAACAATCCCCTATAGCGCCAATCACAATTCGATCTGATTCTTACAAGCAATCCTCATTTTCTACACTTAAACCACCGAATCCTCCCAGTATGAAAACTGATAAACTATTATCTCAGTTACCTGGTTTTATTCCACCTTTTGAAACAAGATCACGAGCATCGAATGAACCATCTACAGTAAGATTTGAGATACCAAAAGTAATCAAAGATCCAAAATATAAAGAACCATCTCCTGGTCCAAGTTTACTAAGAAATAAGAGAAATGAAAGGAAATATTATCGAGCCAGAGTGTTTGTAGATTTCAAACATTCGTCAAATGAAAAACTTCAATCAGCGAATCCAATGTCATCGGCTAAATGTATTCAAAATAATTTAATAGCTCATTCTACTAGATACAATGTGAAGGAAAGATCTTTTAATTTGATTCCTAACACAGAAACTTTTGGTGCACAGAATTCTTCGCATTACCTGTCACCATACTGTCTAAAACATGAAAATGAATGTCTGATAAGTTACATGTTGGTAAGTTTTTCTTCAAAGATATAATTTAAGGTCATCACTAAAAACACTTAAAATTAAAATAATATATCCCATTTAGACATTTAGAAAACAGAAAGATTGAGCGAAGAAATATTTACTTTTCAATTAGATCCTCTTCTCTGGCTCTACTCTAATATATATAGCATTTTTACAATACACAACAATTTACCAAACAAGTTGTGATATGTTTGTTAACATTAATTAAACAGTGTCAAAATGTCAGTGGGTTGATAATTAACGCATAAAATCATACACATTAAAAGTAGAAGTGATGGAATAAATTAATTTTACAAGGATAACACGTAATTAAAGATGAAGTGGTCAAAATAAAAATAAAATAATTTGGACAATTATAATTTAATAGGGGGAGGGGGGCGACGTAGTCCTGTCTTGTAACGATGGCCACAGTAAGGAAAGTGGCTGTACAAATTTCTTCTTACACATAGCTTGTTCTTCTGGTGGATTCGATTGTCGTTGTAGAAGATGAACTCGTAGAGCAAAGTTAAGATTAGTCGGAATGCGATAAATAATTTTAAATGCAGTATTAACATCAACCTTGTGCTCAGTATCAACAAGGTGTGCTAAAACAGAACTACGAATAGATCTTGTTTGTCCCTTGCTTAACCACCTGATGATGTCAAAACAGAAATGATGAGAAATGTGTCTTATGAATAATATTACAAAATCGGAATGATCGGTACTACCTTGACTTAGGGGCTTGCATATTGCTACGGCCCAACAACATGTTCTGGCTGGAACGAGTGTTCTTACAGGCCCATCAATACCAGAAAGGTATGTGGGATAGTATTTAAACCATTAGCAGTTATTAGAAAAGTTCAAGCTGCTTACACTATGAAAGTAGTCGGAGGGCAAAAATTCTACTAACGAAAGAAGCAGGGGGGTTCCGCTATGATTTCTTTCTTTTTTGTGGACAGCGATGGGCTAGAAAGAAGAAAATTCACTGGCTAACTGAAACTGTAGCACAGGAGCAGAATTCAGGAACTTATTATTTTATATTTTGATTATAGCTTGATTCCACACAGCATTTTTGGTACAAGTATGGAATTTTCAGCATGCGATATCGGTAGCCCAAATTTTGCAAGCCGACCACTGATAGCAGGGGATCGAACCCCGGACCATGTGCATAGTCGGCGAGAGTCCTAACCTCTGTGCCACCGAATATAATTTCATATTAGATAAGTTTATTTGATATAAGATACAGTGATACAGTTTTAAAAAATACATTAGAGAATTAGAATATATATGAAGCAAGTTTGATAGTTGTGTGAACAAATTTACATAATTATGAGCAACAAACTGTGCTCAAAACCTTATCCAGTTATTAGCAATATCACTACATGCTGTTTCAAGTGAACGTATATGCAAATGGACCGTAACATACAGTCGTCTATGTTGTGACACTGAGTGTGTCCTTAGCAGTAGGAAACATTTCGCTATAGCTATAGATTTCTTTTCATAATGTCTACTTAAACGCCTAATTTAAATGATTAAAATGAGTTTTATGAGATGTCCAGTTTGCTATGAAAAATAAAACTCTCGAAGGTAGCTATATAAGTAGGCGATTTGAATTCGTTGTCAACAAAAAACGAGCGATTTAACGAATTTAATTAAAACACAGTCAACTGCGAAGCTTAAAGACGCCAATGACTTTATAAGATCTTGAAGTCCGCTTTTAGAGATGTGTTATCTAACCACTTATCATGAGAATGAAGGCAATGCTCATTCTAAAGAAACCTGGCATCAAATCAATTTTTTGAGTGAAAACAGTAGTCAAAACATTTGATAAGATGTAGACAGAAGTTAGTGAATATCCGCTGATTTATGTTTTTCATCTAAAGTGGTTATTGCAAGGAAAATGATTCTAACGGACTCCAAATGCATTGAGAAAACTTTGCTCAAAAGCAAGATTAGAAGATAAGAAGAAGACTAAGCAAATAATTTTTTCTGATAAATGCCTTGTTTGGTTTTACAATTATATACAAACACAATATGCAAAGAGTAACTGTTACTGACAACACTGATATTTTAAAAAATAATACCCAGTCGCGTAGCTCAACAGAAAATACAGTTTATAAGCTTTTATGAGTGGTAGTATGCCTGAAGATGTAATACTAAATTGAATGTCAGGTAAAAATAAGAGAAAAGTTAAAGATAGTTAAAATGCCTTAGGGTGGAAAAGAAATCACCAGATTTTTCCGATTCAGTAAGGATAACCGAGGTTAGAAAAGCGTCTGTACGAGTTTGTTCTCATCATAAGTTCAGCTTATGCAGGTGAATTCTAATATTTTAAGCTATTTGTAAAAGATAAACACTTAAGGTAGAATTAAGATTAGTCAGAATATACTCGATAGTTTCAAATGTCTAGTCAACATCGACTTTATGTTCATTATCTATAAGATGAACTGAAAGAGAACTACGAACAGACCATCTTGTTTAACCGCGCAGAATGATATTCAGAAATCCGATGACAAATATGTCTTATTGTACGCCCAATGTATTTAGCTCTACAAGAGCAGTCAAACTAGTAGATTTACATAGATGGGGAGAAGTTGGGTGGTTTATCTCTAATTCCCAAACGTAAAATTGAAGTAGCTGTGAAGACATAGTGAACTTCTGCTGCACTAAATACTATTTTTACTGCATTCTATAAGCGTTGTCCTATAATTTAAATGACGTTATCATCAAAGGACTTCGCTTAACCTTTTATGTCATCTAAATGTCTAATTGGGGATTTTTTTATACTGAGAAGCAGGTTTAGTAGATGTTGCCGCAAAGCCGGCGAATCGTGGCATTTACTTCACCATTATCGAATAAAATCAACCATTTTGTAGTATGCGTGTTCGTTTATTGTTTAAAACTTATTCGATTCTCATTTGATTAGTCTCTGTCTGTTGTGTGTCCTGTACCTCGCTTTCCAGAATACATCATACTAAATACTACTTATACCTACTGTTTTAAGTAGTAGACATCATAGTGTTTACTTTGTAGCAATAGATGCATTAAATTAAAAATGTTCCTAAGCTCAGTAACTGTCACTATTCTTTAAAGCAACAGTTATTCTCAAGCAGGATCCATTATTTTCATTTACGATGATTTTTGAATATTTTAGAATAGTTGTGACTGCAGGGAAGAGTTCTGCGGAAGTGGTGTGCCTAACCCTACCAGCAATCGGCTAAGTTCAACGTGTAACAGACAGTATACACTGTCATACTATTTATACGAATGCCCACCCGACATGAAAACAATCACTGAAAATAGTGAACAAGTAAGTTTTTGTGAATTTCAAGTCAAACCCCGGTAGTGTATTAACGAACATTTCTTCAGATTGAGGTAACGATTAGAACTAAAGCAAAAACACCTGACTATCTAACACAGAACGTTACTCATATACATAAAGGAAATTCACTACTGAGTGTATAAAATCATTCATCGACCTAAAATACGCCTTTCCAGGAGCTTTTAGATGAGGGCTCGGCTAATATGCTGTCATTTCAAGCAAAGTTAATTTCTTTTGATCACTAAACATTGCTTTTATATGATTTCGTGCAATATAAGTTACCAGTATGTAATAATGCATCTCGTCTACTACGGTATTATACTCTGTCACAGTACCCGACTTTTACAAAATTCACAATATTTTCAAATTACGAAGGCTCCACAAGTAATCTGGTCTGTTTAGGTACACTAGAAATTCAGTCTAGAGGGTCGAAAAAACTAGATTCATGCTAATTCAAAGGAATCCAATGTATGCGTGGTGACGATTCTATATCAGCCAAAGAATTTCTGAGATCATATTTTCAGTCGACAGATATCACTTTTGAAACTAATAAGATTTCAATTTATAAATGTTCAAAATCTACCTGTAAGTGACTAGTTTTACAAACGAATTTGTTGGAGTTCTGAAGGAAAATTAAGACAAGCTCTATCTGCTTCGTTGACTTTGGAGACGATTAGTCGTTGATGATAATGGATATCATGAACTGAAGGAACTTTTATATGTCGGGCTACAGAACTCCATGTTTGTGACGCAATAACTCCGTTACCTAATTACAATAGATTAGATCCCTGATGAGGTCGTGCGTATGCTCTCCTGAAGAGTGTGACGTCTGTCTTATCCCGTTTGGTTTTCGAATTTTACCTGTTTGATTTCGCCTTCAAACACAGTTCACTTTGAAACTGTATAGTATTTAGAAGCCTTATAAGTAATAGATAAGATGATTTTCAGAAAATATTTTAATTAGATTTGCATAATTACCAAATTAATTAGGTTTTATCAGCTGTCCCACTGTATAAATTTCATCGTCAGAAAAATTCAAAGAAATGATTGTCGGTCGTTTTGGTTGATGGTGACTAATAGTGTAATTCACGATGTCAATTTTATCCCGGTTGAGACTCGTCATCTGGACGTACCTGCTTCCCCACTGAGTGATGGTACCCACTGAAATTTTAACCATTTAATCAGCATTTCAAGCGTCGAACTTCTACCCATTGGTTGATAGAACCATGAGAGACAACTCTTTTGCAACAAGTACCAGCTATTGTTTGTTTTTAAGTTAATTTTCATTTACCCCTTAGGTGACTTACGTGACCCAAGGGCTTAGTGGATACCGTTTGGGCATTAGAAACGATAGGTGATAGGCAGTAGTCTCACTAAGAACAACACCACTCACTGGAAATACAGGTATGTCCATAGGACGAGTCCCAAAGGGAATGAAATTGGCATTCCGAATTCTCCTGCTAGTCACCATTTACCAAAATAACATAATATCAGTGTTGAGGCGGTGTTGAATCAAAAGAGACCGAGAATTTTGGTCCAACACAATCAATCAAATGCAAATTACCTGCAAATAATAAATGAGTATCCGTTTTAAATGCGAGGACTGAAAGTACATTTTCAATATGGTAAGAAAATATCTCTTTATCTGGATGACTGTATGTGTTGATAGTTGTAGCCAAAAAAAAGATAATAATAGCGACGTCTAAGTAATAGCCTTCATTAAGCTAATATCCTCATAGTGAAGATAATTCCAAATAATCGGTGGCAAATTACAACTGGGAATTATTTGGTACCTTATAAATGATAGAGGACGATTCGTCAATGCTGGGTTTGTGACCGGTTTAGACCAGGTGGTCTAATATTGAACTGTTGATGGTTTTTACTACAGCTTTAATTAGCCACACTGGTAGATGTTCCCGAGCACCAAAAATAAGTTCCTAGAGCAACGGACAATATAAATCGCTCTACAAGCATCGTAGTTGAATTGGTAGATACAGTTCTAAGTGGCTAGTCTAGGTACTTCATCTTTCAACTGGTGAATCACCACCGCAACCCCATCCACTAGTCTGTAAAGTGTGCCATCACAGTTGACATTTACATTCATGGTACACCTTAATAACAATTTTTATAGGATTTCTATTGGAATGCCAATATTTATCAACTGGTTATACACTTGTTCACATATGCAGTTAACTGTTTCTAATAGAGGTACATTTTTGAATAGGGATGTTATGTCCAAAGATATCATGGTTTTGCCCTTGATAACAAAGATGGACTTTTATTGCTTTCCACTGTAATACTTTCTGTACTCAAACACAAGTGATGCATAAAGCATACCAAAAAATGCGAACGCTAACCATTTTTTATTGGGTTCTGTTGAGACATGATTTTATTTGTTGGATGTTGATAGGCAGCGAAATTCAGTATATGCCTTTTGTCCTATTTGGGACACATCAACTGTATATGTCTGCAATACCCCATGAGTGATGGTTTTTTTTTCGCTGAGATTCAAATTCAGAACTCACTGTTTCAAACGACAAAGTGCTATCCAAGAGGTCATGTGAGCTGTGATGGGTGCTGGCTTAGAGTCTCACTGGGAACATCATCACTCATTGGGGATCGCAGGTACACCCAGATGATGAATCCCGAATAGGATGAAACGCACATCTTGAATTCCCATCCACCAAATGAAAACATGTCTGTCCTCAAACTTAAAGAAATTCATTTACTTAGCTTATCAATTGTTTCTCATAATAAAGCAGAATTATCAAATGTTTCAAGTGTCGAATTCAACATTTTTCAAATTCATAATCGTATAGTATCTTTAATTCTATTGAGGACAATAAACTATATTCGAAAAAATATGTAGTAATACTGAAGGGATATACAAAGGCATGGGTTAGAATAGAGTTTCCGTTCGGGAAGGATGAACTTCAAACAGTCTTATTGTTGTGTGTCAAAACGCGAGAAATTATACAAAGTTGTTTTTCTTAGCGTTATTTAATCATAAATATACTAATTCATAATACTAATTAATGGTTTATTCTCCCTATAGATACAAAAATTAATCCCATCATGCATGGGATACTATAATGATGAAACATTTATAGAACAATTACTAAATCTTCTTTCAATGTTGTATGAAATAGCCAATTTTAAGTTTAAAAATCACGCACAAGATTTAATTAGATGTCAGGAGACTAGTGAAGCATCCAACACAGGCTGTTGTGGAACAAACTATCAATACCAAAATGATCAAGACTGTTATGACTATCCTTCACAATTAGAGAGAATTACAGAACAATTTCATTCCTACCGTCTAAATATGAAAATAAATTCATACTGTAAAGATATATTGTCTGTTTTATCTATGTCAAAATTGTTGGTCAGCTGCACAACACAATCAAAATTCTCATCTGCTTTCAAACAGTGACATTTCTCAGTGGATATATATTTTATGTACAAGGTATAATTTCATCATTCCCTTTGAAACCCGTCTACAATTTTGGAAAGTTTCATGTCGAGGGACAAGCAGGTAATTTTTTACTCTAGAAAAATTGGAGTTTTTGATGTTTTAACAAAAGAAAAGTAGCATTACTCATATCTTAGTTGAGTTAAGTTATGTTCAATAAACAAACATTTACTGGAAAGTCTAAACACTAATAACTTATGTGGAATTTGATATAACACACCATTTTAGATGGAGTGAAGATCTCTGCCTTCAGACTGAGTATGTTCCGTGTAGTCAAGCAATACGTTAAATGCTCCTGTTAAAGTGAATAATATTTTTACGAGTTGATCACGAATTGATATCAGTTAGAGAACCATTGAAAACCGACACCAGAGTACTGAACAGCTGTTTCATCCTAGTTTGGGAATCATCGGCAGGGTTAGAACCTAGGACCTTCCAATTACAAGGTAAGCTGGTATACCATTCTGCAACTGAGACCCGATTCAGTGGCCAGCCCATGGATCCTAACTTTTACCATTTCGGGATTTAGCGCCACCCCAACCAATGTCATCGGTGGGACATCCATCCTCACACTTGACTGGTCACGACTTCTCACTAGAACTTCAGGAAACTCGGTCCTGTAAGCGGAAGGTACTGGATTCGAATCCCGGTGGTGGGTGCGTACTGCCTATGATTCCCAAACTAGGAAGAAACAGCAATGCAGTACTCCAATGCTGGTTTTCAATGGTTCTCTAACTGATATCAATCCGTGATCAACTCATAAAAACAAAAATAATCCTTACAAACCAAGTATAGAAAATGAATAATATTTAAATGTTGGTTGTTTAAAATCTCTACCCTGATAACAATTTATTATCGATCAATTTTTGGCTTGTAGATACATTTACTGAAGTTTCAGTGGGAAGTTTTAACTGACTAGGTTTACTAGGTTGATTATGTGGATTGATACTCATCCAGGAAGTAGGATGGTGATGGCCCTGTATTATAAATTAACAGAAGTTAGGACTTAGTGGTTGTATAGTGAAATTTCAGTCTGGGTATATCACAATGAAGCAGTAACATCTATTGGATGTTACAGTCACAGTTTATTGTTCACAATCATCTCAGTCAGTCGTATATCGTACATATATCACCACGGTGTCAAAGTTTCATGCTTGATTCTCGTCAGGCTAATAGAATAGAATATACAAAATATTTCAAACCTGGACAAAATATCTGTCTAAAGGTTACTCGTGTTCAGTGCAGTCAACTACATTGGCTTGTAAAGTGAAGTAAAGTGATATTTAACATAATCTTTGGCTTAGTATCCTAGTAATTTATGATAAGAAGAGTTTGATGGTAAGAGAGATGTCGTTGAAGCATTCAAAATACGTAGGATCGTGAGTGATGTACCATTTATTTATTATTTTATTTATTCTATTCCTTTGCGTTCCCAGTGGAACAGAGGGCCTCAAACTTCAGCTTTGAAGTTTCAGTAGCAGTGGTATTTATTTTAACGGAGTGAGATTGCTAGTCTCACGCCAAATCTTCCCTTTTTGTCAAGTTTTTTACTAGCTGAGTGAGGTTTAGGAGTGCGTCTGCCAGTGATCGAATCTTGGACCACCTGAGTGGCTGACGAGCATTCTGCCTCTGCGCCACCGACACATGACATATCATTAGGACACATTTATTAACAATGTGTTTGTATAGCCTAGGTATATATCTTATACTGTCAGTTTAAGAGGGATAACATTTACAGTTGACAAGGTCATAGAATTGGTCATATACAAGTGACTACAAACTGTCGTAAAGTTAGGGCTTGAGCTACTTATCAGTGGACCAATGATATAGAAATTCTAATGTGAAATAAGATATGGAAAGGTGAACAATATAATGAGTACCTATACTGAAACAAAGAATTTAGAGTAAATGTCTATTTCGCTAAAAGTTGAAAAGATGAGTACATTTCAATGAAGTATAACTAATTTTAAAACCGAATACAGAACATCCTTGTAAAGAAGCTGTTTCTGCATGAACTCTAACAGTTATTGGTATCTTTTGATTAGACAGTAGTGAGTAACTAGTGTAATCTGTCTAATCCCTTTTTTGTTTGGTGCAGTCAAGTTCGCAAAGTGTCTACCATGGTTGGTAGCTCGCAATCATGGTGCACTTTGAGTTGTTGATATTAGATGGTTGGAGATAAACATTGCAAACTTGGCTAATAGAATTCAGTCTGCACCAAACAAAGGACTAAACACATTACTCTAGTTACCAACTAGTGTCCAGTCAAAAGTATCCAATACACCCATCTGGAGGTGAATCGCGAGACCAAATAGCTAAGTGGTAACTTCTCTGACTGCAGCACTGGGTGATATGGGTTTGAATCTCAGGAGGGTCATGAGTTCATTCGAGGTCGCAGATACGCCTTGCTGACTGGTGAGTGCCAACACGCACAGAACCTAGGACAACTGGGCTTCTTGTCGACTGCCTCCAACAATCTAATATTATTATTATTGTTCCTTTGGGTTCATAGTAGAACACAGGGCTTCAACTACACGTCTCCACTTGCTTCTGTCTTCTGCTGTACTTTTAACCTGCATCCATGTTAGTCCGTACTGTTTCAACTCCTCTTCACATGATCTCCTCCATGTCACCCTCGGACGTCCCATTCGCCGCTTCCCTTTCGGGTTCCACTCGGGCACTGGTCTGACGCGCGATGTCACCCAACGGCCTCCTCAGCTTGTGTCCAATCCATCTCCACTTTCTCCTGCATATTTGTTGGGCGATTGGTTCTTGCTCTGTTTGTTCCCATAGTTTCTTGTTTGTGATTCTTTCCGGCCATCTGATCTTCAGTATAGAGCGAAGACAGTTGTTGATAAAGGTCTGCAACAGGCTGTTGTAAATATTCTTTGTGACCCGCCAAGTTTCTGATCCGTATAGAAGAACTGACTGACTTGACGCTTGTATTGAAAATCCGAATTTTGTTGTTGATGTTGAGTGACGAATATCAGTTATTGATATCATTAGTGGGCATACGTAAGTACATTAACATATTAGAGTCAGAAAAATGAAGGCAATTCATAATTATAATAATTCATAATAATTATATCAAATAATAATACCCACTGACCAATAGAGTTGAAAGTTTTGCTCTCTACGACGTCTTGCACAAAAAATTATCTGAGTTCGTTTTAATTAATTGTTATTACAATTATCCCAGTGGTTTGTAATGATTCAGCTCTCTCAAGAAAATCATTCAAAGTACAATGATTTGATGAGTTTAAAACTAAATGACTGTAACAGTCCTTTGATTTGGTTTACTATCTCAGTAAGTTGGTTTAAGTAATTTTCAGCAGTTTATACCAATCAGTGGGATAAAATCATTGTTGCGCGCCTGCTTATCAACTTGCTCTTAAATATATTCTGCGTCACTGAACATATTTTGATAAGGACACTTTGGTTTTCACCTCCAGCTGTGTCATTCTCAAATAGCTAATTGTCTTCGAAAGTGTAAAGAATCTATTATCATTCAGTATTTTGAGTAGATAGCTGCAATTTATTACATAAATTCAAAAGTTGGTTTATAGAGATGTCTCAGGAATTATCCAATACCTATATAAGTCACAGAACCATTAAAACCAGGGAGTACTGTACAGCTGTTTCCTTCTAATTCGAGACTCTTCACCAGTACTCATCCACTGGGGTTCGAACCCAGGGCTTTCCGGTCACAAGGTGAGCTCGAATGGCTTTCAACTACTGGGACTCAATCAAATAGCCCATGAATTCCAAACTCCAGTAATGTGTGATTTTACTACGACCACCGGTAAATGTTATTTGCAATTATTCGTCCTCACGCCCTACAGTAGGGACCCCACTGGTTACGACTTCCAACTAGAACTCCTTATTACATATTTGTTAATTGACAAACAACATATAACTCTTAAATCTTTTGGGATATCACTAAGTTGTGATTACATGATGTAACACATAAGCAGAAAACAAAATGATTTGGTGATACTAATTAATATTCAGATCTGTTCATTCTTGGCATGGAAAGGTTTATTGTGATGCTATTCAAATAACACAATCTTATGACTACAGTGCGTCGGTGGCACAGCGGTAGAATGCTCTCCAACCACGCCTCATATGGTCCAACGTTCGATCCTCGGCCGACGCACTCCCTTACCTCGCTATGCCAGTTATTATTCCATTATGGGAAAATTTTGTTTTGATAGTCTTACAGTGTTATACAGTAGTGTTTACTGATGACGTTACGAGCACAATTTATTGCTCATAATCATATCAAGGTAATCACACGACTTCCTAAATTCATTTATATAGTTCCGTTGTTTTTCACTTGATTTGATTGGTAGTAGTATTTTCCATATTTCGGGTATGAGTGATAAATCATTCCTATTGCATGTGTTGAATGTAGATTCGATGAACAAGGATTCAGTAATCAACGTCTCTCTCCACCTACCCATATTACTTCTTAGAATTTTAACCCTCTCTCACCCTATTGTGTGGTTATGTGTCATTGCATGCAATGCAGTTGCTGAGGTTTTCTCTAAATAACTTACCTTCTTGGGGTCAGACATTCTTACCTTAGATAAATTCTTGTGTTCTGACAATCTGACTACCCCTGACCTACTAGTTTGACATATGTAGTTGACTTACTAACAGTCATTGCAAGATATTTTGTAAATTATATTATTTTGTCTAATTAGTTCAATAGGGTCCCTTATCCTAGGGAACTAGTCCCTGAGTGCATTCACTAACATAACCACACAATAGAGTGAGAGAGGGTTAAAATTCTAAGAAGTAATATGGGTAGGTGGAGAGATAGATTGATTACTGAATCCTTGTTCATCGAATCTACATTCAACACGTGCAATAGGAATGACTCACCACTCATACCGGAAATATGGAAAATATTACTACCAATCAAATGAAGAGATGAGAAATAATGGAATTATATAAACAGATTTGGAAAGTTGTGTGAGTACCTTGATATGATTATGAGCAATAAATTGTGCTCGAAACGTGGTCATCAGTAAACATTACTGTATAACACTGTGAGACTTTATCAAAACAAAATTTACCCATAATGGAATTACAATCTACCACAGTGCACAAGTTTTATTCTTATATCAATGCCTGTAATAAGACTGTTTATGAGAGAAGGTTGGACATGAAGCTAGCAACCCCGTTCCGTAATAATAAACACCACTGCTACGGAAACTTCAAGACTTTAGCTTGAAGCTTCATGTTCCACTGGGAACGTAAAGGAATAAAAATGTTCAAAAGAATGGATACCGAACAAAGAGTACTCTTTTCGATAAATTCATCATCAGGCTCTACATTTATATATACATTATAGTGAATAAAAAATGACTACAGATCAAAATGGACTGTTCATCTTTGCACACTATTCAGTGGTAACTTACGTGATATGTGTAACAGAGAGCCAATTCACCTAAGCTTTTAATATTATATACAACTGACAAAGAATCTCCAGTATTACATATAATTCACTGTATTTTTTATAGAGCTATTGCGTTCTTTCAGAAGCATACGGGTATCAATCGAGCATTAGTTACTAACCAGCCCTCAAATACTACAGAGCTGTCATCCTTACCATATCGAACAGAAATGCAAAAACATATACGCAGTGGACAAGTTAGTGAATTTGAAAATTCATTCTCATGGAGAGCATCAGTTGTATTGATGGCGAAGGAGAAAACTGATAGTAAGTTCTAATGAAACAGTCCTCTTTGTTATCACAATGTCCTTCGTACTGTTATCTTTTTAATTGTAAGCAGAGACTTTCACTTGGCGGGTAATAATGATAATAATTTTCATATCGTTTTTGTTCAAACCAAATAGGCATAAGACTTTTGTAATAACCGATATTCATCTCATCATTTCATTATGAATGGTAGTCAAATTAATTAAATTAAGTTGGTTTGTATCATATTTGCAATTTTCAAATTACGCAATTCGAAGTGAAATTTTACCAATTTCCTCTGGAAACTAAAATAATAAAATGTGATCTGCTTGATACAATTGATGACACAATGCTACATACTACTGACTGATTGATGAGTAGTTGAAAATTGTTCACGTTAAACAGAATTGCTTTCTAGCCAGATCGAAGTGATCTAAACACCGGACGCTGTTTCGCTTTTATTGGGCCTAGTTAAACATTGGTGGGTCCAGTCGAACTCAGCTGAAAGAGCTAAATCAGTTCGAACCACTCGAATTCTACCTAGATACTTGGCAGACTAGTAATATTCCCATATTGAGTCAAAAGAAAAAGGCACAAACAGCGAAGAAAATTTTCTTTCTAAATGTCTGAAGAAGACATTTCCAACAGCCACCTTACGTATCACATTCTCTAGCAGACAAAATATCCAGTCTAACGTTAGGGGTAAGATACTGCTTTTGGCCACTTATGTGTTTTTATCAGTTAACTTGCTCTTGTGGAGCTAAGTAAATCAGCCGTACGCAAAGTCAAGTCCACTAACGTATTCTGGAACACTGTCCAGTTTGGTTAGGCAGCCAGAGGGGAGAAGAAGAATAGCAACGGCTCTATCCTCAAACACCTTGTCATCTCCGAATATCCAGCACCCTGGCATGAATGCTTCACAGTGCTACACAAAGTCCCTCAATATCGTACCAAGGGACTTCGCATACGCCGTCTGTACATAGCTGAAGCAATAGCTATTCGGGATCTGAAACCGGACCTCTGCATTTGAAAGCGATACATACATTCTCTTGCCCTACCATGGCCAGAGTAAAGTTCTTACTACAATTCTGCTTCTTTCCTTTATTATGTAAGTTTACTATTATTATTATTTTTAATACTTTTGTTATCATTATTATCCCCATCATTCACATTTTATTACCACTTTATTACTGTTTATTAATATCATTGCTTTTTCATACAGATTTTATACAAAAACACTTTATAGCCTTTCCACTAGTTCCTGTCCATTCTACACGAGCCTGTTGATTAGTCATTTTTTCACACCTATTACGTCATGCCAACTTCTGCCTCTTATCTAACTTACAACAAATCATCCCTTCTTACACCTTATATTATGTAATACATTTTTAAGGACAAAGTTTACCAGTATCTGATTGGTCTAAAGATTTATTTGTAAAATATAATTACGATTGTAAAGCTTATGAAAATGAATCGTCGAAAAGAAAAGTTTTTTCACTATTTGTGCCTTTTTCTTAAGACTAGTAATACACAGAACTGAATTCGATATTTGACAAGAAGTGAAGTAATTTCATCCCTCAAACTCTATAGGCAATACTGGTTCATGTAGATGCTATCAAACCACTCATTTAGATCAACCTCTAGTATTCAGCATCAAATCGCATTCTAGTGCAGACATACTGCCAAGATTATTGATAAAGTCGAAGGCTTTTCCACGAATGCAAAAAAGAGAAGTACAAACGAGTTGAGCACATTTGATTTGGAGCACAATGGGTAAGGTTTTTAGGGCAAAATTTCAACATTATTTAGTGTCCACTAAAAAATGTGGAATTGACTGATAATTTCTGTCATGCGTTGTACTACAGATTCCAGTTCAAGTCTTGCTGACACTATGAACATTGAACGTAGACGATGTACTCGATAATCACCTCCATATACGTAACTGCATTAGTCATTGTTGTTCTAATAGAATATGAAAAACCTGCTTAGGAAGCTTATCCGCTAAAATGAAAACGAGTGTAATGTTTGTCTTAATGATAATAACTCACTTTGAGCGGCAAATGAGAAATGATTATCAACTTTCAAGCTTTTCTTTACCAGCTTCTCAACTCTTTCGAAATGTCTATTACCAACTTTCAGGTGATTTTACTAGTACACAAAGCACTGCTGGGCATTCTTTAGGAAGTACCTCTGACGTAAACACACGACCATATTATTCAAATATCATCGGTACAAGCGCTGCAAATCAGTCTAGCCTCAGATCAGGACGTTTTGGAACCTATTTCAATAGTAATCAACAAAATCATTTATCAAATCTTGGACGTTTACAAAGACATATGGCTGTAATACCTAGACCACAGAATAACTTTCAGCCAAATACTCAGAAGCGGAGAACTGACAATTGTAATGAATTCTACACTCCTTCAAGTGTTGATTCTCTTAACAATGATCCATTTTGGTCAACTGTTGTACGATTACTACTTTCTCATGCTAACTTGAAACAAGAATTAGAAATAGAATTTGATGGTGAAGAAGGAACTGGTCTAGGTCCAACAATGGAATTTTATGCCTTACTTTCAGCTGAACTAAGGTTTGAGAATATTGTTCATCTTATTATTTTTTTCTTCTGTTGATACTTTAATATGATGGGCTAGACTGTCACTCATTTTTTGGGACTATAATCTACATAAAATGATAAGGGAGTTGTCAGTACTGGTGAATACTGAATCGTTTGTTTATTCGAACTAGTCTCCATATTGGCGGGAAATAAGGAGTTGAAGAAATACGATCAAAAGTATTGCTGTACATTATATTAACGTTCATTTACAGACTTTGGTACTGATTAATCATTATAAATCTGTTTCGTTGTTGCTTGAAGAATAAACATTCGTGTTACCCAACCGTTTCCCAAGGTTCTAAGCCGGTTACAGTGCATAGCGTCCTGCATAATTGACTTATTTTTCTGGAACCAGCGATAGATCCAGGATCTTTGCGATCTGGATAATATACAGAGGCCATCTAATTCGAAAAACCCTTCAGGAGGTGGGGACATTTTATTGCACGGATGAAGAAAATATCGAATGTCTATCGTGATATTCACAGCTTAGCAAGAATGATTAATGTGTTGATTTATACACAGTAGAAAGGAATATACATGCAATTTACAGCCTGTATAGTTGCTTTCCTCTTAAATATGTCAATTTTAAAAGAAGTGTCTAAATTCAGTATAAAGTATATTTTCAGTTTAGAATTTCTCAGTTTTCGCATATATTACTGTAATGAAAGTACGCATCTGTTCATTATATTTTATCGTGGTAAAATCGTGATAAATCAGTGGTAAAATGCTTACCAGTAACGCGAAAATCCGTTTTCGATTTCTGGCCAACGCGCACTTAAATCAAGTCTTGTTTACTAGTAAGCCTGGAAAATAGGAAGAGATGGACGTGAGACTGGCGAATCCACCCTACCCTGATAGTACAGGAATTAGAAAAAGCTACATAACATTTTAGAAAATAACCGTGAGAGTCTGCATCTGATGAAGCACTCCCTAGAAAAGAAGCTGAATACAATTGTAATGCTGCATTTTAGTTGTACATCAAAATATCAGATAATATCATACTCTATTTGCATGATATTAAGGCATTGTAACAGATATGAAAACGTTATTATATCTTAATTACTCCAAAAACATTTGCCACACTCCTGCGCTGTAACTTTTCGAAGATAATAATCATGTACATTTTCATTCTGATTGTTTCTTGAGTTTTTCACAGAAGCTTTCAGCATGTCTTTAAATTAACCTTCTTGAAAGTTGACTAGTTACAGAGAAATCCTCTGAGAATTTAATTTGAATTTATTCCCATTCTAGGATCAGCAGAATGACACTAATTTATGTAGTTACTTTTATTTTAAATATCAAGAGGTAGATATATAGTACTCCAAGTTTTGTTGATGCAAAAAATACCCTCATACTAAATGTGCCTTCTTTTCCCCATCTGAATATGTGCTTCTTAATACAATTGGTTGGATTCTGCCTTTTTTATGACAAAACTCCCATTACATTCTACCTTATGTTGTTGAAATCATTCAAACCAAATGTAGGTCTTTGTACAACTAAGACGCTCTACTTACAGAGACATGAGATGATCTACCGGAACATTTCCACCCTTTGAATACAAAAATCTACTGGAACAATTAAGTTTGTTTGTTTATAAGAGTGAAAGAGGCTTTGTGAATGGATTTAGAGTCTGTTACACTTGCTGAACATAGTGATTAACATTAGTTCACTTGTTGTTTCATGAAGGGAAAAATCCATTAACAATATTCTGCTTGACTGTTCATTCGCACAACTAAGAAAATTAGTAAACCAGCTATCAGTAAAATCTTTTAAGTTATCTCACTATCAAAGCGTCATATCACAAATAAAAATGTGTGATTTGTGAAGACTCTATGCATGGTATTCACTTCTACATAACACGTCTTCTATTTTTCACTACTTGAAATAAAAATGTTTTATTCCTTCTTAATCGAGAATGTTGAAGATAGTTTGTTTTTGAAAATCAAGTAGTTTTAATTGAGATATTGGTAAGAAGCTGCTAAAATAGTACTGATGAAGAGTTCCAAACTAGAGAAAAAAAGTTGTCCAGTACTCCCAGGTTTTCTAATGGTTTTCTAACTGATGATCGATTGATTTCTGTTTAAAATGAACTCTGTGTAGGTATGTTAAATTGTTTTTGTAGATACATTTAATAATGTCTTTGCCCTGTAAGCAGCTGAAGAGAAGGCGATGAAATAAAATATGGTACCATTTTATTCTGCTAAAACTGTAGTTGTTGCTTTGTTCAAATTCATTAAGGGGAACAAATGTATGAAATAGTAACAGATATTGGACATTTTTTCATGCAGTTATTTGAATTAGGGGACATGGTAGCAGTAAAGTCTGTGAAGTAGTAAAGTATTTAGCAAGCGAGAACATTTCTCTGACCGCAGAAGAACTTTACAGTTATTTATTGTAATCTGTTTCACGTAATACTTACCACATATAAGTCGAAAACTGTCAATATTCTTCAAACTATGTATTTATTTTCTAAATTAAAGACGTTATTCTCATGGATTATGGGTTACTGACGATCGTGATACCACGAATGAAACTAAAAAGCTATCAAATATATCATACGAAGATAATACCAACCACATTGAAAACCCTCAAGATGATTCACCGGAGGATAAATCACAGAATGATTTCTATGTAAACCCCTCAATGGGTCTATTTCCTGCCCCCTGGCCTTCAAATCGCTTACCACCTGGATGTGAATTGAGATTTTATGTATTGGGCATTGCTGTAGCCAAATGTTTGCAAGTACGTTTAAATTAGTACTCATTCCTGTCATATATTTTGGATAAAAGCCGAATTCAGTTCTTAGGTAATCATCGGTACAGATTCTTCTTGCCGTATTCATGAGACCTCTGACCCAAATGATTTTGTATCTGATTGGTACGAAACTGAAGAAATGTGTATATTGCGCTAAAGATACTTCCAAAACACGCTGGTCCAAATGCGTTATTATAGTAAATTTGTAAGGAGACACATGAATACTGTGTATAAAAAAGGGAAACCGACAACAGATAAAAAGAAATAATTGTTCGTAAAACTGCAATTCACTTAAAGTGTAACTAGTAAAGTTACACATCTAGAGCCACAAAATGGCCCTATACTGCTACTACCCACTGTTTGCCATTTTCCAGCAGACCGATTACAACTTCTGAAGCGAAAGATGAGCTACCACTTAAGCTGTGCCACTTCTGTGTGCATTTGTGAGTTTATCTGCTCTTAATGAAAAAGCTATATGGGTTACACAACTAGCCAGCTCAACAAATACATTACTGAGCATCTTCCATTCATTGTCCAGAAGATATCAAATAAAGTCAATAAGAAGCTCTATCTCGTCTCAGTTGATTGATAGCAGTCACCAAGTAGACAGAAGAAGTGTCTTCAAGATTTTCTATCGGTTTCCATAGGAGACTTCTGATTGAATTTGAACCCTCCTTTTACACAATGCCGAAGCTATGGCAATCAGAGAGAACAATCCTAGTCTTTGTATACAAAAGAGGTTTATATATATATATTTATTTAAAGAGTATGAATTAACTGGCTTAATTTATGATGATAGAGTAGTTGGTGTCACCTGAAGAGTCGAATTCAATTTACTTTGACAGGATACATAAAAATACATTGTTAACAAAAATTACACACGAATATATGATACTGTTTCATACAGTGGTAAGCCATTTTGATCGGAATTTCGCACTTCATCTCAGTAAACGATGGCGCTCCCGATGAAAATTTAGACTATCGCTATGTGTTTGAAACATATGAACTTTCATCTGTTTGTTTAGTCACCAGAATCACTCCCTCTTTGGTGAATGCCACTTTTTCATGTTTATCCTCTTAGTTTAAGCTAATCTCTTTAATTTCATATACTTTGTGGTCATATAGTAAAAGAATGAACTAACATTTAAGTTTTTTCTATAGTTGGTTTGTAAGGATTAGATTTGTTTTTACGAGTTGATCACGGATTGATATCAGTTAGAGAACCATTGAAAACCAGCATTGAATTACTGGACAGTTGTTTCATCCTAGTTGTCCAGTACTCCCTGGTTTTCAGTGGTTCTCTAACTGATATCAATCCATGACCAAACTCGTAAAAATTCAACTTTCTGTTTCACTATCTAATTATACGATGTTTCTCATTCGTTATTCAAATGGTGATGGGTATAATAAGGCGAATTGCCACTTTACGATTGTGCGAATAAGTTTCCGAATGTACGTTTTCATTCAAGACAGGTATTCTCTGATCGGACACTATGCAGTGACTAATTTCATACATCTGGTCCACTGTTTGGCGCAGACTGAATTCTATCATAAACCGGAATAGCATGATGTCAACGCCTCTGACTTCAGTACTGGGTGTCCCAGGTTTGGAGTCTCAGAAGTGGCATGAGATCCCTGAAGACTGTAGATGCACCTTGTGGATTAGTGAGTGCCAGCAAGTACAAAACTTAAATCCAAGACTTCCTACCAATTGTCTTCAACCATTCAATGAAAGGAAGATTTACAAACTTATTCTCTTAAACTTTTCATCTTTGTTTAAAGCACAATAAGATTATCTACTCATACGTTGATCTAATTTCATTTTTACCTTAGGATGAACGTCAAATGGATTTACCATTCTCAAATGCATTTTTATGTCTTTTATGTAATAATGGAAAAGCATCTGAGTTAGACGATCTCATTAATGACAAGAAAAATGGTGAAGGTGTTAGTCGATCTCAGTCCACTTGGTTTTATAATACATTAGATATAAAACACTTTGCAGAAATTTATCCTGAACGTGGTAAATTTCTACTACAATTAAAAAAGTATCAATACATGAAATCTGAATTATTGTATAAGTATAATGGTGATGAATTGATTCAAAAAGATTTGGAACTGCAAACACGCTTATTTTCTACTGATTTAGAATCATTATGCCTTACAATGAGTTTCCCTTCAGTTTCTAAGGTAAGTAAAATATTGCAGTGAATTAAATTATATTATACACTACTTTTTTTATTTTATTCTTCTGCCTTCCCAATGTAACACAGTGCTTCACTCTAGAACCTTTAATTTTCGGTAGCTGTTGTGTTTATTTTTACTCAGTGGGGTTGCTATCCTCATACCCAAAGTTCCCTCTTTTTCAGTCTTATTACTAGCTTAGTGAGGTGAAGCTCTGTGTTGGCCGAGGATAAAACCCCGAACGACCTTAATGGTTGGCGAGCATTCTATCGCTGTGCCATCGATGCACTACTATACACTACTAGTGACAGCAAGTGGGAGACGTATGTCTACCTTTAGTTTATGTTTCAGTGAATGATTGTACTGTGATGTCTGTTTTACAAGTTCATAATCTATTCACCCTTGAATTCGGGTGGCACAAGAATCTACTTGTTGCTAGTGGTACTTGTTGTGTGCATTTTTAATTTCCTTTTGGACAGCTAAGTAGTACCCCCTTATGAGCAACACTCTTAAATCTCTATTCTTTGAGGGAGGGGGAAGAATGTGAACGAAAAATTCAGATATTGAGTCATAAGAAAAGCACGTAACACTGCGTTTCATACAGATTTTATGTAAAAACAATTCGTCATCTTACCACTAGTTTCTCTTCATTCTTGTCATTCTAGTCGCTATCTCATACTTATTACGTCATGCCAACCTTCTGCCCCTTTTCCTACTTACAATTAGTCACTCCTTCTAGGTTACGTAACACGTTTTTGAGGGAAAATTTAACCAGCATCTGATTGGTTTTTCTGATTTCTTTTTTAAGTACAATTACGATTGTACAGTTTATGAAAATGAATCGTCGAAAAGGACATGAGTATTTTTGATTGGACACTAGTCATTAACTAGTGTAATATGTCTAGTCCTATACTCGGTGCAGACTGAATTCTATCAGTCATGCTTGCAATGTGGCCACCATGCTAGGTGGCTCGCCATTTCGGTTAACAGTGAATTGTTGGTATTAGATGGTACTAGATGGACATGAATAAACAGTTAATAAACGAGATAATGAAGTACTGCGGTCGAAGAAATGTCTAGATGAATTTGGCTTTGTGTACAGCTTTATCGACAAAAATGGCATAAAAGAATTTAGTAAGCTTAAGAAAACTGACACTACCGAACAAATTACTGCACACTTCATTTTGGAGTGTAATGATATTGTGAATATTTTGACGGGAAGCTGAATTGCAGCTATGATTAGGATTTACACCATGGCAAATCTGTTTTCTTCTCACTGAATATCAGCAGTCACCAGTTCAACGAAAACAACCACGCATCTGACACCAATTATGTATTTTGACTTATGTGTATATCTGTGACAGGCGACTTTATAAACACACTGTCATATGCTCAGAAGCAGTTGAATCACTCTATTCAGAAACGGCCAAAATAACCATTTTATTAACAAAATCTAGTATAATAGTAGTATGGTGAGAGCTGTCTGCTTGCCGAAATTGGTAGACGACAATTTATGTCAATGTTTACATCCCGAATACTGGTCATAGGAAAAAAGAAGAACATAGACTAACCTTGAGTAACTCAACACCCAATCACAGCAGACTTAGAGTGGGCGGATACGATTATCAGATACATCAACGGACTGTCGAAGAAACGGCAACAAAGAGATGACAGAATAACACTCAGCAGGAAAACAACCAATCAGAAGACGTTAACTCTCTGCTAAAATAACGAATAATAATGTACATAAAAATCTATAAATATCTGTTGATGTTCTCAGTAGACGATCTGATGCCTGGCCCTCATCTTCTGTCGTCACAGTAGGACCGATTCGGGCATAGAAAGATTTGTAAAGTTTATTACTGTTAAAAGGATGGCAGCATCGTGCGAACAGTATTATATTATTATCCCCACTGGGCTCCGAATGAAAAAAAGGACTTCAGTAGCACGTCTCCATTGTGTTCTGTTCTCTTAAAGTCTTTTTAGCTGGCCCCATGACTGCCTATAAGCGTTTATTTCCCCTTTGTGCGATCTCATCCATGCCACCGTCAGATATCCAATTGTTTTTCCCTATTTGGATTCAACTCTAAGGCCTGATGTGTGATGTTGCTCAATGTATCTCCGAATCATCTTCATTTTCTTCGACATATTTGTTGGGCAGTATTTTGAAAAACACACAAGCATTATTTATGTCATTAGCGAAATTGAGAGAATCAGACATTCAGCTACACTAATTAGAATATCTTGTATTGCTTAGTTAGATTTCATGGAATCAACACTGAGAATTATCAAAGCGCCCTGAATAAAATCTAAGAAAGAAATGAATTCCAAATTACCTCTTAATTTTATTCTAATAAATTTTAAGTTATTCTCTTAAATAGTACTATGAAATAAGAAATGTTAGGATATTTTATTCTTTGGTGGGATTATTCTCTAGCACACTGTCCAAATTTTATTTATATATCAAATAAATGAGTGAGGTATCGTAATTTTTTGGAAAACCAGAAGGTTAACAGCTTTGGTTCACCACATCTTAACTATTCGTAAACCCCTGGGTTATAGAGGTAATTAGGGAAATACTATAGTATAGCCGAGGTGAAAATCTGACGACATCGCGTGCCATGCTCTTAAGTGGAACCCAAATTGGAAACAACGAGTTGGGCATGCGGCTGAGGGTGACACAGAGGAGGTCGTGTCAGGAGGAGATGAAAGATTATGGGCAATAGTGTAGCAAGTCGAAGAAGAATACAGAGAGCTGGGTGAAACAGAGATATGTTGCTGCATCTCTATGTTCCACCTGGAAACCAAGGGAAGAAAAATAACACAGCCCGTTAAGAGAAAGTTACTTGTTGTGTACTTTAGGAAGCTTAGTTCTCGCCACACGTATATCGGATAGTAAGTAGAATGTAAGCAATAGAAAACCGTCAACATGACGTATTTCGATGTTGAAGTGTATATGTACACATGATGAGAAATTACGAAAGACTGATATTAGTAATTTGATATGTGACTGGTAAGTTTTTTTCTTATACTAGAACGTACATATATATAATATACGTATGTCCTAATTTCATTTTTACTACTTTTGGAAATTCTTTTCAGAATTTTGGTTTCAGTGAATTTCCATTAAAAGATGTATATGATTGGGAAAATGATAATAATTATAATGACCTTATGAATGAAAATGAAAAAGAATGCGAAACTGTTGAAACTCTAACCACTGACTTAATTGATGCCTATATACGACGATCTTTCGAGTTTGCAATGCAGAAAGGGATACAAAAGCAAATGAATGCATTTAAAAGTACGGAGTAATTTCTTTTGAGTCTTGGAATTTTTGAACAGCTTATACTTTTGTCAATTTTCTCATGAATTGAAATTCCGTTTTCTCTTAGTAATTAAGTAAATGTTTTATTTTATTTTCTAGTTCTTATTGACAATCAGGTGAATTTTAGTGAATATCACAACACATTGTTCTACATTCGTAAACTTCCTACTTAGAGATTGTAGGTTGTCAATAGCTTAAATTTCCAGTTGTAAGCAAAACAAATTTTCAAAATATCATACCATCTAGGTAGATTGAAAAGGTGCAATACTGAGATGTACATCGTATAATCAAAAACAGTAGCGGTTTCTCTATGTGTAGCTAAAGATACACACGAAGTGCTGATGGCAGAGTATCTTTGTCAGAAGAAAGTGCATATTCAATGAAGGTGACCAAATCGCCATAATGATTATTTTGTCACATAACTATGATATCGTCAGCTGCAATTTTGGAAACAAAGAACAGTCTTTCTAGACATGGGAAATGTTTCCTCTGTTGCCTCCAGTAAAAACTTTTCGTGGGTAGAATAAGTGATGATAAATACCTCTGCTGAAGTTAATCTTTTTATGTAAATACAAAGAGGTGAATAAGTATTTTAAGTGGGAGTTTTATCGATGGGATACCATTTCATCTAGCACAAAATGACAGCAATCCTATTATATAAAAGCAGTGGAAGTTCCAGCTTTTACAGTGATTTGGCACCCGAATGCAGATAACATCGGTTTTCTTCAAATTTTTAAACAGGCAAAAACATCAGTTGTATTCAAAAGACGCCACCTATAATTCATCGCTTTTCGATCCATCGGATTTATTGTGAGAATCAAATATAATTGGTAGTAAAACACCATTAAAGACTCATTTCAGTGAATTACCAGATGAACTCTGCTAACCAACCTCAATTTCTTCGACTTCGAAAAAGCCTTTGACAGACAGCGTTGAACGAGAAGCAATTTAAAAACTACTTCAGCACTATGGCGTGCAGCGCTGAAGTCTTTATCAACCTCATCCAACAGCTAGCTCTATGACAGTGTTAGGTGTCAGGTGATCCGCCACGGAAAACTCAATGAAGTGTTTCATGTGAATTTAGGAGTAAGACAAGCTGACTGCCTATTATCACCGATGACATTCTTAATTGTGGTGAACTAGATTATTTATCACATTGTGGAGAGTGAGAAGACAGAAATGCGTTGGACCAATGATAAGACTCTAGAAGATCCTGATTTTACGGCTGTAACACAAACCCAAAGACTTGAAAGTGGAAATCAACCAACTGGCAGAAGAGGGAGGCACTGCAGACGGGATTCCAGGTGAACATAGAGAAGAGGGGGCTAATGGAGATATCCAACCACCACTGACAGCAACAACAACTAGCATCAGTCACCATTAACGGAAGAGATTTGACAGAGGTTATTTCCTTCACTTATCTAGGAAGCATAGTTTCAGCCACAGGCAGTAGGAACGCATGCAGATGTGAGAAACAACCAGAACTGTAAAGGCAAGCCAGTCCGATATGAAGCTAAAACCAATAGGGAAAGCTTCTGCAGTAACTCAGCAGCATAAATAACAAGATTTGAATATCCAACACAAATGTGAAGTCAGTAGGTTCTTCCTCGATATGGATCAGAAGCTTGCACTGAGTATCTCGAAAAGGATTTTCAGCAGGTTACAGACTTTTATCAACACCTGTCTTTGGTAAATCCATACCTAAGATCAAATGGCCGGCTGGCCAGGAAAAATTAGCAACAAGAAAATCTGGCGAGAAACCAAGCAAGAGCCGATTGCTCAACAAACATGTAAGAGAAAACGGAGATGGATCTGGCATACGCTGGCTAAGGAGGCTATCGAACAACATCGCGCGCAATGCATGCCATAGCTTAAGTGGATTCCCGATAAGTCGTCGGTGTGAGGGAGACATGGAGGAGACCGTGTAGCGAGGAGGAGATTGGAGATTATGGGCAATCGTGGACCCAGCTGAATGGGACAGCAGAAAATGGAACAAAGTTGAAATGTAATGTTGAAGCCCATTGCTCCACTCGGAACCCAAGGGTATAATAACGATCTACTAAACTAGTCCACTAACAGGTGCGTTTACATCAATAAAATAGAAATTAACCAAGTTGGTTTCGGTTGAATCATTTTTACGGCGTAGCCCTCCAGATTTGTAGTTTTTAGGTACTTGTAAGGAAACTCATTACATATTCGATGGTGCCAAGGGTAAGCAGACTTTTTCGTTCCTCTCTCATAACCAGTACTCACACAGCAAATAAATAAAAGATGATCGCCTAAATGAGATTCATCCAAATATCAAGTTCACCATGGAATATGAACATAAAAATGAGTTCAATTTCCTGGATCTAAATGTAAAAAGAACAAACGAAGGCATAATTGAAAAGTCCATCTATAGAAAAGAAACCTGGACTGGACAATATCTTCACTATAACAGCTTTTGTCCCATAAGCTATAAACGTGGATTAGTGAGGACTTTGTACGACAGAGCCAGGAAGCTATGTTCACCAAACAAGGTCGAAGAAGAACTAGATTTCATCGAGAAATGCCTGAGGAAAAACGGATATCCTAAAGGCTTTATACAGAAGTACAGCAGAGAAAAAGATAAGAAAGAAAAGCATCCAACTGTAGAAAAGAAAAAAGTGTTTATTTGTCTCCCATTCAAAGGAGATGCAGTTTCACAAAAGATTGACAGAAGACTGAAAGAAGCAATAAATAGAAGCTTCCCGGCAGCAAAACTCATAACAGTATACAATACCACTCCTTCCATGATCAACTCAAAACTGGATAAATACCCTGCTGATGTCACCTCCAACTGCGTTTATGAATTTACGTGCACTTGCGGGAGCAAGTACATTGGAAGGAGAGAAAGAAGGCTGTCTATCCGGTTTTCTGAACATATTCCAAGAAACCTATGCCTGAAAGGAAGCAAATATTCTCAGAGTGCAATTACCAGACATATTGTTGATACCGGACATCTCGTAGAGATCTCTAAGTCCTTCAAAATATTAAATAGACAAAGGACAGCAAATTTACTACGATTTGCCGAAGCGATCGCAATCAAACGATTTAAACCAGACTTATGCATACAGAAAGAGAGTGTGATTAACCTCTCACTCCTTTGGTAACTGAATTTTGATTTTGATTAGTCATCAGTGATCTCAACTCACTGAGCAAATATCAATCTTATAAACTGTAAATGCTTTTGTTTTTTGGAGTTGCCATGTGAACCTACAATCTAACACTGTTTCTGTTAATCAATTTTTCTGTTTTCTGTCTTACCCCTCCCCCCTCTTTTCAACTCTGAAAGTGTATAAATTGATGATGATAACTTAAACTAAAATTGTAATGCTTTCGTTCTTTTTTGGATGCGTCAATTTTATCTCTTCTCTACTACTAATCAAACATTAAAGTATGTTATTATCATTTATATAACCATTGTAAATTCAGGTAGTCTGCAGCTGATGAGAACCTGTGAAATAGAATGATATCATTTTATACTGCAAATTTCGTCTTCCTTTCTTTATCGAAAAAGATTGAATACCAATGATGTCTTCAACCATGTGCATCTATGGGTTCAAATACTCCTGTGGAACTAGTTACAAAGGCCACACTCAAAAGGCTTTATTCATGCACGTGCGTGAACATGTACAGGTATAGTTGGGTAAAGGGGTAACGAAATTCATAAGTAGTGAGATTTTGACCCACTTATTGGATAGTAGACATTAAATTAATCCGAGGCTGGTGATCTACCGTGTCACTAAAAGTTTATTTTCTATCAGTAACCAAAGCGGTAGTAATTAATATAAAAAAACTTAGTCTCTGAATCCAGAAGAAAAATGTCCAATTGCTTTATATTTCTATGTTTCCAACAACGTCAACAAATCCTCTCAACGCATATATAATTAACACTTTAAATCCCTATCTCATTCTATCCCTTGCTGTCTTCATTTGACTAACAAACTTTTATTTTATTGCCGAGTTGTTATGACTTCATGAACATTCTTGTTATGTCTATTACCACAGGTTCACATAATGCTTTTCAAATTAGTAATAATGTTTACAACTGATAATCACTCACTAATAATGGTTTATATTTAAACAATATCACTGTTATTATATTTTGCCATTACTGTCATCTTAGAGTCGAAGCTGAATAGGAAAAGACAAGTAGAGCGTCCAAGGGTGACATAGAGTAGATCGTGCTGAGAGAAGATGAGAGACCATGAACAGTCTTGGGACCAACTAAAGAGAACTGCAGAAAATAAGGTGAATTGAAGATGTGCTGGTGAGGCAATAGATTCCACTAGAAACCCAAGGGAACAATAATAATAATATTCGTAATTTTTTATCCTTGGGCTTGCGTTTAGCATTTTCTATTTGGTGGTTTTTCTTTCACAGCATTGAATACACTCGCCTTTTAAAAAAACGTTTATGTTGATTATGAACACAAACACCACCAAATTATTTAACGTCATTTTATCTCATTTAACTATTGACGATACATCTAATGTTGATTTAAATGGTAATCAAAACTTACTGACTATTATTATTGTCTCTTGTTGGTATTCGATGGTTGGAGGCAATCGGCAGGAATCCCCTCCTCATCTAGGTTTCGTGCTAGTTGTTACTCACTAGTGAGCAAGGCGTATCTGTAGCCTTGAAGGAACTCGTATCCCTTCTGAGATTCGAACCCGCGTCACACAATGCTGTAGTCAGTCAGAGACGTTGCCACTGAGCTATTCAGGCTCCTGTAGGACTTCATTGGATATTTTTTGATTGGACACTAGTCAGTAACTAGTGTAACTGTGCGTCCAATCCTATCTTCGGTGCAGACTGAATTCTATCAGTCAATATTACAATGTGGCCACCATGCTAGGTGGCTCGCCGATCGCCTCCATTCATCTAATACCAACATTTCACAGTTCACTGTGATGGCGAGCCGTCTAGCATGGTGGCCACATCGCAAACCTGACTGATAGAATTCAGTCTGCACCAAACAAAGGACTAGACAGGTTACACTAGTTACTGACTAGCGTCCAATCAAAAATATTCTCTCTTGTACTTATATCACGATACGCTTTCTGAAACATTCCTAATTTGCCTTTACTGGCGCTATTGAGTGATAAAATTGGTGGATTTATTATTGTATAGTCTGCGGAAGAACTTGATGAAAATAGTTGTTTGCTGGTATTTATTCTTGTTTTAAATAAATAGAGGGTGGTATAAAGTCTTGATTGCTCAGTACCCTATAATATACACAAATACACACATCTTTTCCGAATAAAGTAAATGAACATACCTTTTAACTTTAAAATAATTATCTGTTTGACAATATGTGTATGTTACATTTTATCCTGATTCATTTGATTAAAGGAAGAAAAAATACGAACTTATTCAGGAACTAAAACTTACATTGGATTCTCTATACTAAAAATGTTCACATTACTTTCCTTTCATTTCAATTCCAGATGGATTTGAACGAGTTCTACCATTCAATTCCCTTTCAATATTCTTACCATATGAATTGGGTCGTTTAATTTCTGGAGAATCAATACATCAGTGGACATTTGATGAATTATGGATGTATTGTGAACCAGCTGCAGGTTATACAAGAAAATCACGTGGCTTTCAAATGTTGATTAAAGTCTTGGCCGATTTAGATGCAAATGAACGTAGATCATTTATCTGTTTTGTAACTGGTTGTCCTACTCTACCGCCGGGTGGAATCAAAAATATACATCCCAAAATTAAGGTAATAAAATATTACTGACAATACACAAGTTGGTTATCGTATCACCGTAAACACCGTTTATGTTTATGAGTGACTAAAAGATTTTCTAGATGTAAAACTCTACTCTGAACAAGTTCGATCCGAGAAAAACAGATCATGAAAAACTGGGTCCATTACTAGCAGACTGCTTCATGGCAAGCCTCGAGAACTATTGACAATTTCCAATTGTATGTTAGATATGTGGACGACATCTTCATTATCTGTGATGACGGTCACGATCTCAGCCAGTTACTACAAATATTCAACAAATGCCACCCAGCTACAATGTTCACTCTTGAAATTGAAAACGAATCTAAAATCCCTTTTCTTGATGTTGAACTCACAAGGAGAGCTGATGGAACTTTAAGAAGGTCCATCCATAGGAAAACCACATGGAATGGCCAACTGACAAGCTTCTCCAGTTGGGTACCAATCAATCGAGAAAGAAACCTAATTAGATCCCTTGCCACTCGCGTCCGACGCATCTTCAGCTCTGATACCATGGAAGAACTACACTTCCCGAAAGAAACCTTCATACAAAACGGCTATCCATCAAGATTCGTAGGCAAAAACGTCAAACAGAAAATCCAAAGGCAAGAGACACCATCCGCACCAAAAAAATACTTTATATGAACCTCGACTTCAAAGGTGACCTACTCAGTGATATCCTTAGAAGGAGAATTTCCACTTCTTCAAAGAGAACTTTCTTTGCGGCAACATTGAGAGCAGTGTTCTCTAGTCGCCCGTTGATCTACGGAAGCCCAAAGGACAAGATCCCGCACCTGGCCACTTCTATGAGTATATATCAGTTCACTTGTTGCTGTGGAGCCAAGTAAATTGGTCGTTCAAGGGTCAAAGAACACTATCCAGCGTGGCTGCAGAAAGGAAGTAATGGCTGCATAAGGAGTGCAGTAATCAAACACCTCGTCAACACTGGTCATTCCATCTCAACAAATGCCTCCTTTAAAGTAATGTACAAAGTGAGGAACAACTTTCTAAAGACAGTACGATTTCGTCTTTGCATGGCAGATACCCTAGCCATTCAGTTGGAAGAAACAGAACTGTGTACACAAAAGAAAATTATTCAACCACTTCTACTCTCATGTTAACAACTCCCTTGATTTGACTTAACTTTTGTTTGTATACTTATTCTTCTCAATACTTAAAACCCTTGTGTAATTCCGTGTATTATTTTGTTTCCATGTTCACCCTGAGCACAACTCTTTCATCAATCTATTCACGCCATCACGTTACTCTTATTTAACAATCATTTATGACAACTCTTCACTTTTGTTACTATCCTCTTATATCAACATCCAATTCATATGAACTTACTAAATGTATTTTCGTTTGACAAATTTAATGTACACACACATACAAAAATAGATCATGTTTCAAACCGAATTGCAACGCAACACATCATAATCGAACAGAGCATAAAATGGCAGTCGGATGTCTACGTCAATTTCGTTAACTTTGAAAAAGGCATTCGACAGTGTTGTTTGTGAATTAATTTGGAAACTTCTTCAAAACTACGGAATCGAGCACCCCGAATTTTATGAACCTCATTCAAAAGCTATATGATGATGCTATGTCTTGAGTGATTGACAACGGAAAAGTGAGCTAATTTCTGGATTTTACGGATAGTTTATATCTAATGTCACCCAAACTCGAAGATAAACAGACGAAAACCAACAAGTTGACAGAAGAGGCAGGCAGTGAAGACAGTACGTCAAGTGTATACGGAGGAGACAAAGGTGATAAAAATATCTAGCCAACAATAACAAGCACCGACCACATTCAACGGGAGATATTTGAAGAAAGTCGTCTTTTTCACTCAAAAGATGGTGTCCTTCCACCTACAAGTGGCTTAGATGGGGTATCAAAGCAGGATTGAACAAGTAAGACCAACCTTCGTCACTCTGAATTCAGTGCGGAAATCTACTGCTATAAACACTGATATCAAATCAGTGCTTCTATATGGATGAGAGACTTGTGGCGTCCCTTTTATCACCAGCTGCCTTCGATCGGTACCAAAGACCAGTTGGCCAGAAAGAACTAGGAACATGGAGCTGTGGTAAAGAACCAGTAAACAGTCTATTGATCAACAAGTTTGCAGAAGGAAACAGAGATGAATCAGGCACTCACTGAAGAGATGTATCAGGGACTAGAATAGAGCACAAATAAGAAACAACGTATTGGCCATCACTGCAACGAGGACATGGTGGAGATCGTGTGAGGAGGAGATCAAGGCTAATGAGCAACCGTGTGGCCAGCTGAAAACGACTACAGAGAACCGGTTGAGATGGTGATGTGCTGAAGCCCTGTGCTCTACTCGGAACTCAAGGGGATAAAAATTAATAACAGCAGTAGCTAGGCAGTTTTAAACTATTATTAATGACTCAGTCGTTCTGCCTTTACTCTTCTCTAAATAAACTTATATCTGTTACGGCTCTCAGATGAATAATCACCAAATTACATTAACAAGCCAAGAACTTCTGAGTGCAAACAAGAACACATGTTGATTGTATCACAATCTATTACACTTACTGAAGTAGTCTGTAGATACATATAGAAGACAAACCATCATTTTCCTTGCAGTATGTCAAGAACCGAAATAGGCAAGAAAATCATTGGGAATCAGCGAGCACTGCAGAATTGCTTCGTCTTAATTTGAAACTCTTCAGCACTGCACATCATCGGCCACTGAACTTTTAGCACTCAAAAAAGTAAATTATTCTGATTTATATATATCTTCCTCTTGTTGTTTTTTGCCACTTTACATTTCTCCGGTATACGCGATGAGTCATTTCGATGGCATGTGTTCGTGTTGAGTCGATAAAGAAGGATTCAGTGATAAACCTCTTTTTGTCTCCACCTAATCATATTACGTTTTAATACTTTCCACCAGAGTCTCGCCCAACTTATTGGGTCATTACATGCAAGTTAATGCAATGCAATGACGGAGCATTTTTCTAGATTGTTTAACTTCACGGGGCTAATCATTTAGAGTCTAGGTAAATTTTTATGTTCCAGTAATCTAACTGACCCCGACCTACTAGTTTGATCTGTGTAATTGACCTCACAATCATTAAATGGTATTTAGATAATGATATTATTTTTTAAGGCTGGATCTCTGATATATTAAAGCCAACAATGTTTATCTGAAAGAAAGTCGGTTGATTGACTTAAATGTTACCCTAATTCCAGCTTCATTGAGAATCCTGCGTAATGCTTCTGATGTTCCTTCTTTATGTGGCAGTACTATCAAGGCATTGAATTATTTTTGTCATTTTCACTATTAATGTTGGTTTTCCTACTGGTCTTCATATATTTCTGAACGAATTCTGGTGGGTAGTTATTCACTAGTAATAATAATAATAATTTGCTTTATTCCAAAACAGTACTTGTGATACAGAATGGAATTCTCAGCATTTTCACTACAGTATCCATTTAGTACATTTTCAATAAATAAAATTCTACATAGATTAAGGAAATCTCAGTTCATTATGACAACAACATATTGGCATGTCGGTAGCAAAGCCAAAGTTGAACAATGTTTGAAAGGTGTTAGAAAAGTAGGTGCTATCATATTTGCTGGCGTAAGCGGAAGAAAGAAACAAAGCAACACATAACAGAAAAAGAGAGAGAGAAAAGGAAAAGAAAGAAAGAAAATGTTGTACCTATAAATGATATGAGTTGGAAAGATGAGGTCCAGTTGTTCTACTGACTATTTAATGAATTATAGGTGTCACGCCTAATGCTTTCTTTATCGCACAGAACACGAGCCAAGTACGGCATGGTTGAGTTTTTGTACTTGCTGGTGCGAGCATATAGTTTTCTATATAGGCTTCTGGTTTTGCCTGATTAGATGCAAGGGGGGAGAGTTGTGAGTGAAGAGGGTGTCTTACCAGTCAGGCTCTTGGCCTTTTATACAGACATTTACCGATTCTGGATGGGATGAATTAAAGTCTAAGCATTAATTAGACTACATTTGAGTGCATTGTATCCAATTGCATGTAGTCACACAATAGATTGGTTTGAACAGTGGGTAAAAGTATTAAAAAGAGTAATATAATTAGGTGAAGAGAGAGAGGTTAATCACTAAATCCCTCTTTAAAGATTCGGCAAGCACACGTGCCATGGAAGTGATTCACTGCCTATACCTCAAATATGTAAAGTGGCAACAAACAACAAGAGGAAGATATATACAAGACAGACTGTGAAGCCCCGTGACTAAATTGATATGATTATGAGTGGCAATAATTTATGCACGAAACCTTATCATCCAGTTACTAATACAGCATCACTGTGTGATATTTGAAATAAACTTATCTAACATGGAATTACATCCTACCACAGTGCCCAAGTTTTACACTTACATTAAAAATAAGTGTATGTTTTCTTGATAATACTTATGACAACATTTTGGTCTTCTTTTCGATATAGGTTGCAAGAAAAGATGGAACAACTTGTGGTCTATATCCTAGTGTGAACACTTGTATGCATTACTTGAAATTACCAGAGTATAATACAGAACAGGAGTTAAAGCAGCATCTTTTAGCTGCTGCCTGTCAAAAAGGTTTTTATTTAAATTGATTTCAAAATAGAAACAAAAACAAAATAAACTTCTGTGGCAGTCAGGTGATTGACTGAATGAAGGGAAATTTCTCCGTGATCTATCATTCATACGCTTACTAAGAAGCTTTTAGAAAATAAATGCATTATTTTCTAATATTCTCGCATTTTTTTCTTGATTATCCTTGTGAATTCACTGTAAAAGTCTGATAAATTTGTAGGTAGGGATCGAAAATGGTTTCAGCATAACATCATGCATTATCATTAAACTTGAATGACGCGCGGGTAAAAAAACATTTATATAGTTACGAATACATTTTGAAAACGATGACATTCATCTATCATCTTAGGGATGATTGTTAAGCAGGTTAAAACATTTTCATTGCAAAACGTTACTTTATAAGTAGGATTCACAGTTTGCAAATGAATTCAAAATCTGCAATTTATGCTGTTGGAGTTAGTGAAGCTTCACCATTTTTTTCTGTGGAAAACAAGGTTAGTCAGATCACAGGATATGCTCCTGCTTGAAACCATAAATGATAATCAAGGGGCCAGGCGAAAACCCATAAAACTGTATATATCACTGATCAGTTGAGATGACGAACTGATGAGCTCCACCTCAAACGAGCAAAATAACCGTCCGCTATTTATTTGGTTCCATGCAAATATGCTTGTTTCCCTGATTAGTATTTATGGTATCAGGCAAATCCCATATTGTGGTGATTTGAATAGTTTTGGTTTCCAAAGGAAACGTCTCTTCAAACTCTGTGCACTTCTGGTTCACCCAGATAGCTAGCCCGAAAACTAGGGGTTTGAAGTAATTTGGCTCTCTGAGCCGAGTCAAACCAAGTACTTCGCTGATAAGCTTGACCTGAAACGAGAGGAATGACCGTTTGGTGTTTAGATCTCTTATATCTGGTTAGCGAGCACATCTGGTTGGTGCGAGAGATACACAACTACTCATCTCAACTAACCAGTAGTATATCGTTTTAAGCATTACATTTTATTTATGAAGGGAGATCGAACATAAGATGACTTTGAATCTGTTCGCTGAACTGATCTAATCCTTTTAAAATCCGATAACTTAGATATGAATACAGGAAATTAGATGCTGTCGTTTCACAGAGGACACTTTGAAAACTACAATAACTATTTAACTTTCTTAAATTAGCCGTCTGATTCAAACGAATAATTACGACAAAAAGAAGTAATATCCAAATTCATGATTTATTAAAATTAACTATCCTAATAAGATCATTATTAAATGGGATTCTCTGTGAACAAGTGATGACTGATTATTGGTGAACAAACGGGGTACTAGAAGGGAAGAAAGTAATCTGAAAACAAACGTTTCAGTACATGTGCAACTCTGTATGACAAGAGATATAGCAATGAGAATAAAGGAAGTTATTGATAAGGCTACAGCGAAGTTGAAGTTTGGATACACTTACATCTCTGCTGTAAATTTTGTTTATCACATGGATTCAAGACATGCAATTTACGGCTGCCTACACCACATAAGTTGATTACTTCTAAACATAAATCTACAAATATGAACGGTCAGTTTCGTCTGCAAACAAACCCACGAAATTATTATATCATTCTAGCCATATATATCCTGTTGAAGTTTTTACTCTTTCCCATCGTTTAAACCGACGAATCTAATTAAAAATAAAATAAATCAACTGAAAGATCCCATAAAAATGATGGATAAAAACAACGTGATTTATAAAATATCTTGTGCCGAGTGTCCGACTAAATATGTGGGTCAAAAGTCCAGATCACTCAAATAAGAGTGAATGAACATAAACGCCTCACTAAAGGTCAACCAACAGGGACACGAGCTTACAAGAATTTAGAAATAAACTTCATCTTTATAGCTGCACATATAGCATGGGACAAAAACCACAATATCGATTGGAACAATGCTTGTATTATAAACAATGATTTGAAAAAATGGAAAGAGAGACTGCTAATAAACTTGAACAAAGCAAGAACAACAATTGCACCAGGATAATATGAGCTCATCATTTATTATTTCGATGATTCTTCTCAACCTGAACGATAAAAAATATGAATTACATCACATTAAAGATTTGAACATACTTTTCCACGATCACAAGGAGTAATTGGTAGGAAGTAAAAGTAACATTAGTCCGGAATGATTTAACTAATTAAGAGTTACAAGCACTGACTATTTATAGAATAATTAGACAATTAGGCTTTGAAACAAAAACAAAGTTGCATAAATGTATATATATATATATATATATATATATAGAAACAAGGTTTAGTTGGAAAGAGCACAAGAAAAGGTAGATTACGTAACTAAAGAAAATGTTTTATCTAAAAGCCAATAGAAAAAAATGAAGAGCAAAGAACAAGATAGGCTGAGTCATGTTTAGAAGAGAGAGTAGAGTTTTCTAAACAAGAAAAAGGTGACTCATACAAGTTGTGTATTTTGTTATCACAAGGGCAGTGCAAGATTCACCACTGTCTCTTTCTGCGTACATGGATTTGGTTTAAGTCGTTTGATAGCAATTGCTTCAGCAAAGCGTAGCAAGCTAGGTTTCTTTTGCTTGTTGATTATTTTGAATGACTCCAAGTTGTCTACATTATGACCAGTGTCTAATAGAAACTTTTGAAGTTAAGACAAACCGCCCTCCAGGTCTCTTTTCTGTGTATATATCTTATGATTTTGCCGTCTGTATCTAGTTGGATACCCAGGTTAATAAAATGGAACTTCTCCCCTTTTCATGCTCCATTGTAAACTTAATATTAGGATGGGCGCTGTTCAAGACTTTTGGTACTTGAGATGCATCATCAAAAGAATTACAAATAACGACGACACCTTTGTTATCCAACTAGATACAGACGGCAAAATCATAAGATATATACACAGAAAAGAGACCTGGAGGGCGGTTTGTCTTAACTTCAAAAGTTTCTATTAGACACTGGTCATAATGTAGACAACTTGGAGTCATTCAAAATAATCAACAAGCAAAAGAAACCTAGCTTGCTACGCTTTGCTGAAGCAATTGCTATCAAACGACTTAAACCAAATCCATGTACGCAGAAAGAGACAGTGGTGAATCTTGCACTGCCCTTGTGATAACAAAATACACAACTTGTATGAGTCACCTTTTTCTTGTTTAGAAAACTCTACTCTCTCTTCTAAACATGACTCAGCCTATCTTGTTCTTTGCTCTTCATTTTTTTCTATTGGCTTTTAGATAAAACATTTTCTTTAGTTACGTAATCTACCTTTTCTTGTGCTCTTTCCAACTAAACCTTGTTTCTATATATATATATATATATATATATATATACATTTATGCAACTTTGTTTTTGTTTCAAAGCCTAATTGTCTAATTATTCTATAAATAGTCAGTGCTTGTAACTCTTAATTAGTTAAATCATTCCGGACTAATGTTACTTTTACTTCCTACCAATTACTCCTTGTGATCGTGGAAAAGTATGTTCAAATCTTTAATGTGATGTAATTCATATTTTTTATCGTTCAGGTTGAGAAGAATCATCGAAATAATAAATGATGAGCTCATATTATCCTGGTGCAATTGTTGTTCTTGTTTTGTTCAAATTTATTAATGGGAAGACTGCTAATAATTGAATCTATATTAATTAAGGTCATAATGGATACATGTAACAAGGGTACAACTGTCAACAACTTGGAATATAATTCTGAATACAAAAAAATGAACTGTATGTATGAATACAAATCATAAATGTGTGGATTAAAAAACAAAATGATTCCAACAGTTGATTTGGTCACGGGCAGTAATTTTGCTTGAAATATTACCAATAACAAAACTTATCATTGTGTATAAACCATTGAAATATAATTATACTGTATTTGATCTATGCTGTATTTGATCTATTCCACAGTGCTCAAACTTTTTACTGACATTATTGTTATAACTCTTTGTATGTGTTTCTAGTGAAACAAAGGGTTTCTGAGCATTTCACTTTCGAATGCCCAAATTATCACTTCCTAATCAGGTTTCATTCAAGGGCTGGCGTTGCATGTCATTTCACTCAACATTCTCTTCAGTGTTTGCCTAACCTATCTCTGTTTCTTTCTGAATATTTGTTGACTAACAGGTTCTTGGCTGATTCTTCTCTTTGGAGTCTGAGTTTAAATTCGCAATACTACAGAGCTAATTACTTCTAAAACGCTCTAACGTTTTTACGTATTAATTAAAGTTGAAATAATAGCCTGGATCGTGGCGAAATTGATATCAGTGTTAGTATTCCAAAAAGGTGTGCGAGATCCATTTCCGATCATAACCCATAATATAGGTAGCACTGTGTGGATCTAATACTATTCCAATTAAGTATACGAATAGTTTACATTTAATACTTGTAATTTACATTTACAGAGTGACGTTCTATTTGTATAATTTATCAATGTTACATTCTGGATTGTCTGACATAATACCATCTTTAGATTATAGGTATTGTAGAGATTTGAATTAGTGTCAAATTAGATTTCATCGCAAACCAACATAATTTAGAGAACCGTCCAAAACCAGGGAGTACTGGGCAGCTGTTTCATCCTAGTTTGGGACTCTTTATCCGTGCAAAACCCGGGGTGTACCAGAAGTCGAACCTGTGACTTTCAGGTTATAAGATCAAGTTTGCTGACTATTCAACCACTAAGGTCGGAATTTAATGATCCGTGGATTCGAAATTTTTTCATTCCATAATATGGCAATACTGTCAACCGATGCCATCGATGGACGTCCTTTTTACTTGACACAGTGATTCTTACTAGCAGCGAATCCTCCAGTGCATCCTTCTGGTAGCCTCAAATGAGCTGGAGATTGATAGTTTGGGAACTGTTTTCATAATGACATGGGTTAATTTCAGCGTGAAGCTCGTCACGAAATAAAGTCGTTTAGAGAATCGTTAAGAGCAATTTTCTCAGTGTATACATTTCGCGTACAAGTGATGTATTTTTGATGAATAATAACTGTTTTTATAGTTTCAAGCTAACCGCTTTCTTTTGATATTCTCTCAGCTCAATGAACAAGATGATAAATTAAACAAAAACGCTTGTGGTTAGTATTATTATTATCCCCTTTGGTTCCACGTAGAATATTTCCTTTTCATTGTGTTCTATGCAGTCTGCTTTAGCTGGTTTCATGACTGCCAATAAGCTTTGATTTCTTCCTCACACGATCTTCTCCGTGTTACCTATGAAGTGATAGCCAAATCATCCTTTCGCATTCGGGTTCACTCGAGAGCCTGACGCTCGAAAAGTTTAATATTTAGTCTCGTCTTTAATTATTCCTCATTCTTAACCAGTGGGCCGAATGAATGCGTATTTATTATTATTACAATTTAGAACTGCAATATACGTTTCAGTTGCGTTAATTATTTTAGGCTGGCGACTTTTCTGCACAGGTTACTGCTAATCTCATTAACTACAAATATATCTGCTAATCAACTCTCCAACGAGTAGAATAACTTATGTAATAGTTAACATAATAACTAGATTCAAATTGAAAAATCAATAATGTATATTTCACAGTAGATAGACATTCATTCATGACAAATAAATAAAACGTTCATGATTCTTTTATAACCTTATTATACATCAAAATGATGATAAAATTATTTATTTCATAAAAAATCTGGTTTTACTAACACAGAAGAATAGAAAAAGAATCAGAAAGGAGAAATGGATGATAAAAAAGCCTTTTTCACAATCCCACTTGGATCAAATAATAGTGCAGATTCTACACCACCGCCATCACATACACCATGTTTAGGCGGTAAGCGTATGGCACAAACACTGTTGAATAAGCACGCAAATTTTATTCCCAGTTATGTTGGGATTAATTTCGACACGGTGAATAGACAATTTCCACCGATTGAATGTAATACAGGATGTAATGTTGGATGTAATCTGTCTAATCTAGAAGGGACTAAGTTAAATCCTACACATTGTGCTCAATTAAGTGTAGGCATTAATGAACAGGCTGTCAAGTTGAGATTACGTTCTGAAGTGCCTCATTTAACAAGGAAAGATATTACAAAGTAAGTTTTGAATAACTGAAATGAAGCTGTTGATTTTTGAGTATTTTATTCTTTTACTTTATGAGAGGAGGAGTTTTGAAGTTGCAGTAGCAGTGGTGTTTTTATTTTATGGAGTGAGATTGTAGGCCTCTTTCCCAAACTTTCACTATTGCTGGGCATACCAATGGTTAAGCGACTTACAACAGTGGTGAACTCGACTTCAAACGAATGAAATGGTAGTCCACTGTTTGTTTTCATGCACCGTAATTTCATCTTCTTTCTACGCAAAAAGAAACGACTAGGTATATAATTACATCTAATATGAATAGGCCTTCGATAGAGGTGACTGTGAAAAAACTTGGAAACTGCCACAACAAAACCGGTCGTCCTATAGCTTTATCAACCTCATTCAACGGTTATATGAAAATCCCATATGTCAGATAATTCGCAAGGTAATTCTAAAAGATCTTTGAAATTAAGACAGGATTATGACAAATCTACCTTCTACAATCATCGTTGACATTCCTGGTTGTGGTCGACTAAAGCATGCAACAGACCGTAGGGTGTGAGAAGACAGAAATATGCCGGAGGAACAAGAAGTTTGTAGATGATTTGAACTTCAGGACGACCACTGTCTAGTGTCATACAACCTCGAAGATATACAAGTGGAAACCAACAAGTTGGCATTAGAAGAACCAAACATGGGACTTCAGCTGAACATTGCAGAAGATACAGGCGATGAAGATACTCTGCCTCTGTCAACAACAAATACCAATCACATTCAATGACAGAAATCTAAAGGAAGTCATCTCTTCCATTTATCTAGGGGAGTCGTTGCAACTACAGGCTGCACGGATTAAGATGTTAAAGCCAGCCAGGATCAAAAGAGCAGGACAGACCTCTATGAAGCTGAAGTCAGTGTGCGAAATCTTCTGCACTTACTGCAAGCAGCCACAGGCTGCAGACATTTTATCACCAGGTGTCTTCAGAAAGGATTAACAGCAAGAAATTTTAAGTGGAAACCAACAAAGAACCTTCCACCCAACAAATATGTCGAGGGGAATGGAGATGGGTCAGACGTAAGACGCACTGGATGTCTAAAGGTGACACAGAAGAGAATCTGTAAGAAGGAGAAGGCAGCTTACGAGCATTTGGAGATTCAACCAAAGAGGACTGCAGAGAACAAGTTGAAATGAAGATATTTTGTTAAAGCTCTGTATTCCATTAAGAATCTAAGGGAATAATAATAATAGCTTGCCTAATGCTGTGATAGACAAATGAAGATAGATATTTCATAAACGTTCATCACTTCAAATTTCTAGCTGATAAAGGTCACACAAACTAGCAAAATAAAAACATAATAATTCTTTAATAGACATTCTTAGATGCGATAAACAGAATAACTGTCTTAAGATATTTTACGGGTTGATCACGGATTGATATCTGTTAGAGAACCATTGAAAACCAGGGAATACTGGACAGCTGCTGTTTCATCCTAGTTTAGGAATCATCGGTAGTGCGTACCCACTGCCAGGTTTCTAACCCAGGACCTACCAGTTACAAGGTAAGCTCGTATAACATTCGGCCAGTGGGACCCGATTCAATGGCCAACTCATGAATTCTAACTTCTACCAATTCGTAATTTTGCGCGAAAACAAACTCGTAAAAATAAATCTATTACTTAAAAACCAACTATTGAAAATTAATCCTATACTCACTGGTGATTTGCTACAGGATGGAGTTTCCTGGAGTTCTAGTGAGAAATCGTGTCCAGTTAGGTTCATCCAGTCAAGTGTGATGATGGATGTGCCACTGATGACATTGGTTGGTGGTTGTGCTAAATCACGAATTGGTAGGAGTTAGAATCCATGGGCTGTCCATTGAATCGTGTCCCGGTAGCTGAATTGTATACGAGCTTGCCTTGTTACCGAAAGTTCCTAGGTTCGAACCCTGGTGGTGGATGCGTACTGCCGATGGTCCTCAAACTAGGATGAAGCAGTTATCCAGTACTCTAGTGCTATATTCCAACGGTACCTGATATCAATCAATGATCAACTCGTAGAAATATAATATTACAAAATATATTAAGATATCTTAAGCTTTTACAATTCTGGAAGATGGTTAGAAATTAAGAATCTTTAACCGATTACTCCTATCAAACAATATTCACCTCCGAAAATGACAAATTAGAAGTTAATAATTTTAAAGAACTTTGCAGTCCTTTCATTTGACCTCTACAAACATTTCCTTGTCCTAATTCTACTTGGCATTATATTGTTGGTTACCCGATATACTTAACAAAAAATTAGTTATTTCTCTTGCATACCTAATGGTCAGTAAAAGTCCTATTATATGATTGTACATCGAATTAAAACCTAACAAGTTAACATTCAACACTACTGGTTGATATGAGCAGTATGCAACTGCTCATGAGTTCCTTCACGGTCGTAGATACACCTTGCTGACTGGCGAGTGCCAACTAGCCCATAACCCAGGTCAGGCGTTGCTTCCTGCCGATCGCCTCCAACCATCTAATATTGAACAGATTTGTTTGTTTCAGTCCTAATCTGTGATGTGTGCTTTTTTTTCTGATTCGCAACTTCATTGGAAAAATTCTCAAAGACTTATTGAAGTCTCTTCAATAATTGGTGGACTTTGACTAGCAGCGGAATCTAGGATGCGCATTTCGCCCTATTTAGGACTCGTCACTGGGTATATCTGCATTCCGCAGTGAGTGATGATGTTCCTACCGAGGCTCGAACCAAGTGCCCATAGTTTCTTATGCCAAAGAATTATTCACTAGACCTTTTGGGCCACGAAATGTGCATCCTGGATTACACTCCTAGTCACTATCCACCAATTAACTTCTAATTATAAGCCCAGATATCGTTGAAGCATCTGCACAAGGAAACGACATGTCAACCTGAAACCTAGCGCTTCTGTCCAATGTATTGACGGGAAAGTCTAAAGTTGAATTAAATCTGTTCAATAAGTTTAGTTTGATAGTAAAGTGATGTGCGTGATTTAAAAACGCGCTTAGAATAGAATTTCTTAGGATGTTCACAACCTAATTCAAGCTTATTTGACTAAAGAATTTTGAATACTGAACAGTCTCTTCTAGAGGTTAGTTCGTAAAAACAAATTTTTTAAATATTAATTCATGTAAAAGAAGAGGCATTTATTGAAGAGTTGCTTCTTCACTTGTGTCATTCTCAGGCTGTACAGTCGAACATATATATATATATAATACATTTGCATAGCAACAAAAGGAATATTTTCAAATATCTGACATAAAAATTTGAAGTTTCCTATAACATTCACGTAAAACAAGGAAATATTAATCCAACAGAAACTAAAATAAAGATAAGTAGGTAAACTGAACGACTCAACATGATTGACAATGTTGAATAGAGCCCAACTAGAAGTGAAAGTGACTCAATCCTGCCTATGATGTTGTGTCATTCAACTCACTTATATGATGAAACAATTTCGAAAACATTCCTTTTGTTGCTATAGGGAATGTGGCATGCGCACGCAATAGTACAGCCCCAGAACGATATCACTGAAAGTCTCTTCTTCTATGTAACATAATGGGGATTTTTAGACTCTATTGTTATTAATTGTAAATTATCGAAAAGCTTTCTTTTTCTCGGAGTTTTAGTCTACTAGCTACAATAACTGAAGTCTTCCTACGATAAATGAAATTTTCAAGTATTGGTTTGTAGACATCTTCTTTGATTGGTTGAAGGATTTCTTCATGAGCTGACATCGGTTAGAGAACTGCTGGAAAACTAATAGGGAGTATTGGACAGCCATCTGTTTCGTACCATTCTTCGACTCTTCATCAGTGCACGCTCACCACAGGACCTTCGGGCTAGGAGGCTAGCTCGTGGACCCTAAAGCCACTGAGACAGAGTCCAATGGCCCATGAATTCTAACTTCTGCCAATTCACGACATGGCACGACCACTTAGAAATATCTTCTATGAGTAACTGTCCATTGGATCTATTGGGCGATTGAATCGGGTCCCAGTGGCTTAGTGGTTTACGAGCTCGCCTTGTAACCAGAAGGTCCTGGGTTCTAACCCCTGCGGCTGGTGTGTGCTGATAAAGAGTCCCAAACTAGGCTGATGAAACAGCTCTCTGGTACACCCTGCAGGTTTTACAATGTTTCTCTAACCGATATCAGCTCATGATGAAATCCTCCAACCAATAAATGAAATTCACAATTTGTAATTTACTCAGTTGGAGTGATGAAATTTCGTTGTAGCTTCTTTTGGAAACCAAGATTATTCAGATCACCACAGAATATATGATCTGCTTCATACTAGAAATAGTAACCATAAGCATAAAACTATATAATACTGGTTTATCGGGATAAGTTGTTGCATGCTGCACATCTCAATTAATCATCAGTGCATATTTCTTTCTAAGATATTTTTTCATGTGTTTACACTGACCAACGTTCATCTGGATATTTGATGCTGATCATTTAAATATACTTTGTATGCAAGTTTAACAATAACTGCCACTAAACCCGAATGGATGGGCACTTGTGGATGAAACTTCTAAGGGATTTTGGTTATTTAACATTATTTATGTAATTAGTCCATTGATAGAAAGCAAGTTGTAATCAGCATGAATCAGCTTTTGTGCTGTTAAATGGAATGGTTTTATAGTAAATTTTAAAAATATAAACGTTTTAAACGATTTTGGACTTAATTTGTTACAAAAATCATTCAGGATCTTGATATCATCAGTTCTTCACAAGTAGATTTGATCCTGAGCTGATAAAAGTCAGAGAAGCATAGGAAAAACAGTGGGTACCGGACAGTTGTTCAGTCCTAGTTTAGGATTCATCAACAGTATGTAGGATCTTCCATTTATATGAACAGCTTGTAAACCATTTAGCAACCAGGACTCTTAAATAATGGTCCATGAATCACAACTTCTACCAATTTGCCATGTATATAGCACGTTTGCTAGCTAGCGTCATCAGCGAGTTCTCCTATCTGAGTTGATGAAGGCCGCTGGTTACTACGTCACAACAGAACTACAGGTGACCTGCTGTTTAAACCCAGTCGCTATTGGGTATCAGAACAATTTTCAAGTGTTGGTTGTCAGGGAATCGACTGGTTACTGATTCAATACTCCCTGGTTTTCTAATGGCTCTTTAACTGATGTTGGCTCATGACCAAACCTGAAACCAATCAAATCCCTGCAAACCGACATTTGATCATAACAAATAGCAGAACTGAATAGAAACTGAAAACTTCAAGTGATTGCTTCCTATTTTTAAAGGGGTAAAACCAGTAAAATTTGTAGAAATGATGGTTTCTGATGATGCTGATTATTTGATGACATTAGATGGTTGGAGGCGATCGGCAGCAAGCAACGCCTGACCTACGTGTCATGCTAGTTAGCACTCACCAGTCAGCAAGATGTATCTGCAAACTTGAAGGAATTTATGTCCCTCCTGAGATTCGAACCCACGTCACCCACTGGGGCTGCAATCAGCGACGTAACCACTAAGCTATTCAGGTGATGACACAGGTCGAATTGCAGACGGGAAAAAAGTTCCTTCAGGGGTGCAAATACGCCTTACTGACTGGTGAGTGTCAGCTAACACGAAACCTAGGTCAAAGGCCTCTTGCTGATTGACTCCAACGATCTAATATCATCAAATCAATTGTGCTGTAGTCGCTGTGGTCTAGTGGTTAGGACATTGCGTTGTGGCCGCACTAACCCAAATACGAATCCTGGTAGCGACATACCAGCTTATTCTTCTATACGGATCAGAAACTTGGCGGGTCACAGAGAATATTTCCAACAGCCTGTTGCAGACCTTTATCAACAACTGTCCTCACTCTATACTGAAGATCAGACGGCCGGAAAGAATCACCAACGAGAAACTATGGGAACAAACAAAACGAGAACCAATTGCTCAACAAATATGCAGGAGAAAGTGGAGATGGATTGGACACTCACTGAGGAGGCCGCTGGGTGACATCGTGCGTCAGCCCAGTACTCGAGTGGAACCCGAAAGGGAAGCGGCGAGTGGGACATCGAAGGATGACATGGAGGAGATCGTGTGAAGAAGAGTTGAAACAGTCTGGACTAACATGGATGCAGGTGAAAAGTACGGCAGAAGGCAGAAGCAAGTGAAGACGTGTAGTTGAAGCCCTATGTTCCACTAGGAACCCAAGGGAACAATAATAATGCAATAAATGTGCACCATGATAGCGAGCTACCTAGAATGGTGGCCACATTGCAGACCTGACTGATAATAGAATTCAGTCTGCACCAAATAAAGGACTAGATACATCACACCAGTTATTAGTGTCCAATCAAAATGTTGATTATTGCCTAAACTGGAGTGAGATCACTGTTTCACTTCAAGATGCTTGATACGATGGATTTAAACTGTGCTCTGCTTAAAACTATAGAGACAGGATGAAACAGCTGCTTTTGTTTTGCTTCATGTTGTTTTGATTATTTGAACTATAAAAAAAGTTACTACAGAACACTTTTTTTGATCTCCTCTAATGTTTAGATTACGACTACCATTTTATGAAATACTTTGTTATGAACTACTCCAACATGGATATCATTATGCCTTTACTGAATTATTCAATCTGTATCAACGTCAAATTGAAGAAAGACAAAAAGCTGGTCCTGAATCTACTTTATGGTTTATTCCACCGTTATCTGAACAACCGGAAAAGTTACGTTTAATAGCTGAATACTTAGTTATTGGAGAAGCTGCATCAAGGCGTGTAGATGATTATACAGAATGTAATGCTTATATGATGTTAGGCTTAGCACTACGTGATAATCCTGATGATTTATGGGTTGCAGAATACTTCTTACGACATGCACTGTCTGTAGCTGAAAGGATACATAATGATGATGGTTTGAAGTTGGCAAAAGCTAATCAATATTATGGTTTGATATTGCAAAGTCAGGGTAAGTAGTATCTCGGTTTTTTATTCAGATACAGGAATTAGTAACTTCTGTGAGTTTATCATGAGGCATGACTTTAAATTATAACTCATAGTTATAGATCGTCAGAAGATCAACTACTTGTCTAATACTCAACAGCAAGATATGTGGAGAATTTAAAAGGAAAATATAGTATTGCTGATCGTTCAGAAAATGAATGGTATAGCTAAATTAGTATTATTGCATTCCGAATAGAATATAAGGCTTTAGGCTTGAACTTTGAGGCTTCGAAAGCAGTGATTTTTGTTTACAAGGTGGGATTATTAGCCTCATGCCCAAAGCTACCTCTCTTTTTGGCTAAAATCCAGCTAGGAGAGGTAAAGGTGTGAGCCAGCCAGGAATCCAACCACAGACCACGTGCATAGTTAGCGAGAATCCTGCCGCTGAACCACTGACGCACTGCATCCAAATTAGGCGAAGTCATGATAGAATTCACGAATATAATAGTTAATGTATTTAGACATTTCAACGCTTTCTCATTGTTTAGAATATTCTACTTCTAGTTAACGAACTTGAAATATGTTGTGATATATTTTAAATTAAACAGAATATAATTATTTAAAATATCTTATGTCCAGTTAACTTCTAATGCGATCATGCTATCCTGATTAGGCAGCATAGTAGCTTTTCTGGGGAGTCATCACTTAATAGCTGACGGAATGTGTACTTCTCCTACCTTTGGACCAGTTAACCAAATGTACTGGTATCTTGGTGTATCGGTTCTTCCAGTGTGATAAGCAGTTCTGAACACCGTGGTGTTACCTGCCAGGCAGTCTGATTAAGACAGCCACATTTTGTTGTTGGAATTCCGAAATTCTTTCTACTCTGGATAAGAGAAAATTGTCGATCGATCGCTTTTTATTGGGGAATTTAATGGATTACCTTCTTTGAAGCTTTATTTTGTATTCCTTGCTTATTGATAATGCTGGACGTAAATACTAGATTTCTGTTGATAGAGACCGATACTTATGGCACAAGAGGTGATTCTCATGGCCCATGTGGAGTAGTGGATAGTGCTTTGGGGTTCAAAACGACAGGCATATGGTCCTAGTCTCAGAGAGAACACTATCACTAACAAGGAATGCAGGTGAAAACGGCCGATGATCCCGGAGGAGGACGAACTATCCATTTTGAATTACACTGTTAGGCCTCACCACCAACCAACACATCGGATAGGATAAAAGGAGAATTCTGAAATCGAATTTTACCCGTTGTCGGATTAATTACGACGATCATAATTTAAGCAGTATTGAGACATTTGAATAGAAAAAAGCCTCACTTTTTCGGAACTTGGAAGATCATTTAGTTTATGTTGATGAAGAATGGAGAAAAATCAAACGAGCCACTAGTAACACCATATATATCATAAAACGTAATTATTTCCCTGGTAAAATTCAGCTTGAAATAAGGCTATACTGCTATAACCTAAAATGCATTGTATGGTAAAGACAGTTACATTAGTGCACCTTTCAATTGTGATTAGAAGCGTTTCACTCCCAATTTTGAATGAAAGTAATTGGTCTTTGTATATGAAATATATTAAACACGTAAATTTTTATTGTGCCTTATCCCTTCTGGCCCATCAGACCTTCAGTGTAAAGCTATCGAAGGCAGCTGCTGGTAAAAGTTTGCAGTCAGCCGTTGGAAATGCTTTTCAAGATAATTCAAGTCTCTGAACCATATAAAAGCATTGTTTTACATTAGTGTTGAAAATTGGAAGTTTATACTTTATACTGATTACACGAGATTTCCACATTGATTTCAGAGTGCTGAAGATCTGTCTCACTTTCCCATCCTGTCTTTGACATCTTCATCCGTGTCGCCAGTAGTTGAGACGATGCTGCCAAAATAAGTGAAAGAAGTATCTTCTTTAAAATTTCTTCTCTTAGTAATGACTGGCGCTAATTGTTGTTGGAATCAGTTACTATGTATCTTTATCTGCTTTGTCTTCTATGTGTTCACTTTAAGCCCTGCCATCGTTGCCAGTCTTTATGTCAACTCTTCGACCTTCCCCTGTAAATCTTCGAGTTTTCAGGAGATTAGACATAAATTGTCCATTTAGTTCAAATCTTCTAGAGTCTCCTTATCACTCCAGCATATTCCTGTCTTCTCGCACTTCATAATCTGTCGCATGATTCACTCGACCACAATCAAGCATATCATCAGTGATATTAGGAGCCAGTCTTGTCTCATTCCTGTCTTTACTTCACAAGCCTCTTTGAGTTCTCTGCTTTGGATCGCTTAACATATGGGATTGTGTATTGCAGTTACGGTAGTGCTACTTTTAATTGTGATGAGTAGCGTTTCATTCTCACTTTTGAATGAAAGTCACTGGTTTTTGTATGTAAGATATATCAAACACGTAAATTTTTATTGTGCCTTAATGTAACTGTCTAGATAGCATGCGCTTAAACAGTAAGTCAAGTAGACAATGGAAGAATTATGTTTAGAAATGTAATATTCATCTACAAAACATTGAAGCGGCTTTAGCTAATAAGTAGAAGGTCGATTGAGTCCAATATGAGCGATTCAAAACAGATGACTGTTAGATTCTATAAATTTGATTTCACTGAAATCAAATTCACCAACTGATGTCTTGTCTCTTTAACTCATCATGGAGAAACTTAGTCTGGAAACAAAATTTGATCTGATGAAACACTTCTACTGATTCATGTCGTATTTTATACAAGTATGGAAGTCAATTTAGAATTCGGAAATGGTGCTTCAAAATTTATTACTTAGTTGATAAATTTTGCATCAGAATAAGCCACTTTGAAACTTTTCATGGTAGAGGATTACTTCAAGCTGTCATCCTTCAAAAAGGCACGAATTTCATATCTTGCAGCGTATGCCAAGAATGAAATTGCTCCCAGTTCACCAGATTAATAGGTATTCTAATAATATGAAAAGTAAAAATAGTGTAGTTTGAATAGTTACGCCTCTTGATATTGAGCTAGATTTACACCTGCATAACAAATTGGCTATTGACTGACTGAATAAGTCAGAAAATTGCAAAATTATTTGGTTCCTATATTATATTATCATCATTATTCCCATGGATTGCGAGTGGAGAATACGGCTTCAGCAGGGTATCTTCATTTCAACATGTTTTCTGTAGTCTTCTCCAGCCGTTCCGTTGATTTTCCGTAAGCCCCAATCTCCTCTTTGTACAATCTGTCCTATGTCACACTTGGACCCACTCCCAACTCGTCACTTCTCATTCGAGTTTCGCACCAAAGCCTGTGGTGCGACGTCACTCAATGGTATTCTCAATGTCTGTCCGACCTATCTTCATTCTCTTCTACTTATCCTTTCTGGCCAATCTGACCTTCAGTATGTAGCCACCGAAGGCAAAAGTCTGCAGTCAGCTGTTGGAAATGCTTTTCATGATAATTCAACTCTCTGAACCATATAAAAGCATTGTTTTACATTTGTGTTGAAAATTGGAAGTTTATACTTTATACTGATTACAAGAGATTTCCACATTGATTTCAGCTTTGCCTTCTATGTGTTCTCTTGAAACCCTGTCGTCGCTACCAGCCTCTTCTGCCAACTTGTCGGTCTTCCCCTGTATATCTTCGAGTTTTCAGGAGATTAGGCACAAATTGTCGAGTTAGTTCAAATCTTTTAGGGTTTTCTTATCAGTCCAGCGTATTTCTGTCTTCCTGCACTTCACGATCTGTCGCGTGATCCACTCGACCACGGTCAAGAATATCATCAGTAATATTAAGAGTCAGTCTTGTCTCACTTCTGTCTTTACTTCAAAGGCCTCGTTGAGTTTTCACTTGTGGATCACTTGACATCTGGGATTGTCATATATCTGTTGAATGAAGTTGATAACTATTTGGGGCAGTCCACTGCTTAGTGTTGAATCGCTACACGATCAACGCTTTTGAAGGTCTTTTCAAAGTCTCTACAACTAAAGTAAAGATTTGCTTGCCTCTGTATGCTCTACACTCTGTTCGATGATGCTGTGTAGAATTGTAATTAGTTCCTTTATTCATTCTTAACTTCGAACTAATTCAAAACAGTTAAATTTATTATCCTTTTCTGTCTTTTTTGTCTCATAATATTAAACTATTTTATTTTCCAGGTGAATATGCTAAAGCTTTGAATTGTTTTCAACAATTCTATAATTTAACAATGAATAAACAATGGACAGATGATAATGGTGAATTACTCAAAAAATTAGCCACTAACTATTTAGTTCAAAATTATCATCATTTAATTGATAATTGTGATCCTGCTTATTATTCTGATCGAGTGAATTATTGTAAAAGTGCTTTAGATGTGGCTATACAAAGTAAGTAGCATTTTTGTTTTACCACTTATTTGATTGACCACCATCATCTGTAGAGAGTACCACTCAGTATGAATACTATTTGTCATGAAATTCACTCGTTTGTTTGTTCTCATGTCAAGTGTACATTTAAAATTATATGACAGTAGTGATAGCAATATGCTCTCCTTGGTTTAACGATTATAATTCTTTATTGTCCTATGAGTTTAATTTGGAGGTGTACAAGAATACCCCCACACTAGAAGATGTGTGAAAAGATTTAACCACTAGCTTTCCATGGATTTGTGTTTAGTTGGTCTAAGAGCTTTATTTTCATCCAGAGTCCATTGGGTTCGAATCCCATCCCACTAACTTCAGCCTGGTTGACTAAATAGTATCATTATCTGTCACAGAATAAGTGTGGCTTATATGATAGTTCATCAGTGATCTGTTCTAAGCTAGTGAGATTGAGAAAAGCACTAACTTTGCGGGTCACCTGGTTGCTAAGCAACCAAAAGCAATTATCTTATACGAAATTTCCTTCTTCATTAGTAGTTCACACATACCCATGATGCAACCAATTAATAAGGACAATTATAAGGAATTCTGAGAGTCACTTGACGTGAAATGCTTACTGAATATTCACTGAGCTTCTTTTTTGAGGTTGCCTAGATAATTCCACCTAGTTTTGTTCTGGTAGTTAACCAAAAATCGCCTGACAGCGTTATGCAGGCAACTTTACCAAATAATAAAGTAATCAGGGTAGATACGTTAATGCTACTGATGGTAATCACCAGTAAAACAACAGAAGACAAGGGCCAGGCAACAGATCGTTTATTAAGGAAATCAAAACATATTTATATATATTCATGTACATTATTATAGATTAGTTAAGCAAACAAACACCGTCTTCTGATTGGTTGTTTCTCACTCAGAGTTAATCTTTCATCTCTTTGTGACTGTTTCTTGAATGTCAGATCATCTATATGTTAAGTGTATCCACCTACGCAAAGTCTGCTGTGGTCAGTTTTGAATCAATCTTTGTTCATATTTTCTCACGACAAATCTTGAGAACGTAAACATTGACATAAATTACTGTGTACCAATTTGGCTAGTAGACAGCTCTCACCACATCTCAAACAAGCGTTAAAGTTAATAGCATGAAAAATACCCATGTGATATAAAATTAAAAAAGGATAGATGTCAGCAAATTGAATATTTAAGCAGCTTAAAAATCCACATTGATTCATATGAAGAAGAGAAGACTTTCAGCGAAGACACTCATTTCGGCGAATTCATTCACATAGCTATACAATCACATTTATATATTATTATTTGTGTGTGTTTGTAAATGAAGTTTTCCAAGTTTAGATAGTTGGTCAGGTAATACAAGAATGATCTAATATAGAAACAAGGTTAATCAGACAGCAACTTAGGTAGTACTGAGTTAGTAAGTTAGATGACGTAATAAAATTGACTAAAGTGCTTCAACTTGCGTCGGTGGCACAGCAGTAGAATGCTCGCCAACCACACATGTGGTTCGGGGTTCTATCCCCGGCCACTGATGCACTCTTTTACCTCGCTAAGTCAGTAATAAGACTGGTAAAGAGGGAAGATTGGGCATGAGGCTAGCAACCCCATCCTGTGAAAATGAACACCACTGATACAGAAACTTCTAGCCTCTAGGTTGAAGCCGCATGGTCCTCTGGGAAGGTAAAGGAATGAAAAAATGTTCCAACTTAGGTCAGGATAGCAACAGAGGTAGTCACAAGTAGAGACGAATATTCTTTTAGTAACCGCACACCAAAACAGTACAGTTAGCTAACATAGTGTTCTAAAAGGTAATGAAAATGCCTGTAAGGCTCACTGGTTGATTTCAGTTGGTATCTGAACTCATGAGAAATAACATATTAGGGAGATTATACAATAAATTACGTAACTTGGCTAAGTAACTGTAAGAAATTTAAAAGTGTCAAATGGTGAAAAACGTTCAGAAATAGCAAACACATGAAATTAGGGATATTGTTCATATGAGTTGAAGATTCAGATTATTTTACAAAATTAGTCATACGGAATTCAGGACTCCTTACATAATGCTGAAAACCTCCTTAGGTAAAGCTGTCAATAAGGCCACCATATTAGTCTCATTAGGGATGTCAAAAGCAGGATTGGAAAAGCAAGACAGAACTTCGATAATCTGAAATCAATGTCGAATTCTACCGTATTCACTCCGCATAAGCAACGAAATCGGGATGTTCAGCACTCATTTGAGTCAGTTTTTCAATATGCTTCGCGAAAAGCATTTCCAGCTGGCTGCAAACCTACATTAACAGTTGCTTTCTATGATTATTGAAGATCAGATAGCCGTCAGAAAAATATGCTTAAGAAAACGGAGATGGATCTGACCTACATTGAGCAGACCATTGAGTAACACCACACGCTTGCCCCTCAAATGCAACAATAATTGGAAACTACAAGTCGAACTTCTTAGGGTGACATGTAAGATATCGTGTAGGAAGAAGGATATGAAAGCTTTTGGGCAATCATGGAGCCAGTAAGACAGAATGCACAGAACGGGATGAAACGGAAATGTTCTGCTGAAGCTGAATGTTCCACTATCGCAGCTCTAGGGAAAAATAATAATTCTAATCCTCGTCAGTTAGTATATATGTATACTTTCAGACTGATATATTTTACAGTCGGCATAAAAAGCTACACACTTCATAATAAATTTTGTTATTTTATTTCATATTCATATTATTATTTCTTATTATTCCCTTGGGTTCCGTTGGGAACATAGGGCTTCGACAATGCATCTTCACTTTGTTCCATTTGCTGCTGTCCTCTTCAGATGGGTCCACGATTACCCATAATATCTCATCTCATCCTCGCCACACGATCTCTTCCATTTCACTCTCAAAGTGATGACCCACTTGTCATTTCCCATTGGGATTCCACTCTAGTAATGGCCTGCATTGCGCGCGATTTCGCTCGATGGCCTTCTCAGTGTATGTCCAATCCATCTCCATTTTCTCCTTTATATTTGTTGAGGAATCGGCTTTCGGTTGATTTGTTTCCAACCAGAGTTTCTTGCTGTTAACTCTTTCTGGCCGGCCGGCCATTTGATCTCGAGTATGCAGCCAGCAAAGTGGGCAGCTTTTGATAAAAGTCTCTAACTTGTCGGAAATGCTTTTCGTGACGAGAATGTAGTGTAACTTTTTGACTCGTATAGAAGAATGGACTGACTGACTCCACATCCGTGTTGAACAGAATCCGAATCTTATTGTTTACGCTGCTGAGGGACAGCAGAAGATTTGCAAACTGATTTCAGGTTGATGAAGACGTATCTTGCCTTTCCGATTCTGGCTAGCTTTCACGTCATTAACCATTCCACCTGTGGTATGGATAGTACGTCTCCTTATGTGCTTTAGTATCATAATTACTACCAGGAGAATATTAGGCTGTATAAGTTCACCTTATACGATTTAGGGAAAATGCATAAAAATGGTATAACACGACTGATTACGTAACTAAGTTTATAAGATAGGTGAAATGCATTTCATCACATCTACAAATGAATAATTATAGAAGTTTATTATGTTAAAATTATTCTACCTAAGATGCCGATTGTTGTTACAGGATTTATAATGAAAAGAAGTCATTTGAATTATAAAAAAACATTTCAGGAATTAAATAATTTACATTTTTAAAATATACTTAGTCATTTTACGTCTCAATGAATTTTAGAACAGTGTCAAAATATAGTACTTCCCTATTATTTAAAAGTAGAACACACATAACGCTGATACTTTCATAAAAAGATCTGTTTTGATAAGCCTTCATACACGTCTTTTGCATTATAATTATTCTAAATTGATGAGCCTAATGTTCCTGTATACTCTAAAGTTATAATTAATGTGTACATCCCTATTGTCTTCTGTAACTGGAACTAAATAATTCAGAGTACAACACTTTCAAATATCAGGCATGAATATGAGGAACTGAACTGTACTCATACTATAATGAACAAAAATGCGATAAACTAATAAAGAGTATGGAGGATTTCATCATGAGCTGATATCTGTTAGAGAACCACTGGAAAACATTCCGAAATGGTCGCGCTATGTCGTGAACTGGCAGAAGTTAGACTTCATGGATCATCGGATCAAGTCCCAGTGGCTCAATGGTCTACGAGCTCGCCCTGTAACTAGTAGGTACTGGGTTCAAACCCTGGTGGTGGATGCGTACTGCTGAAGAGTCCCAAACTAGGCCGACAAAACAGCTTTCCAGTACTCCCAGCTGGTTTTCCAGTCGTTCTCTAACTGATGTCAGCTCATGATAAAATCCTCCATGCAATCAAACAAAACCTCCACAAAACCAATACTTGAAAATTAATAAAGAGTAATTGAACTTTCTAGAAATTCCGAAAAAACAAAAGCTGAATATATTTTCAATCTTGTGATACATATTCAAGCTTTGTCTTAAGGAAGCTTTATCTATTGGGCTATTTTTATCATGGTTTAACTCTAACCAGGAGGTCTACGTCGTATGGACTTCTCATTCAGTGACATGAGTAGTGGGATAGCACTCTGATCAAACAGTAATGCTTCCTAGACTACATAGTCCGCTTTTCTCAAACCAGTGATCGCTAATTTTTGCATAAATCCATGTTTTCCAATACGCCCTGATTTAACACCGTTTATACAGAAAGATGGTGGTTTAGCACTTATGCTTGGAAACTTTTAGTTTTTTTCTATCTTCTAATTTTCTCATACATGTCTCACAGCTTTTGATGAAGAGAATGAATCTGTATGCAATATACAGACCAGATATCTCGTTGGAGAGGACTGAGTTTCGGCCAGCGACTAATTCACTAGCGTGGATGTAACTCACCAAATAAGAGATGTAGTCAGCACAAATTCGCTTACTATAATTGTTCTGTAATTAATTTGATTAATTTATATTACTTTATAAAAACAGTTACCTTTGAAATCTTTTGATGTGAATATATTAGGTAAAGATTGGTTACTTGAGGCAGAAACACGCCTCAAAATGGGTAAATTACAAGAAGATGCTAAACGTTATGATGATGCTATTCAGGTAGGTGAATTTTTAAGCGATAAATGCATTTTATTTACTGTATTTGTTTACAAAAAACTATACCATTCTATGTGTTTGTTGATTATGTGCAACAGTATTATCCCGTGTATATATTTATCAGCAAACTGTGATGATTTCTAGACCTTTGACTTATTTCTGAATATTGACATTCATACACTTGTACTCCCATGTAATTACTTCGATTTTTTAACCAGTGAACAAATTTCCAGTTCCTTGTAAGGTTTCATATAGTCTCCGAAGCTTTGTTTCTGAAAGTTTTAGAATAAAACATACTCAAGAAATCTCGTTTCTTAAGTGAGTCTGCTATTTCCACTCCGTCCCTTTTTATGGCTACGAGGCCTGACCATTGAGAGTGGAAGACATGAAACGGCCAGCTAGCAGTCTTTGAGCATAGGTGCCTGCGTTCCATCTTCACTGTTAAATGGTATAATAGGGTGAGCAATATTGAGGTTAGGCTTCGGTTGAGTGCTAGGTAAGGAGGGGAAATCAATCGACATGGCTGTGAAGCTACATCGATTGAGATGGTTAGGACATGTGTTACGCATGACTGGCCATCGCCTTCCTCGAAAACAGGCAATGTTAGCTGACATAGGGTCAGGTTGGGATAGAGCTAGCGGCGGTCAAACCAAAACATGGCACCAGTCAATGAAATCCACAACAGTTAGTTTAAGCCGCGTAGGTAGGTGTGAATTTCCTGGTTGGGGTCCTCGGGACAGCAAAAGGCAATGCCTGGAGACAATCAGTGATATGGCTTGAAATCGTTCTCAATAGTGCAGATGCATCCATTCCTTGTGACTGATAATACCCAATAAAACTTTATTGTTCTTTGTTATTACTATTCCTTTTGTCTCAAATCCTTGTCTAGTGTCTCTATTTTGCATTTCTTCTCTTGCTGTTTGCACTACATGGAGTGTGGCAACTCGAACTGTTGCACATCTGTGCAAAGTTCTATGTCCAAAACAGACAGATATTAGTCTGCTATTAATTTAGAATACACGAAAGACAAACCAATTTTGTCCCAACGGGGAGTTATTCTAACTACTTTCGACAAAGAATATACTGAACAAATGCAAGTTACATACAACCAATTCCGATTATTAGTTTGAGTAAAGAAAGAACGAACATGTTTCCAGGATAACGTGAACTCGTCTTATCTTGTGGATTCTTTGCAAACTGAGTGCATCCTAAACAGGATGAAAATATAAGTCATAAAATGTTCGAACATACTGTTTTCACAGTAACATCAAGTTATAAATAGAAAGTATAATAATTCTGAAATGATAAAAGTAAACGAATTATCAAGTGTTAAAAGAGTAACTACTTGTAGTATAATTAGACTAGAACGGTGTAGGGTTCAGATTTTGTTTAGGAACAAGGACAGAGTAGAGACAGAATAGAAAAGCGGAGAACAGAATTGATTCATACTGAATCCGATGCAGATTTCAAGAGGGTGGAAGTGAACAATAAAGTAAAATTATGGTATAGACAGACAGTTAAATTTGGAAATCTAATAGCGAGTTCAACTCATTAAGTGAAAGTCAAAATTAAGCGGAATGTTACGCCACAGAACAAACCAAAAGTATACGAAAACAATCACAGTTACCAGGGTAGTGAGAGATTAGTTACACTCTCTTTCTGTATACAGAGGTTTGATCGAAGTCTTTTGATGGCAGTGACGTCTGAGAATAGAAGTAACCAAGGTTTTCTTTGTGTATCGATTAGCTTGAAAGTCTTACTAATTTCCACTGTACGTCCCGTGTCTATACGATGTCAAGTAATTACACCTTAGAAGACTTTTTGCCTTTCATACAGAAACTTTTAGTGATATAGTCAGAAAATCTAACAGACACTATCCACTCAGTTCTTCCTGTGCACTTGCTGTCATAAGCGAATTGACAAACGAAGTTGTATTTGATATGAGAAGCATTCTTATCTACTTTCGACTGAGATAACGACCACACCGTTTTGTAAATGTTCGCTTCAAACCACCCTTGATTCTCTTTTGGTTCTTGAGGATATTTTTCCCCCTTATACGCTAGACAAATAAAAACTGGCTTCTTTTCAACTTTTGGGGATACCCATTCTCGACAAGGTTCTCTCTGATAACTGGGAGTTCCTGTTTATTCTTATCTTTTGAACATAACGCCGTAATTCTGTTGAATAGCATTTTTACGTGATTGGTCGAAAGCTGTGACAATTTAAACGCTGACCGATTCGAATTTCATCTCTATAGACGGGAGAAAAGTATTTTCAGAAATTTTTTAAATTATATTCTGATTTTGTTTAAGATGTATGCAGTTGAAAAGCACCCATGAAATAAAATGAGTTCATATTATTTTGAAATTATAATCGTTATTTTTTGTTTAAATGTAAGTTAAAAACATTGTCAAGCGGTCTCACATGATAAACAGTGTCCTCAATTAATCGCAATGCATTTGGTTAATTTAATTAAAGATTTTCACCTGTTAACCAAGTTAGATCTACACTATGAGTTAGTCAGACATGTTCAGAATAATGGCCACTATTTCAAATGTCTTTTTCTTTCTGTTTACTTTCAGTACTATCTTGAATATTTTGAAGCAGCTAATCAACACGATGATCATATCAGTCTTGGAAAAGCTTGTGAGGCTTTAGCAGATATATACCAGAAGTAAGTTTTCACATCGAACAATTTTAAACTGCATCTTATCAGGCGAAACCAGAAGCCTGTATAGAAAACTATATGCTCACACCAGCAAGTACAAAAACTCAATCATACCCCAATTAGCTCGTGTTCTGTGCGATAAAGAAAGCATTGGGCGTGACACCTATAAATCATTAAATAGTCAGTAGAACAACTGGACCTCATCTTTCCAACTCATATCATCTATAGGTACAACATTTTCTTTCTTTCTTTCTCTTCCTTTTCTCTCTCTCTTTTCTTTCTTTTCCGTTATGTGACGCTTTGTTTCTTTCTTCCGCTTACGCCAATAAATATGATAGCACCTACTTTTCTAACACCTTCAAACACTGTTAAACTTTGGCTTTGCTACCGACATGCCAATGTGTTGTTGTATTAATGAACTGAGATTTCCTTAATCTATGTGGAATTCTATTTATTGATAATGTACCATCTGGATGCAATACTGTAGTAAAAATGCTGAGAATTCCATTCTGTATCACAGGTACTGTTTTGGAATAAAGCAAATTATTATTATTATTATGTTTCCATCCAAACAAACTAAATTTACCAAAGGATGCCATGAGAAACTTTTATGCATTTCAACCAAACACTAAGCAATATATACATAATAAGAAAGGAAAAAGATTCAGTGAAGAAATATTTACTTTTCAGTTAGATCCTCATCTCTCTTTCTGGCTCTTCTCTAATATACATGTATAGCATTTCGATTACAATACACCATATTTTACCAATCAAGTGGCGATATGTTTGGTAACAATAACTAGTCAGTATCAATGTGTCAAGCGGAGGAGGGATAATTAACGGAGTAAATCAATGAATACACACAATTAAACGGTAGAAATGGTTACAACAAGTGGATTACTTATTACATAATTTTGAAAAGATGAAGAGTAATTAAGGAATAAAGGAGTGTTCAGGCAGATTGCGTAACAGATTATTATAGGAAAATACAACGATTTGGAAAATGGTGGCTTGTTATTAAAGATGAATTAGTCAGAGAAATAATAAAATAATTTGAAAAATTATAATTCTTAAAAGTTTAGGGGGAAGGAGGCGAAGTAGTCCGATTTATACATTCATGTAACAATGACCAAGGTAAGGAAAGTGGCTGCACTAATTTTTTCTTAACACACAGACTTGGCTTCATTAGGTATATTCCTCTGGCTTCAGCTGTATGTAGTAGAAGGTCAGTACACTTACTTTCTAAATTTTAAACCTCTGTTTATAAAAGTAACCTGGTAAAGTGTCTGATTCTAAGAGCTAGGATAATCTGTTCAAACAACTCCCTGAATGAGGAGCTTAACATTATTAGAGAATTACTTAGAAAACATACTTATCCATATAAGCTCATTGAGAAAAATATGAATTTAGCACCAAGAACAGTCAGCATGGCAGCAACTCCCAAACAACCATTATTCATTAAACTGCAATTCCTTAGTGAAAACATCAGCAAAATTGTAACAAAGCTCCCGAAGAATATGGTTGAAAGAGCTTTCAATGCAGCAGAGGTAGGCTGCTTCTTCAAAACCACTCCAATTCTACGTTCGAGCGATAAGGACAAACTACCTAATTTCACCTACTCTATGTGTATCTACCAACTTAACTGCAGCTGTGTAGTCACCTGCTTTGGGCGTACAATTAGGCAGGTTCATCATCGCATTTCCGAATATCATCCTGCATAGTTAAGCAGAGAACAAACAAGATCCATTAGTAGCTCTGTTTTAGCAGACCTTGTAGACAGTGAGCATAAAGTTGTTGTTAATATAACAGGTTAAGTTATTTATCGCATTCCAGTTAATTTTGATTTTGCTTTACAAGTTCGTCTTCTACATACAGCTGAAGCCAGAGGAATCCACCTGATGAAGCCAAGTCTGTGTATTTAGACGAAATAAACAGAACCATTTTCCTTACCTTAGCCATCTTTATATGAATGTACAAGTCTAACCAATTCGCCCTCCCTTAAGCCTTCTACAAATTATCACTACCCAAATTATTTTACTTCTCCGACTACTTCATCTCTAATTGCTTATTACGTAATATACCGAAACACTTATTTATTCCTTATTTACTACTTATTTTCCCAAAATTATGCATTATGCTCTGCGCTTGATGTGATCGTTTCTACCCTTTAATTTTGAGCACTAATTTTCTTCGTTAATTATCCCATCACCCCCACTTGACATGTAGATACTGCTCAATCACCGTTAACAAACATATCAGTGCCACTTGATTGGTAAAATAGTGTGTATTGTATTAAAAGTGCTATGTATATATTAGAGTAGAGCTAGAGAGAGAGAGAGATGAGGATCTAATTGAAGTGTAAATATTTCTTCACTCAGTCCTGTTGCTTTCTAAATATATATCTCTGTAAATGGGAATGATTTTATTTACTCTGAATTTCAGCACTTGATGATGAACGCTTCTTCATTCAGCAAGATAAATTTTTCGGTTTTTTCTTAGTAAAACAGTGAAGTACCTCAATTCGCATGAACACTGATATATTATATTAAAGTTGTTTAAACTGGTTGGATTGTGAATAGGATGTTAACAACATGTTGATTTCTCTGTGGATATCTTCACTTTTACCATGCATTTAAAAGGTTATACGGCAGGATATTTATTGTCCCCACTAAATGAATTGTGAGGAAATAACTTGCTATTCCAAATGGGCCTGTTCCACCTCATTACTGAGGATGAGAAAGCCAGAAAGGATTAACAGCAAAGAACTTCGGCAAAGAACAGAACATATCGGTTACCAAATACGCCGAGGGAAAAGAAGGTGGATTAAACATATGCCAACGAGACCACAGACTGACATCACGCGTCAGACCCTTAAGTGGAACTCGAGTCAGTTTGATGAGTTGGCTGTCCAACGGTGACATGGAAGAAATCGTGTTAAGAAGAAGACGAAAGCCTTTAGGTAGTCATTCAATTAGCTCAAGATGACTGCAGAACGATGTCCTGTTGAAGCCCTGTGTTCCACTGGGAATCCAAAAAAAGAATAATAATATATTTTGTTTATCATATTCTTATGAATATTATAAACCCTGCTTGTTTAATAATATGTCATCTGTATATGGTTCTACATATCTACAGACGAAATCAGATGAAAGAGGCAATTCTTTATTTGCATAAATTTGCAACTCTTTGTGAACGACATGGTCAATGGGCTGAATTAAGCAGAGCATGTCAACTTTTAGGCACAGCATATGATTCAGTTGGTGAATATGCTTGTGCATTAAAATGGATGAAGAAGGCGTATAATCTTCCGAATATGATTCCTGTAAGTTAAATTATTGTAATCTAATAGTGTTTTGTGTTTTTTTTCTTTGAACACACACTTCTCATTAGAATACTCAGTTGAAACAGCTATGAGAATTTTACAGTACAGTAATTTTTGAAGCATGACGGATTCTGAACTTATATAAAAGATAACTTCATAATGATAAGCCAAAGATTTAATAATAATAATAATCTACTTTATTCCAAAAACAGTATTTATAATACAGAATGGAATTGTCAGCATTTGTCACAATATTGCATCTGATTTACTCAAAATATAAATAAAATTATAAATTAAAACAAAATTAACCAGAGGAATTTGTCCACATTTACTATATAAAGTCAAAAATATTCGAAGCACGAATTGAGATTAATAAATATAATAATAATAACAATGAGTTTGTTTCAAACGCTATTGTCGATTCTGTTTGGAAACTTTAGCTTGTTATAGATTATTGGATCAAATGTTCTGTTGATATAGTATAGTGAGGGGAAACAAAAAATTAACAGTTGTAATACAGCTTAAATGATGTTCACACTTATAAAAAAATAAACAAAAACAAAAAATTGAAAGGATTATAAATATAACAAATACAATAACAACAAAGTTAGATGCTGTAAGGGTGCAGGAAAAGGTTTATTTAGTGGTGCAAAGAAGGTTAGTTAGTTCATACCTGACACTATTTTCATCACATAAGGTACGTGCTAAATATGGTATAGTGGAATTTTTATACTTAGATGTACGTGCATAAATTCTTCTGAAAAGACTCCTTGTTTTACGTGAGGAGACACAAGGTTGGAGCTGCGGGTAGAGTGGGTGCTCAGAGTCTGACACAATTCCTTTAGCGAATTTGTTGCATGACATCAAGTGCCTCTCAGTTACAATGTCAGTGATATGGCCCAATGGGATACCACTCGTTCTACTGACAGTTTTTAGAGTTCTACGAAGTATGACATAGTCTTTTTTATTATTATTATTATTCTCAAAATAATTAACAAGCTCATCCACAACATACTACTTAAGTAGTTTGTCGGTAGTTAAGTTGTGTATTTCAATGAACCACGAGGGATAACATTCTATCAGCTTAATAACCACTTACATTTCCATCCAGTTGGCAATCGGTTACACCTGTCTCCAGAAACATTGGTAGACGGAGCAACTTTTGAAGCCAAGCTGTAAGACCAATGAGTCACTAAATGCAGGAGAATAAACTACGTTCTTAGATATGAATGGAATATGAATCTACTTTGTTACAATTCAGTGTAACTGTATACTCTGGATGAATCAGATTCCTTCAGTCAAAAAATGGATATTGATTTCTGTTTCCTTTTAAGGATCTCCATTTCTGCTTTATTTGTTATCAAAAAGAGCGTATAACTTCAATGTTGAAGAGGCATTTACTTTATTTGTTTTATCCTATTATTACCGTATTGTACATAGAGTAACTTGTGTAAATGATTAGTGCCTGCACTTTAGTTAGTATAATGAATAGATAGCCGGTAAAAGACTTGCGATTTTACATGTTCAGGCTACCTGACATCCTGCTTCATTTACTATGCTACTTCAACTCCTATACGACATAGTGTATCGAATTATTCACCGTTTTTATTGTTTTAATTATTCATTTCTGTCTTTGGGCCACAAAATGTACTCACGCGCATTTTTTAAATTGGTTTTTAACCTACCACTGTGCATTTCTTGCAAGCGAAGGGATTCCTTCAAGCAACAGATAGAATGGTATTGCGTCACATCATGTACACTAGATTACTATTTTATATGAGGATCCAGGACGAAGAGAAAATGGACAAGTGAAACTGTAAGCACCACTAAATACCAAAGGACTGCGACCACACCAATGACCTTGAAAAGCTCACTGAGTTAGCAAGTCGGTGAAACCCGGCAAATAATGTTGTCATCATCAATAAAATATGCTCATCGAAGTGTTATGTTATTAAATGGGATTTCTGACATGTTTCTGCTTAGGTTTGAGGAAGATTAAGTTACTCTTTAAGCAGAGGTTTAGTTAGCGTTAGGTTAACCTAATGAAGGTGACATTAGGGTTGGTTCGACTTAGATTACAGTTAGTTTAGAGATATTTTCAGGAAAGATTAGGGTTACTGTTATGGTTAGAAGACCTAAATAATTACATGCATAGAATGTGGTTAAATTACTCTGTTGATATAAGAATAGAACTTGTGCACTGTGTGGTAGAGTATAATTCCATTGTGGGTAAAATTTATTTTGATAAAGTCTCAGGGTGTTATACAGTAATATTTACTGATGACCATGTTTCGAGCACTATATATTGCTCAGTAAATATTACTGTGTAACACTGTGAGACTTTATCAGAATATATTTTACCCATAACGAGATTTATACTCTGTTGATACTTCAACCTGAAACTGAGGGCTATTTGTATCATATGTAAGAGGAAGGTATCCTCTGTAACACTTTTCTACAGTTTTTATGCATTTTTTTCATAAATATATGTATTCCATGCACAAAACTGCCTTCTTAACGTGATTGGTGCATTCGAGGTCATTCGGTGATTGGTAGTTAGTGGTGCTTAAAGTTTAACATTGCCGAGAAAATATTATGCCATATGCCATAAATTATGCCTAGAATTCTAGTATACTTTATGAACATTTTGCGCAGGATAAAACTATTGTTTTATTGGTGTTTATGTATAGTGTAGGAATAAAATTAATCACATTTTTCAAAATTTGAACACAGTCATTAGAAGAATACTGACAAGTGTAATTTGTTTTCATTTTGCCCCACTTTGTTCATCCTTATTAGAGTTTAAAACAGAATAAAAGTGAGATGACTATGGAGTCTGCACGTATTATGCTTGGTGTGTCAAGAGCTCATCTTATGAATAGAATGTTTGTCACTGCTATCATAAATAATACACCAAACACGATATTAAAATTATGTCAATGGAAAGCAGATCCAAAAGATGAAAGTGAATTATTTGCATCAGAAGATTGTCAGGTTTTAAGTGAGCAAAAAGTGTTTTTCACTTAAAATAAAAACGTTTCGAGAAACAAATTTGCCAGTTAATTATTAATTTCATCATTTTCAAGTATTGTTTTGCAGGGATGTGGTTGAGTACTGGTCTGATGACGAGCTGACATCAGTTAGAGAACTACTGGAAAACCAAGGACTATTGGCCAACGGTTCCTTCAAGTCCTAGTTTGGTACTCCTCACGAATCAGAAGAAGTTGGAATTCTTGAGGCATTGGGTCGAGTCTCATTGGTTGGATAGTCTACCAGCTTGCTATTTTAACTGGCAGATTCTCGGTTCAGACCTCTCTGTAGATGAATGCTGATGAAGAGTCACAAGCTAGGATCGATAACAAGGCTATTCTAGTTTTTTATTGGTTCCCTAACCGATGTCTGCTTGGGATTTTTTTCCTTCGCGTTCCCCAGTGGAACATAGGGCTTCAAGCTAGTGGCTTGAAGTTTCTGTAGCATTATTTAATTTTTACAGGATGGGTTTGCTAGCCTCATGCCCAACCTTTCCTCTTCACCTGCATTATTTCTGGCTTAGCGAGGTAAAGGAGTGCGTCGGCCGGGGATCGAACCCCGGACCATGCGCAGGGTCGGGGAGTGTCCTAACTGCTATGCCACTGACGCATCATATCTGCTTGGGATCGAACCAATGAATTTCATGTACACATGTTAATATATAATTATCTAAATTATTACAAAGAGCGATTTTATTACACCTTCTCTGATGATATTTCATGTGATTCAGTTGTTTCAAATGGATAGAAGCTACGAATTTTGTAATTATCCTACATTTAACAACCACAGCAGTTCATCAATACTGTGGAGATTACAGCTTCTGAATAATAACATTAACAGTGATATTAATTACTAGACGAAAAAGCTTGAGTACACAAATTATAAATATTATTATTATTGTTATTGTTCCCTTGGGTTCCTAGTGGAACATAGGGCTTCAACTGCACGTCTCCACTTGTTTCTGTTTTCTGCTGTACTTTGAACCTGCATCCATGCTAGTCCATACTGTTTCAACTCTTCTTCACATGATCTCCTCCATGTCACCCTTGGAAGTCCCACTCGCCGCTTCCCTTTCGGGTTCCACTCGAGCTATGGCCTGACGCGCGATGTCACCCAGCGGCCTCCTCAGCGACTGTCCAATGCATCTCCACTTTCTCCTGCATATTTGTTGGGTGATTGGTTCTTGTTTTGTTTGTTCCCATAGTTTCTTGTTGGTGATTCTTTCTGGCCATCTGATCTTCAGTGTGGAGCAAAGACAGTTGTTGATAAAGGTGTGCAACAAGCTGTTGGAAATATTCTTTGTGACCCGCTGCCAAGTTTCTGATCCGTATAGAAGAACTGACTGACTTGAGGTTTGTATTGAAAATCCGAATTTTATCGTTTATGCTGAGTGACGAAGATTTCCAGATTGGTTTCAGGTTGATGAATGTGTTTCTCGCCTTCCCGATTCTCGATTTGACGTCTTCGTCCGTTCCTCCTGTAGTTGAGACAATGCTCCCTAGATAAGTGAATGAAGCAACCTCTTTCAAATCCCTCTCGTTGATGGTGATTGGCTCTGGATGTTGCTACTGCTGTTGTTGTAAATACATACATATAATCTTTGTCAAACAATGATTTTACTTTTATATCGCAGAAAATAGTCATAACAAGAAGAGCTTGTGAATATAATACTAGGAAAGAAGTACAACATACAATACATAATGTTATTTGAGGCTTCTGATACTTGATTTCTAATCAAATCAACCTAGTGTTTCTCAGTAATTACTTGCAATTCCATACACCTGGCAATGAGCCAAACTTACTGTGTGTGAGAGCTGGTTATAATACTCAGGGCTGCTCAAATCTTGGTGCATGGAGTGGCAGCTGAACCTTTGACTCGCTGGTTAGAAGTTGAATACCTGAACTAATGAGGAGGCACGACTCTAATACTTTAGTTAGATTCTAGTGACCTACACTTTGCATTCGTTGTTATTAAAAAATTTAAGGTTTACAGACTATAGTACAAATTGTTTAAAAAATAAAGGAAATTCACTATACTACTGAAGATAATGATAAAAGTTTACCACAGCCTTGACAGATATGAATGACTATAACTCAAAAATGAATGTGACTACATCCGTTTCATTTTTTCAACATATTTCTGACAGCCAGAAGCTATCTTAGATAGTCATACTAGAGAACGTTAGCTTCCATTGAACGTTCTAGTTTCCACTAAATAATATTCCTTTATTGACAAACCAGTAAGTGAAATTTATTCATTTTTCGGGTTACAAAATAAGTAAATCAATTGTAGACTGAGTGACAGTGTCAGGCACTCAGTCGAGTCATATTTGACAGGCGACAAGTCGGACGTGTGACTGAGGGTAACGTCAAGTAGATCATATGAAGAGGAAATGAAAGTTTGCTGGCAGTCGTGAAGCTATCTGAAAGAGATGACACAGAATCGATTAGAAAAGAGGTGTCCTGCCTGAGAAATGTGTTCCACTCGGAACACAGTTAGGAAAATATAATTCATTTTTGATTGGACACTAGTTGGTGTCTAGTCCTTTGTTTGGTGCAGAATGAATTCTATCAGGGGAGACGTGAATTCCTTCAAGGTTGTAGATACACCTTGCTGACTAGTGAGTGCCAACAAGCACAAAATCTAGGTCAGACTGAGCTTCCTCCTGATTGCCTTCAACCATCTAATATCAACAATTCAAAGTGTATTATGATGGCGAACCATCTAGAATGTTGGTCTCATTACAAACTTGACTAATAGCATTCGGTCTGCAGCAAACAAATTATTATTGTATCCTTTGATTCCTAGAGGAACATAGGGCTTCAGCCACGCGTCTCCATTGCGTCCGGTTCTCTGCTAGAGTCTTCACCTGACTCCAAGTCTGCCCACACGTTTTCATCTCCTCTTCACATGACCTCCTCCAAGTCACCCTTGCACTGACGACCAACTCGCCGCTTCTCATTCGGATTCCACTCAAGGGCTTGTCTAGTGATGTCACTTGATGGTTGGTTTCCTCAGAGTATGGCCAACCCATCTCCATTTCTTCCTGCCTATCTGTTTCACAATCGGTTCCTGGTTGGTTCACTTCCAGAGATCCCTCCCTGTTGCTGATCTTTTGTGACCATCTGATCTTGAGTGGTATTGAGCGAAGACAACTGTTAATGAAGGTCTGTAGTTTGTTTGAGATGCTCTTTATGACGCACTGGCCAAGTCTCTGATCTGTATAGTAGCACTGACTTCACACTGGAGTTGAAAATCCGGATATTATTTTTGATGCTGACTGCTGTTGATCTATCTCCACACAGACTTGAGAGTAGTGAAAGCTTGTCTTGCTTTTCCGATTCTTGCTTTGGTATCCTCATCAGTTCTGTCCGCCTGTAGTTGAAACGATCCTTCCCAGGTAGGTATGTGAAGGAGGTTGTTTCTTTCAGGTTCCTCCCATTTATGCTGATCGTTGTCTGTTGTTGTTGTTGTTGGTGGTGGTGGTGGTGTTGCCCAGGAATCTTCATCACCACATCTGTTTTCTCTATGTTCACCTGAAGTCCTATCTTTGATGCTTCTTCTGCCAACTGCAACAAACAAATAGGAAAGCTGTTTTCAAGTTTGAAGAATCGGAACGATAAGGTAGGAATGCCTTCCTTTTGTGTGGAAATTCCAGTAATACATTATAAAGTTGTCGTTCTCACTTTTGACTCAAGTTTTAAAACATTATCTCAAGTCGTACACAGTATCATGTAATTATATTCAGAGTCGTTCTGCAAACGATGAGTAATCTTCCACTGCTTATTGATATTTTGACACCATTGAATTAGTTGTGTTCTCTTTGAGTTGGTTGGTTCAATTGTGAAGCTTTCATCGTCCACCTTCCAGACAAAATCGCCTCATCACAGGCTTCAATATAAAATGAACTGATTTAAATTCACCATGAATAATGTAATTGTATCCCCTGACAACCACTGTCATGACTGGTTGTTAATTTGCGTCTCACTTTTATTAATTTGGAATTTGAACTTTCTTGTCATGTGGTTTATGTTTTATTAAGTGGTACATTTGGTCTTTATTGAAATGCTTGTTAATTACTGATTCACTTGAGTACCAGGCTTTTAGGAATTCCATGGCATTTTTGGCGTTTTGCCTATTTAAATTTCTTCATTTTCCCAATCAAATTCGTGTCCGTAATTGTCTACATGCATCGAAATGGAAAAGGAATACATGTAGTGCCTTTTCACAGATAACTTATATTCTTGGATTGGGATTCGAAGAAGACCACCACTTTGACAAATGTAGTGTTAACCGCAGTTTATGCAATTTATTTTGTAAACGGTAGTGATCTTATCTTCTTTTGTTGGTGCACACTTTAGTCTAAACAATGTTTAATGAAGTGATTGCGTTGACTTCCTATGATTTTAGTATTCTAGCTCTTCTTTCACAGTTATTCTTTATATTTGGCAGAGTTAATTTTCTTGTGGTCTTTGATGATGGTTTCGTTTTGGTACTCCGACTTGGGTTTAAATACTTTTCAATGAAATTGTGAGGATATTCATTCTTTTTGAAGACGGTTAGTAGGTATTCTTCCAGCATTCTCTTCAATACCGGAGCGTTACAGTGTGTTTGGACTCTTTTAAACATTGTCTGCAGACAGTTTCTTTTGTGGGTAATCAGTTGAGTATTTGATCTCTGTGTGTGCTGATTTTTTACATACTTGTGTTTCAGGTTAGCAGGAGATAGAATTACATCATTCATGTAGAATTTAAATAAGCCCATTTTATTATGAAGACAGTTGCAGCGACGAAAATTTTCTTTTCCACAAAATCATCAACTTTGCTGAACATTCGTGTATTTATAACAAATGGATGGGAAAGTTCCAGAATAATTTCCGGTTAAGGGCAAAATTAATAAAATTACAATAAGAAATTGAAATGCCATAATAAACAGGTGGATGGATAAAACTCGAACAAAGTAGCATTATACTTACTGAGAAGATTGAAATTCATTGTGCAACTGGGGGTTAGAAATGTAGAAAAAATAGACAGGATGTTTGGATAAAAAAATCTGGTGGGATCATAAGTAATGTGACGAATAATTGTTTATGCAATCAGGGATTAAATATGTAGAAATAATAAAATGACAAAATAAACAGGAAGTTCGGATATGAAAATATGGTAGTGTAAATAGGGATTAAGAAAAACTTAAAAATAACATGAATAAATAGGAAGTTTAGATTAGAAAGGCAATGGGATAGTCACTATTTGAAGAATCACCTGTTTATGATAGCCATGGAAGGGACAAGGGTGTGACGTATTTCTTTTGGATACAAAGCGCGGGTTTGAGCTTTTGGATAGCTAATACCTCGGCTATACCTAGATGTCTTAATTTTACTCCCTTTGATAGGCTCGATGAAATCTTGTATATTATTTTGAAGGACTTTTCGAATGGCGCTGAATGTCCTGAATTGACCAGATGTTCTGTCACTGAACTATATACACGTTTTCGGTCTCATTTTACTAGCCAGGCTGGGTAGTGTTCACGAGCGCGTTTTCCAAGTTGGCGCATGGTACGTCCGATGCACTCAGCTCCACAACAGCAAGTAAACTGGTGGATGTACGTTGAAGTGGCCCAATGCGACAGCTTGTCTTTCGCGTTCTGGTTGAACAGTTTCTTGCAGGAAAACGTCAGTCGTAGGCTCTCGGCGAAGTATGTCTTCCTCAGAGATTTGGAGAGGCATTTACGAAGGATTTCTGCTTCAGTGTCATCTTTGAATTCTAGATTAAGTAGAAGTATTTTCTTTGGAATGGATTGGACTTTTTCGGAAGTCTTCTTAGATTTGACATTCTTATCTATGAACCTGGGCGGAAAACCTTTTTCCATCAGAATTCTTCGGAGATTACGCAGTTCTTCTTCAATCACTTCCTCGTTGCATATCTTCCGAATCCTCGAGGAAAGAGCGTATATCAGGTTCCTCTTTCTGCTTAGGGGCACGAAGCTTTGAAAGTTGATAAATCTTCCATTCCATGTAAGGTTTTTGTACATGGACCTTTTCAGAGGGCTGTTGGCGTCTCTGGTCAGATGGACGTCGAGGAAGTGAAACATTCCGTCGGATTCAGTCTCAAGTGTAAAGTCGATGTTTGGGTGGGCGTTATTGAAGATTTGAAGTAGGTTTTTTACATCACAATTCTCATCACAAATGATGAAAGTATCATTGACGTATCTCTTGTAGAGATGGAGGTCGTCGATAGTTGATGATAAAGGGTTGTTTTCTAGGCTAGCCATAGAGCAGTCGGCCAGAAGGGGTCCTACGGGAGAACTCATTGCCACTCCATCTACTTACCTGTATATTTCGTTGTTGAAAGTAAAGTATACGTTGAAGGTGCATCTTAGGAACAGTTCTTTCAGGTAATGGATCGGTATACCGACATCGATGCTATTGGATTGAATGTAGCCACAAAGGAAACATACGGTTTCTGTCAATGGAACGTTGGTGAAGAGAGAGACGATGTCCAAGGAGATCATTTTCTTTTCTGCCACGTTGACATTCTTAATTGAATCAACAAAGTCGAATGTATCACGGAGGTTGTGTCTTAACAGCTTCTCTTTCACCGGCCCGAGAATCTCCACCAGCCATTTCGCGATTGCATGATATGAGGAATCTATCATATCTAGTATTCGGCGGAGTGGGACGTCTTGTTTGTCCACTTTAGGTAAACCATACATGCGCGGCGTTGTAGAAGCAGATGGGCACAGTTGCTCGTATAGCTTTGAACTGATAATGGATTCGTCTTTAATTTTCTCCAACATCTTTGTTAGTCCATTTTATACTCAAACCTGTGTAACAACAAAAGACAAGGACCAGGCAACAGATCGTTTATTGAGAAAGTCAACACATATTTATAGATTTTTATGTACAATATTATCCGTTAGCAGAGAGGTGACGTCTTCTGACTGATTGTTTTTCTGCTGAAAATTATGCTGTCATCTCTTTGTTATCGTTTCTTAGACAGTCCGGTGATATATCTGCGAATCGTATCCGCCCATGCTAACTCTGCTGTGATTGGCTGTTGACTTCTTCAAGGTTAGTTAGGCTTTGTTCTTGTTTTTTTCTCATGACCAAGATTTGGGACGTAAACATTGACGTAAATTGCTGTCTACCGGTTTTGGCTAGCAGACAGCTCTCACCTCACCAGAGGTGAAGATGTTGTCTAGAAGGTGGGCGACGAAAGCTACACAATGGAATCACCAGCTCTGAGAACACAACTGATTCAATATCATCCTCATCATTCTGACATCACATATAATAAGGAGATACTGTTTCCTCTGCAATAATTGAATATATTTTCTGTATCAAAGAAATAGCTTTCCTCATTTGTTCATATTTTCCCCTCATTTCTTTTACATTTATCTATAGGTAAACGACTTGTCGGTAAAAAACCTTATCGTGATGTAATAGTCTATTCAAAGAATCCAGTGAGTGGATTCAATGATAACCAAATGAATCAATAATTACATCATTTTCAGACGTCAAACAAGAAAAGAATTGCATAAAATCTTAACCTATTCTATCAACTATATTCTCCAGCTCACTGATAACCAAAAAAAGAAGAAAATATCAGAGTAACAAATTAGCACAAGGAAAAAATAAGAGAAATTGGATAATTACATATAGATATTAAATATACTTTGTTTGTCTTCTTAATTGAATAAATAATCACGATTAATAGTGATGGCATAATGATTGTCATTTTGATTATAAACAATTTCCTATTTTCAAGCATTGGTTTGTAGGGATGTTGTTTTGATTGGTTACGAGATTTCATTATGAGCTGATATTGGTTAGAGAACCAGTGAAAAACCAATAGGGAGTACTGGACAGTTGTGACCAGTAGAGTGCAGCAGGTTGGGTGTGAAGACAAATACTCGCCGAAGACATTGTCTAGAGGTCGTGCTATGTTGTGAATTGGCAAAAATTGGAATCCATGGATTGGCCATTGGATCTGGTCCGAGGGGCTCAATGGTCTACGAGCTAGCTCACCTTGTAATCAGAAGGTCCTGGGTTTGAACCCAGGCAGTGGGTGCGTACTGACGAGGAGTCCCAAACCAGGATGAAGTGGCTGTCCAGTACTCCTAGCTGGTTTTCCAGTGGTTCTCTAACCTATGTCAGCTAATGATAAATCCTGTAATCAATTTCCTATTTTGACATGAGCGAAATGCACGCTAACACATACTCAGCTTTTGTTCAGGTTAGTTACAAGTCTGTATTTGAGTAGAACTCCCATATAATGTAACTATATGGCATGCGTACTCTAATGTTAGCAATTCAATTCACGTTGACTAGTGTTACTGTAATAAAGTCAACTAAATAGGGTGAAATTAGGCAGCCATGACGAGCACTACTCTAATTAACATCTCTCCATAAATTTTTAGGTGAATGCAAGAGTTCCATCAGTCTGTCTCAGTTGAAATAATATATTGGCTCAGCCCTATCTTCACAGTTGCACACCTGGTTTTGTATTGACGGGTTTATTCCTGACTAGAATAAAAGATCAACCGACAAAGAACCAATCGTTTAATAAATATTCAGAAGAAAATGGAGATGTATCGGAAACACTCTAAGGAGACCGCTGAGTGATGTGATGCAGAATGTTAGCGATCCAGTGGAAACCAAATGAGAAGTGACGAGTTGGGCTTGTGTCCGAGTGTGAAACAGAGGAAACTGTGTGTGAAAGGAATGAAAGTTAATGAGCACTCATGAAGCCAGATAAAATCGAAAGGAGAGAAGAGGGTGAAATGAAGATATTCAGCTGAAGCTCTGTGTTCCACTTGGAACCCAAGGTAGTAATAATAATAACAGATTAGAAAACGATTCACTGATAACTTTACAAACAAATTAACATCTTCTTTTTGTCGTTATTTTGGGTAGTGAATTGATCCTTTATGGAAACGACTTAGACGGGCTTGCGATAATCGCTCATCCCCATAAAGTACATACATCAGTGAAATTCTTTCTTAAAGAAAAATCTTAGAGTGAAATCGCTTTCCTGAGGATTTTCCTAGTAAGAAGACCATATATATATATAGTTAGAGACACATGTTCGGAAGATGTCAATATAGACAATTATTAAGTGTTGGTTTGCAGGGATTTGGTTGGTTACAGAATTGATCACAAATTGACATCAGTTAGAGCACCGCTAAAAGCCTGGGAGTACTAGATAGCTGTTTCGTCCTAGTTTGAGACTCCCCATAGTACAAACAAACTTGGGTTCGAATACAGGACCTTTTGGTTTGGAGACGAGCTCGTAGACCATTTAACCACTGGAACCCTACCAAATGGTTCATGAATCACAAGTTCTGCGGGGTCCTTCAAGTTAAACAAGAGGATGGTAACTCGCCTGTGACAATGGATTGCCATTGCTGTAAATATATGCCCCAAATCGGCAGAAGTTAGAATCTATGAGCACTGGGTTGAGTTTCAGGGGGTGAATGGTCTATGAGCTCACCTCCTTACTGGTTGATCGTCATTTTGAACCCAGATGGGTGTGTAATGAACTAGGACGAAACAGCTGTCCAAAACTTCCTGCAGGTTTTCAATGGTTCTCTAACCTATATCAACTCATGAGCAATCCTGAAATCTAGATAAGCTAAATACTGCATGTTATACGTGAACTGAAAATATCTATGGGAATCATTTCATTAAGAGAATTATTACCAAGAAAGTAAAAAGGAAATGTGCTGTACGTAGGATGAAGAAGCGACTCTATATGCAATCAAAGACCAGAGGAGATGTAACCCAGTGACGCGTTAATTAGCGAGCTAAAGAAGTTGATTCAGAGAAATTTTGATGATGGCAAATTGCAACTCAAGTTTTTATATGATTAACTGTGACATCGAATCTGAAAGATGAAATAAAAAGTAGATTATATATACACCAAATGTAATGTATAGCATTTGACTGATAATCATTATAGTTTGCCCTACCAAGTGATTCCACATATCTATTGTTGTATTTCTTTCCTCTGAATCATAAACACTTATACTGAAGAACAGAGTAATTCCAGTGAGTTTACATTCCTGGTGACTTTTTGTAATTAAGTTTGCTATGTCACTTATTCATTTATGGTTTCGCGGAAAATTGCTGAGTGTATCTTTATCTGGATCTCCTCACCTTTTCCAAGATTTACCTACCAAGTGTGGGGAAGTTAATCCTCCTAAAAACCTTGACTTCTTCGGTGTTACAATGAAAGATTCTATAAAGAGGCTAATTACACTGTGTCAAATAACTTATTGGATAGGATTACATATATTAAGCTTATATAAAAAATACAAATCAGATAGTATCAAACTTTCTAATGCAGGTAATGCGAAAATACTATTCACTATTTTAGTCTTTAGGATTTTCGGTCCCCATCAGCAACAAATGTATGAACTTTTCAAGTATTGGTTTTGTAGGGATTTTGTTTTGATTAGTTGGAGGGTTTCATCATGAGTTGACAGCAGTTAGTGAATCATTGGAAAACCTGTTCTGGAGTACTGAACAGCCGTTTTGTCCTGGTTTTGGACTCTTCACAGTGCGCACCCACACTTCAGGGTTCGAACCCAGGGCCTCCTGATGCTCACTAGCGACTGGCCGTATCCAGGCAGTTAACCTGGGGTTCTAGTGGGAAGCCGTGACCAGTAGGGTGCAGCAGGTTGAAGAGGAGGCAGTTACTCATCGAAGAAGATATTGCGAAGTAGTCGCAGTTTATCATGAATTAGCAGAAGTTAAAATTCATTGGCCATTGCATTGGCGGGTATCAGTGGCATAATAGTCTACGAGCTAGCTCGCCTTGTAACCAGAACATCGTGGGTTCGAACCCGGCGATGTGGATGCGTGCTGATGAAGAGTCCCAAACTAGGACGAAACAGTCGTCCAGTACTCCAGTGGTGGTTTTCTAATGGTTCTCTAACTGATGTCAGTTTATGATTAAATCCTTCAACCAATCAAATGTATGAACTGTTTGTAATGCAAACTTTTACACAAGGGTGTACAATTTCGATTATTCTAATAAAGCATCTTATCACAATAAAGTTCATTATTTTTCAGAAAGATCTAAGTCATTATTGCATGAAGAATTTTACGTGGAAGACCTCACACAACGGCTACTAGCAACCCTTACCTTTTTTTCTCTTTGTAGCGTAATTCTCTAAGGGTTTGGATTTAGAAATAAGTTTTTTCACAACTCAATTGATAAACAGAAACATTCATCTGTTTCAGAAACAAGTGAAGTGGTAATAAAATGTCAGTTGAATAAGAGATAATGATAATGATGATAATAACGAAAGCAGTTCTATTCTAGACGACACAAAGTATAGAATTCACAGAGTATGTATTTGCGCAATCTTTACTGTTTGCATAGAATCTTCAGGAAAAGCTGTGACTTACAGTATATCATATGGCGAAGTTTTATTCCAAATGTAACAAAATCTAATCCCCTGCGGCAATTTTTTCTTCTTTAATCCCTTCATAAAATGCACATCATTGTGCTAAAAGCTAGTTAAAAATGTGCATGAATTCATGTAGTTACCAAAAACATAGATAATTAAGGTCCATTCAGTCAAGTGTGAAGATGGATGTCCAACCGACGACATTGTTTGGGGTTGCGCTAAATCACGAATTGATAGATGTTAGAATTCATGAGTTGGCCATTGAATTGGGTCCCAGTGACTGAATGGAATACGAGCCAGCTTGTTTTGTAACTGGAATATCCTGAGTTCGAACCCTGGTGGTGGGCGTGTACTGCCGATGATTCCCGAGCTGGTTTTCAGTGGTTCTCTAACTGATATCAATCCGTGATCAACTCGTAAAAATAGATAATTGAGGCAAAGTCTAGGGATAGCCACCTAAGCACTACCAATATACGACTGACCTTCAGGCGACCAATCAGAATAACCGAAGTGTTTTTTACAAAAGATGTGGTTTATTTGCTAGACAAATACAGATAATAAACTTGAAACACCCCAACCCTAATCTTAACCCTGTTCCTGTCCTTAATAATTAAAGCTATAGATGGCGAATAACTAGACAGCTCAACCAACGAATTAATGTGCATCTTCCTTCATGGTTCAGAAAACGCCAAATAAAGTGTATAAAAAGTTCTGTTTCGCCTCATTTGATTAATAGCAGTTACCAAGTGGACAGGAGAAATGCCAATAAGGTTACCTATCCCATTCCATCGAACCACCTAAACGGCGTTCGAACCCGCCTTTTTCACATAGCCGAAGCTATTGGGAATTCGAGAAAACAAACCTAGTCTTTGCATACAAAAGACGTTTGGTTTACCTTTTTCTGTCTATTGGCCTAGGTAAGTGCTGATTCAAAACTTCCTACCCTTTCTTATTCTCCATTTCTTTCCCACTTTTATAATATTTAAACTCTGATTATATGTCCACTTCTACTTCAGTATTACGTAACTTTTAAGATCTGACCTAATTTATTTATTGAATAGTCTACATATACACATATCACTAGCTTCGTTATTTTTATCCCCACCTGCATAAACTCCTAGTACTTTCATTAACATTAACCTTATTATCATTATTTTTGCCACCATTATAATCGTCGTTGTTATTGATGTTCAAAACATTTAACACATTATTATGTAATCCACAAACTCATCGTCATTGGTTAAATTTCTTAACATATAAAGCCATATAAATTAGAGCGAAGTCTGGAGATCTGATTGAAAACAATATTGTTCGCTTATATATCTTGTCCTAACCTTAATCCTAACCAAAACCCTAGTCGTAACCGTAATGAGTTATCAATCCGTTATCCATGTAGTACTTCAAAACGAGACAGAAATGAAATTCGCGCCTCAATTCGTGCAAAGCGTTCATAGTGACACTAACAATAACTGTAGGTCCCATTGTCCAACTAAATGTATGCATTCAAGGTCACCGGTGCATTCGCTTTCCTGGATCACAATTCTTTCTTTAACTTGTTCATAATTGGACGATTAGAAAAGCAAGAAACGGAGAAGAGTTTATGGATTTTATTTGATGAAAAATTGAAGAGGTCCAAGCAATCCATCATCTATTGAAATCGTGTACACCGCATTTAAATTCATCATGTAACGACAGAAGACAAATGCCAGGTAACAGATCATTTATTGAGAAAATCAAGAGATATTTATAGATTTTTATATACATTATTATTCGTTATTATTAGTGGAGAAGCAACGTTTTCTTGCTCAGGGATATTCTGTCGTCTCTTTGTGGTCGTTTCTTAGAAAGTCAGGCCATATATCTGCGAATCATATTTGTATACGTTAAGTCTGCTGTGATTGGTTGTTGAGTTCCTCAAGGTTAAGCTTTGTTATTGTTTTTTTCTGATGACCAGGATTAGGGACGTAAACATTGACGAAAATTGTTGTCTACAATTTTGGCTAGCAGACAGCTCTCACCACAACCTTAGCAGCTTATTGTGACTCATCATTTCACCTAAAAGGTTTAGTTAGTTAGATTGGCCATATAAATGCACAAATTTTATGCTTTAGTCAAATATATTTTTCCTTGCAGACTATCCCTGTCACCACGGGAAACGTTTTTAGAACATGATAACCAGTATTCATTTGGTTTTATGAGTTTATCTGCTGAATACGAAGACCATTGTAAAGCCTGTGAAAATTATTCATCAGAAAGAAAATTTCCCGTGCTGTTAGGTCTCCTATCTAACCATTGTTATGTGTCCATTCTGGGCCTTGTCTAGTTTACTATCCCACTAGTTTGCCGGCCTCTCCAAAATTTTGAAAAAAATGTAGGTCTGGGGTGGAACTAGCAAACTCTTCCCCGGAAAACCAATCCAGTCGCTACAGAAACAGAAAAATATGATAAATCGATTAATTGTTCACTAGAATTGGAGGGACGAAAGATGCGGGCTGGTGAATGTCTGCAGGAAGCCAGTCAGCTGGTGTGTCTTCTTTCGATGAAAATAAAAATAAGTATGAATACATAGAGTGTCTGCACTACGTCCGAAGCTGGAGAGGCTTCTGAGATTGCAAAAGAAATGAGAAAATTTGGTAGAGAAGTGTTAGGAATCTCTGAGTACAGTTGGAACTTAAGTGAACTCTACAAATTGTTAAGTGGAAATTTGATAATTTAATCTGGTCACTCAGGCGATAAATAATGTCACCAATAGCATCCAAAGCTCTTATGCAGTGGGATCCAATCTCCTCCTGCAGGATAAAGACAGCAAAATTCAACTCAAAATGAAGGAGAGTTATGATTATCTGATGCTAAGCGCCTACAAATAACGCTAAACAAAAGAAGAATAAAGACCCCTACAGTCAACTACCAAAAGAACTGGAGACTGATAGGGTACATATTGAGAGGCCTAATGAGTGACATCGAGCAACAGGCCAGCCATCGAGTGGAACCTGAGTTGGAAACCACAATTTGAGCATACGTCCGAGCATAGGTCATGTATGAAGGCGATCACAGCTTATATAGGAAGTTTGCGTCCAGCTAAAGAGGAGAGCAGGGAAGAAAGTGAAGTGGAGATGTACTGTTGAATCCTTATTTTCCACTAGGAAACCAAGGGAATTGTAATGCTGTGTCTATTCCCAAATGTCACTTCTGACTGGATTCCATCAATCAGGTTTGAATCGTAGTCAGAAAATCAGCGAATTCGCGTCAATGATGAGTGCCATTTAGACACGAAAGCAGTTCTACTGCTTCCCGCCTATTGCCTTCAACCATCTAACATCGATTTATAGTGCAATGCGAGACCACATTGCAAACCTGACTGACAGAATTCAATCAGCACTGATACTAACCGACTAGTGAGATGACATCGGTTACCTCTATATAACCAATGAAAGTGATACAATAGTGTTCCCAAAGTGTTAACACCGTTACAAGCAGATTGTAATTTCAGTTCTTCAATTTTTAATTTCTTTTCAATAACAAAGGTCTTGCAACACCAAAAGAAATGAAAATAGTTATACAAAATATATATATTTAGGTATTTACACAAATAAACAAACAAATGAACAATAAACTGATTAATAAAATGCATGTTCAACGTAATGGAATAAAAAAAGATGGGTCAGTCTTCAGAAAAAATTAGATAACTTTAAGTTATTTTCGGTGATAATTCATTCATTAAAGTGCCCAGATCCCAGATATAAGTGTTTCCATCAGTGCTTCCAGTAGCTAAAAGTCTGGAACTAAAATAATATAGTAATAATAATAAAATAGTGAAAATGCAAGTGATATGTAAAACAAATTCTCAATTGATAAATTACAAGTTTGTTTTGACAAGTTGATCACGGATTGATATCAGTTAGGTGACCACTGAAAACCACCACTGCAGTACTGGACAGCTGTTTCATCCTAGTTTGGGAATCATCGGCGGTACGCACCCACCACAGGGGGTTCGAACCCAGAACCTTCAGGTTATATGGCGAGCACGTAAATCATTCAGTCACTGCCACCCGACTGAATGGCCAACTCATGAATTCTAACTTCTACCAATTCGTGATTTAGCGCGACTGCCACCAACCAATGTCATCGATGGGACATCCATCCTCACACTTGACTGGATGGACCTCACTGGTCCCTACTAGTGACTTGCTACAGGACGGAGTTAGTTGCCTGGAGTTCTAGTGAGAATTCGTGACCAGTGAGGTGCATCCAGTCGGGAGTAAGGAGGGACTCCTTACCAATGACGTTGGTTGGTGGTCACGCTAAATCACGAATCGTTAGAAGTCAGAATTGAATCGGGTCCCAGTGGCTGAATGGTATGCGAGCCAGCTTACCTTGTAACCGGCAGGTCCTGGGTTCGAACCCTGGCGGTGGGTGCGTACTGCGGATGATTCCCAAACTAGGATGGAATAGCTGTTCAGTACTCCAAGGTGGTTTTCAATGGTTCTCTAACTGATATCAATCCGTGATCAACTCATCAAAAACATATCTAATCCTTACAAACCAACTACTGAAAATTACAAGTTTGATTTAAATAATTACCATTGGTTAAGACTGTTGATATTCTTTGTGATTATATATCTTCAAGTTGTTTTTCATTCCCTTTTCCTTTAACTTATTTGAAAGATTTATTACTATTATGTACTGACAACGTCCATTTCACGTTTGAAGGTAAACATTTTCGACAAGTGGATGGCGTTGCTATGGAGAGTCCATTAAAGCCTTTTTTAGTGGATGTTCACATGTCTTATGTTGAGAACTTGTCCCTTGATTTAATTTCTAAATCGCCCTTCTATAGGAGATATGTAGATGACATCATTTTGATATGTGACGATCATGAAGATGCGAGTCGTCTATTAGATAGACTTAACTCTGTACAGAATCATATTAGTCTTACATGCGAGGAAGAAAGTCACAACCAGCTTGCATTTTTAGACATATTTCTGAGTCGAAGAGATGATGGCTCAATAAGACGATCAATCTACAGAAAGCCCACTTGGACAGGGCAATACCTTAATTTTCATAGTTTCTGTCCATTACAGTATAGGAGAGGCTTGGTGAAATGTCTGTTTAAGAGGATTCAACGTATTTGCACGTCTGATGTTATAGACAAAGAAAATGAAATACTGATGGATACTTTTGTTGAAAACGGATATCCTTTAAAATTTTGTAACAGGTGTAGAAGTCAGTTAATCTTTAAACCTACAATCGATACCGCCCCTAAGAAAAATGTCTTCATCAAATTACCACATAATGGGGAAATAAACAGTAGGATTTTGAGACAAAGGTTGAATTCGATCATCCGTAGAACTTATTATGCAGCCCAGCTTGGAGTTATCGAGAAAACTAAAAATATGCTCCACTGCAAACCTCAAAAGTGCACAAGTGATTATGTCACATCTCATACTATTTACCAATTTTCGTGTGTGTGTGGACACACGTACATAGGGAGGAGTAATCGTGTTTTGCATATGAGGGTGGGAGAGCATATCCTAAAATGGTTAGAAAAACAAGTGAATTGTTAAAACCAATATATGCAGGTGTCAGACTACCAACTTCGTCTATAGCTAAACATCTAATCGCGATGATCCATAAGATTGATGTTAACTCAGCCTTCAAGGTCATCTATAAAAACGGTCAAGGGCGCTTATTGAAATACGCTGAGGCTATAGCCATTCATAAACTTAAGCGCCCCCCTGTGTATTCAAAAACAGTTTATTATTACTCTCAACCTACCTTGGTAATCCTTATTTGATTGGATTATCAAACGTTGTGTTGATCATTCTTAAATCTTTTTTTGTCACTTTGTTTAATTTAATTGCCCTTAATTTTTTCATATATATCGACTTGACGAGTAAATGTGTGATCGGATTGTTCGAAATGTATAGCGTAAATACATCACATCTTTCAGATAATCTCCGTCTTCTAATAACACTATCCAAATTTATAATAGGGACTAATTGTTATAAATTACCAGTTCTTCCAAGTAGATAGCCAGAAATTGGGTAGTTTGAACTGGTTCAGCTCTCTGGTGTATATTCAAACCGGTTACACTACTCATGTCTGTCTGCTGTCTGAAGTGAGTGGTTTAAAACTACTCATCTCAGTCAATCAGTAATATATAATTTTACACATTAATGATAGTTAACGTGAATAAACAAAATAAATAACTCTCACCTTTTATGATTAAATTCTACAGTTATAAGTGAGCCTTGATTAGTATTGTCTGTCTGAGAGTTGAGTGTATGCATTAGTGTAGGCTGGAAATTATACTCCTTATCGACATCTTCCATGGTAGTCATTTGTATCTGCATTCCACCACCATCATTATCATCATCATCAGCTAAATCATAGATGAGTATTTGATTGAATTCAGTAATACAAATGAAAATATTTCGATGGTGGGGGGAAAATTTAGCCTCTGATATTAAACCTTCACATGGATTAATATTTATTAAAGGTGATTTTTGTAATACATTAAAAATCTAAAAATGCAAAAGGAAAAGGCAGTCAGTTAGTTGATAACTTAATAAGGGAAAACGTGTGTGCACAGCATGCAACCATGTGGATCAAAAGATAGTGTATGATTTAAAAAGAGATTTGAACTGATATGTCTATCTTATTTGGTGAATGGTGACTAGAGGTGGAATCCAGGATGCTTATTTCGTCCTATTTAGGACCCATCAGAATTATATATATCTTCAATCAATAGTGAGTGATGATATTCCCACTGAGAATCGGAACTAGCACATATCGTTTCAAAAAACATTTAGGTCATGACAGATACCTCTTGTATAGCGAGGACAAGTTACTATTTTATTTAAATCAGTTTTGTTTCTTCGGTTGAGTGATTGCACTGAAATGCTAGGTCTCTATAGACATGTCAGCTACTAGTATGGACACTACAACTATGTCTGAGGAATAGCGTTAAGTTATTCTGGGTTGAAAAAGCCTTCGACAGCGTTGACGGTGAAGCGATTTCGAACCTGCTTCAACACTGTGGAGTACCCAAAATCCTTAGCCACCTAATTCAGCTCACATGTCACGTGTCCGGTGGTCCACAGAGGAAACCTCAGAGAAGACTCTGAAGCTAGGCGCTTGAGGTCAATAAAGTAGTATGACAAGGTTGCCAATGATATTCCTAATTGTGGTGGAGTCGATAATGCGTCAGACTAAAGGAGCGAGAGAACTCTAGACGATCTGCATTTCGCGGGTGATTTATGCTTAATGTCATGCGAACTCGAAGACTTACAGGAAAAAACTGACATAGTGTCAGAAGAAGAAGTGAAAACAGGACTCCAGGTGAACACAGAGAAGACAGAGGTTATGTGGATAACCAAACAACAACAGCAGCAACAACAACCAGTACCAATCACTTTCAAAGGAAGCGATTTGAAAGAGACCACTTCCTTCACTTATCTGGCTACGCAGCACAGTTCCAACCTCAGACGGAACGGATGAAGATGTCAAAACCAGAATCGGAAAGCAAAGGTACATCTTCATCACTCTGAAATCAGTGTGGATATCTTCTGACCTCAGCATGAAGAATAAGATTCGGATTTTCAACGAAATATCTGATGTCAGTCAGTTCTTCTGTGTGGATGAGAGACTTACACTGCGTGTCATGAAAAGCACTCCTAACAGGCAGTTGCAGACTTTCACCAACACCTGCCTTCATTCCATATTGAAGACCAAATGGTCAGGCAGAGAGAATCAGCAACAATAATCTATGGGAACAAACTAACCAGGAACCTACTGCTCAACAAATATGTAGTAGAAAATAGAGGTGGATTGCGTACACGCCCAGGAGACCGCCGAACGGAATCGAGCGGAATGCAGGCCATTGCTCACTCGGAAAACATAGGGATTCATTGGCACGTCTCCAATTCGCCCTAGCCTCTGCGGTCCTCTCAGTCTGGGCTCACGATTTCCCGTAGACTAACATCTCCCATCAACATGACATCCTGATTCCAGTTTGTGGTTTCCCATCCTGGTTCCAGTCGACCTTGTTAAGAGTGCTTTTCATGACGCGCAGTGTAAGTCTTCGACCCACACACAAGAACTGACTGACATCCGATATTTCGTTGAAAATCTGAATCTAATTCTTCATGCTGAGGTCAGAAGATATCCACACTGATTTCAGAGTGATGAAGATGTGCCTTTGCTTTCCGATTCCAGTTTTGACATCTTCATCCGATCCGTGTGAGGTTGGAACGGTGCTGCGTAGCCAGATAAGTGAAGGAAGTGGTCTCTTTCAAATTGCTTCTTTGATGGTGATTGGTACTGGTTGTTGTTGTTGTTTCTGTTGTTGTTTGGTTATCCATATAACCTCTGTCTTCTCTATGTTCACCTGGAGTCCTGTCTTCGCCATAATTTTCACAATGAGGATGGTTTATGAAAATAGAATCTGAATAAATAACTTGTAAATCTGAACCCACCGCTAAACCAAGTCATTTGAAAGTTACATCTTAACTAGGTCTCATTGAAAGGAAAACATATTCTGTCACACTAGATACCTAGATTTTTGATGGCATTGCTGTCACTCAGTGTAGAAAAGAAAACACTTAGAGATTATGTGAGGGACTCTTGAAACCTCTGAATTAGTCGAAAGCAGAATTCTACTCAAATGCAGACGGCGACATCATGGGGTATGGCAGTAGGGGTGGTAGATACTTATGTTTAGATAAGTTTCTAGTCAAAAGCCTTTAACTTACTAGACTGAATCTCTTTCGGACCAACCAAATGGGTGACTGAATCAAGACGAAAACTTTGTTGATGAGTGGTTTAATCGTTAAAATACAGGGCTTATAATGGGAACGCCACTATTCTAGGTCGAGGAATATGTTTCTATTTCACCGTCAATCATTACCAACCCCAACATTATTAGTTTGTAAATCAAAAGCTAGTCGATCGGTCTAGCTAGACTGTCCACTTCCAACTATTAGGTCACAGGTTCCAATTCTCTTCCGCCTACCGAGATTTCTGCAGTTAGCTAGTATCACTAGCTCTCATACAAAAGATGTGGTTCACCTCCAACTGCATGGAATTGTAAGTATCTGTTAAAAGTAGCACTTCTTACACTTTTTTTCAGATAGTTCCATAGCCATTAAATGGTATGACAGACTATTTCTTTGTAAGAAAACTATAAGGATTTTGACAGTTAGAGGAAACCACTTCTCATCTGGCAGTCAACCAATATGGCAGCTGATTTTTGAATGAATTTGGTTATATGCCCTTTCAATTAGTGGCAAAAAGTGAATGGTTTTTGCCTTCAAGACGATTCATTGTCAGTGTTTCTGGTGGTGGTTAAACATGCCAGAGTGTTATATCAGCAATCACTGTTAGCAGCGTAGCACTTTCCTCTAAGTTGCCTAAATTAAAATATTCTTTAGATTTAGGGTTGAGAAATCTAAAACCAACACTATTTAATGAAGATTTATCGATCCAGCTCTGAACAGATCAATGTTACACGAGTATTTTTGAGTTAGTTTTTATAATGACACCGAAAATATTCTCATTACCTCAAGAAAATGTATTGCAAATTAAGATAGAACTTTCTAATTATTTTTGTCTGACGACTGTTTAAATACTGTCTGTCTGTCTGTTTTCGACATAGAACTTTGCACAAATGTGCGGCAGTTCAAGTCGCCACACTCCCTTCTTGTAGCACACAAAGTAAGAGAAGAAAGTAGAAGAAATGCATATTAGAGACAGTAAACAGAAGTGTGAGACAAAGGAATAGTAATAACGAGGAACAAAACATTTTAATTGGAAATCATAAGTCACAAGGAGTGGATGCATCCGCACTGTCACTGAGAACGGTTTTGAGCCATATCACCAATTGTTTCCAACCATTGGTTTTTACCGTCCCGAGGACCCCAACCAGGAAGTCTACACCTTCCTACATGGCCTAAACTAACTGTTGTGGATTTCATCGACTGGTGCCATGTTTTCGTTTGACCGCCATGTACTAGCCCTTTTCCAAACTGACCCTATATCAGCTAACATTGCCCATCAGTCCAGGAAGGCGATGACTAGGTATACGTAACACATGTCCTAACCATCTCAGTCAATGTAATTTCACAGCCTCGTCGATTGATTTCCCCTCCTTACCTAGCACTCAGCGCCTAACCTCAATATTACCCACCCTATTATACCACTTCACGCGGGAGATAGAACGCAGGCACCTATGATCAAAGACAGCTAATCTTTTCATGTCTTCTGCTCTCAATGGCCAGGTCTGACAGCCATAAAGGAGGACAGAACGGACTGTTGAGCAGTACACCCGCCCTTTGGTCGATAATCGGATGTCACGTCTACGCCAGAGACGGCGAAAACTGGCGTATGCGAACCTAGCCCTCTGTATTCGTGCTGAAATTTCGTCGGAGATCAACCCGTTGGGGCTGATGGTACTTCCCAAGTAATTGAAGCGGTCAACATGTTCTACCACTTCACTTCCTATTTCTAATCTAGGGGTCGGTGTAGTTCAATCCTGTAACATCATCTTGCATTTTACAGGGGCGAATCGCATGCCAAACATACGAAGATTGTTGCTCAAGGTGTTCAGAAGACTCTGCATTTTGTCAGAGTCCTCGCCTAGAAGGACTATATCGTCCGCATATTCTAAATCAACGAGATTCTTCCCTGGTAGCAAGTCAATCCCTGAGTCGCTGAAGTGTGTTAGGGTTAAGTCCATTAGTACGTCTATGATGAAGTTGAATAGAAATGGGGATAATGGGCATCCTTGACGGACGCCACTAGTCGTCACCACTTCAGATGACAACTCGCCATAAGCCCTCACCTGGCTGCATGAGTACGAGTAGAGTGCCTTGATCAGTGTAATGTATTTTCTCGGCATTCCCTCTACAGCCAAGCATCGCCAGAGAACCTCTCGGTCGACAAAATCGAATGCCGCCTTTATGTCAAGAAATATAATGATTGTTGGACGCCGGTAGGAATGCCTATGTTCTAAAATCTGTCGGAGGGTGAAGATATGATTATTACACCCTTGTCCTGGCCTAAAGCCTGCCTGGTTTTCTCGTGTTTGTGCCGCCCGAGCACCACTTAGTCTATGCATGATTATTGAGCCTAGGACTTTAGATACTATATTAGTCAAGCTAATCCCTCTGTGATTATCACAAGAAGACTTGTCTCCCGTCTTGTATATCGGGATGATATACAAGAATAAATACAATTCAGTTAAATATGAATTGCCTGATTGAAAACTTTAACACTGAACATATGTTTGTTATAAATTTCTATTAATTCTTACTTGTACACCTTGATTTAATCCACATGAAAGAATAAGATTATGATGAAATGCACTCCAATCGACTGAGTAAATTGGACCAACTTGACGAGCTAATGAAAATTTTACCGGTGATTGTATATACTCGTTTACAGATTCTTCTAGAATAGAAATAAATAATGGTGGTTAAAGTATTTTATAGAAGAATAATTCAATTATATATCTACATGAAAACTTTTGGTCATAACTATTAAATGGTAGATCTATATGCTGGTTAGTAATTCTGATGATTTCCAAGCGTTGATTTGTATGAATTTGATTGATTTAAAGTTTGATCACACAGGGACTTCACTTAAAGAATCACTGCAAACCATGACAGAGTTCTGGACAGCTATTTCATTCAATTTTAGGACTTGTCACAGTACAAACCCACTGGGTTTCGAACCCAGGATTTTCCGATTACAAAGCAAGCTAGTAGACCATTCAGCCACTGGGACCCAACCTAATGGTCGATGAATTCTAGCTTCTACAACTTTAGGATTTTAGCACAACTGGCACCAGCCTATGTCACCACTCCCGACCAGGTGGACGTCACTGGTTTTCAGAGGTTCTGTAACTGACATCGACCCGTGATCAAACTTAAGCCAAATCAAATCGCCCGATTTAAATTGCATCTTACAAGAGTTTAACAACTGCCACCCTTCATTTAATCAAAGATTCCATCTGTGGACGTTGAATCGACAAAAAGAGATGATGGAAGTCTGAAAAGATCTATCCACAGAAAACTATCATGGAATGACCGACTGACAAACCTCTATAGTTAGATACCTGTCAGTAGGAAAACAGCTCTAACCACCTCACTGGCCCACCATATCAGGAGAATTCGCAACATTGCTTAGAAGAAGAGCTATTATCTTCCAAAAATATCCTGGCTCAAAATGGATATAAAACAAGCAATAAAGGTTTATTTAAGTGATGTAATTGAAGTGCAATGCAATTTATCTTAATTTTGATCTCTCATACTCTCTCTCTCCTTATCTATTTGAACATGACCTGGAAAAACATTCGCACCTGTCTTTCTGCATGACTAATTCAATGTAGTTTGTTTGCTTATCAGTCGTATATCTCCAAGTGTAATTTCAAAAGAATATATATCCGTGTATGTAGGGTATTCAGCTGACGAGTTCTACCGAAATTTGATGAATTCATTAAATCTGCTTTATTAACCTTTATTGCTTGTTTTAAATTCGTATCGGGAAATAAATGTTTCCAATTCAAAATGGATACCTGATATCTTTCGTGGAGTGGAACTTGAGACCAAAGCCAAAAGGACAAAAATGCACTTCAGTACCAAAGAAACTGCTGTATATGAATCCAGAATTCATGGGAGGCTTGCAGGTAGATATCCAGAAGAGGGGAATCCCCAGTTCCCTGAAGAAGACATTCCCTGAAGCAACTGTGAGAATGGTATTCTCTAGCCACCCCCTGATTCTTAGCAATGTGAAGGACAAAGGTACATACTTGACCATTCCACTGTGCATATATCGATTGATCTGCTCCCGACGAGCTGGGCAAGCAGGAAATTGCATATTCATCCTTTCAAAACATGTTATAAAACAATACCCAACATGGTAGCAAATAGCAGCCACTGGTCCAATCAAAAGTTCCATAAGTGAACACTTCGTCAGCATGCCTGTCACAGTATCTCAAGTGACTCATCATTTACAAAGTAACCAAATATCTGTCAAAGGCAATGTGTTTTCGACTCCCGTGTACTTCAACGAAAAGCAAGAGCTAATTGTTCAAAAGAAACTAGTCTCATCACTGCATTTACCATGCATCGACTTCATTGTGAGTTCATAGTTTTCGCTTTTTGTTTTCTCATTCCCTTCGTGTTGCTTTTTTTTCGTCTTCACCTGTAAAAACTATAATTTCAATTTGTTTCTATGCTTATCCTGTTCACATCTGTCTTCGTTAAGAACTATTTTATATATTGCACGACTATTTTCTAATCCTGTGTAATTTTGTTTCTAATTCCCGTATAATCTAAATTCAAACCTTCGAACTTTCATATCAAGTTGAAAATTATTATCGCCTTTATTCGCCTTAGTTATTATGTGGAATTAAGTAGTAATTGTACCCATATAAACGCATCAATATAAGTGCGGTCGTACAGCTTCTTTTGCGAATAAAATCGACGAAAAGGTATTCTGTTGAACCTCTTTTTCTTATCTCTCTAATGTCCTGATGGGTATTTTCCAAAACTGGCTAAATTAAGTTAAAGCAATCAGCCTTAAAACTTTTTGATGTAAATTTGGAAAACAATGGCAATTCTGACTGGACACTAATAACTAGTGTGATGTGTCTAGTCCTTTATCTGGTGCAGATTGAATTCTATCAGTCAAGTTTGCATTGTGGCCACCGTTCCAGGTAGCTCGTCATCACGGTTCACATTGATTTGATGATATCAGATGGTTGGAGGCGTCAGGAAGCAACGCCTGACCATGGTTTTGTGCTTGTCGGCACTCACCAGTCAGCAAGGCGTATCTGCAACCTTGAACGAACTCATGTCCCTTCTAAGATTCAAACCATTTCAACCAGTGCTACAGTCAGTCAGAGACGTTACCACTCAGCTATTCGGGATAATCGCGAGCCCTTATAGCTCAGTGGTAACGTCTGTGACTGACTGCAGCATTCGGTTATGCGGGTTCGAACTTCAGAAGGGATATGAGTTCTTTCGAGGTTGCAGATACGCCTTGCTGACTGGTGACAGGCACATAGCATGAAACCTAGGTCAGTCGTTGTTTCCTGCCAATTGGCTCCAACCATCTGATATCATTAAAAGCAGTTCACTGAAATATTGCATTTATATTATCCTAAGTGGCTTTACAGTCAAATATACCATTTGTAAATCACACAATTCGTGTTGAAAATTCAACTTTGATTTCTTGAATAAATGTAAAAGTATTACAGATCAGAATGCGATCTTCTTGCTGCCATGGATGGTAACCAAGAAAGAGAGGTAAATAAGTAGGCAACATGTGCTACCGATCGATTTGAATCGTTGGAAATTACTGATGTATACTAGTAGTGTTTGCTGGCCAAAGTGAATTGGTCGCAACTCCGGGTGGTTTTTTCTATCATTTAGGTAGACATGAGTGGTTTCCAGTTGATCCAATCAGCGAGCATCGAAACAGTAAAGAATTTCAATGATGCAGAAGTCAACATCCAAGGAAAGGTTACAAAATCAAACGTAACTATGTATTTATAAATTTTCTTCTATTAATCGTCTACATTTGGAATGATCTAACGATTTAAAAGTTTCCAAGTAATCATTTGAAATCAAGTGATAGGTGGATCACGGAAATTTGACATCTAAATAAGGTAGTGGCATTTTAGTTAAGATATTGTTGAATAAATTCCTCCAAAAGCTGTGAATCTGAAAGAAAATCCCCAATATTCTTCAATATTTTCATTCTCAAATTAGATGATCATTTATGTAATGTGACTTTCCTAAAATAACGCTTCAATTTTTGTACAAAGTAGTATATAATCCATGCAATGTGAAGAACTTCTATGAGATGTTTGTCATTTTCAATATGAAACAGTTTTTACAGTGTTCCCAAGAAGGACGTAAAGATGAAATTAACCTGACAGACAAGATAGAAGCATGAACTGATGTACACTCCTTCAAGTTATGAAATACAACGAAAATGTAGAACATATAATTCAACAAAGAACTTCCACTATACTACGACAAGGATTAACGAAAAATGGAACCTTGAAAATATTTAGAACTCAATGTATCTGTTAAACCTTAACAGTTTTTCAACTATTTTCAATAGAATTAAACCATTAATTATTGAGGAAACGTTTCTAACACTTCGAGGATTTCAACAACTCTATCTACACAGTTGACACTATATTTTTAAATTTTGATTATAGCTTGAAACCACACACTGTTTTTGGTACAAGTATGGAATTTTCAGCATGTGATATCGGTAGCCCGAATTCTGCAGGCCGACCAATGATATCAGGTGTGCGCCGGCATGGGATCGAAGCCCGGACCATGTGCATCATCGGCTAGAGTCTTAACCGCTTTACCACCGACGCACTATGAGCTGAAGGAATGGTACTCACTAATATTAATATCAGTAATAATGTGTAAAGAAATTATCTGAGATGATATCCTATCAACTTACTGTCAGTTCCATTCCAGTTAACAGAATCCATTTCACATATTAGTAAACCTCCAACTTCAGTGCCCACAATAAATTTATCTGGATTATTTTTGGATATAGAAAGACAAGTAATATTCACAGATCTTTCATTATTTAAATCTGATAAATTTGATCGAAGAGTTGAATGATTCAGTGAATTCGAGTAACTGTACACTGGTAGAGAAGTTTGATCTTTATTTCTTATCTGAAAACTGAAGGTATATAAAAGCATAAACATTCACTAAATAATTAAATCAAATGTTAGTATTATATGTGTTTTCATTCATAGTTTTTTTTGAATGGAATGTAACCAGCCCCCTTAGTCAAGAAAGCTTTCCGAAGGATTGCAGAACCATCCTTCCATCAGAAAAATCTACTGTGCTGCCAATTTGCAGAAGTGAGGAGAGGTAGGTTACTAGTGGAACGTTTTGTCTGATTCATGGTATTTACTGGAAATTTGTAAGTTCTCTGGGTAGTTTTCTAAACCTAGCACTGGCAACTTATATTAGGATTTGTTTAAACTCACTCCGAATTTCACCAATGAAAACAGTCAAACGTTATGTGGCTTATAGTTACATAGTACGTTTGATATATGTTTACATGTAATTCTGATTAGCACTGAGACAGTTTATCTGACATTTAACAACTTAGAAGTGATAGAATTAGATGGAGTTTAATAATTGGAAACATTTGTCCTTTTATAATAGTATGATAAGAATTCGTGAAAATTGTCTTTTTACAAAATGGAATCATAACGTTCTTTGTCATAACTCGATTCCACACAGTATTTTGGTACAGCTACAGAATTTGCAGCATGGGATATCGATAGCCCAAATTTAGCAGGCCAACCATTGATATCAGGCGTGGGTCGGTTGGGTATCAAACCTGGGACTGTGTGCATGGTCGGCGAGTGTCCTGACTGCTGTGAAATTCTGAACAAATGAATTGCTTGAGTTTACTTTAACAAGGATTGATGACAAATATTCTGAGATTTTATAAATGGATTGCAGTTTCAAACTGATAATTAAGATCCAATGACTAGAAGAACTTTCTCACTCAGAAAGTTTTGCTACAAACAATTCAATAATAGATGAATTATATTCTTTAAAAACAAAGCAAATTATGGATTTTTGAATAGTTAAGAGTGGTGTGGCGTCTGATATTGATAAGATTTATCAATACAATATGAAGAGACGTTCACTGGAATAAAAATACAAAATAGCAGAGAGATGGACTTGACTTCAAAGAGAGGCAATGAACCAGCGTTGCGGCAAAACATTGGAGACACGGAAGGAAGACAAAGAAACACATTACGAAGAGCAGAAATAGCCGAACACAGAAGGTCTGTGAAAATGGCGATTTTCAAATAAAGTGTACATAATTTCCCCATATAAACAGACGAAAAATCCAAATAAACATTCCTTTACTTAGTCTGTCGTCTTCCACTGTTACAATCGGTGTCGCTGCCTCCAGACAACGAAGATTCCATGGTCAGCTGCTTTGGAAGAAGTTGAAATACGGAGCTTCTTGTGGGACTTCAATGCCGTTGCTGAGTTGCTGGGCATCAAGGATCTAGCGGCAAAGCCATTTGTGCTGGGAACTCTGCTAAGAGGTCGAGCGAACGCGGCGTAAGACAGTGCGGAACAGTCAGGCAAGAAAGAGACCTGGAAGTTATTGGTTGGAGGACTGGTAGCAGATTTTGACAGCCCAACAGATAGGCAGCTGGTGATGCAGCAGTTCCCTGCCACGAAGCTAGGACCTGACAGAGACCCGTTAGTTTTGGTGGTGAAGCTAAATAATCTGCTACTTCGCGCACTTACCACACTGGACGGAGAGTCGGAGTCGCAGTTATTGACTTTCAAGTTTATCGACAGTGTTCCAGACCACATTTCTCAGCAGCTACAACTCATTAAATCTGAAAAACCTATGGATATTGGTGAGCTAGAAAGAGTGTCCAGACAGCTGTTGAGCACAATGATAGTTGCAGTAGAGCCACCAAAATCGTCATTTGCACACACCTTCTGTGTTCTGCTATTTCTGCCCTTCCTTCGTATTGTATTTCTTAGTATTCTTTCCGTGTCTCCCATGTTTTGCCGCAACGCTGGTTCATTTTCTCCTTTAGACGTCTAACCCATCTCTCCGCTATTTGGTATTTTTGTTCCACTGAACGTCTGTTCATATACTACTTATACATCTTATCAGTAACACAAGTCTTACAAGTAACTAGCCACAAATAGCGTGTTTTGAACTGGTTCAGCTCCCTGAGCTAAGTCAGACCGAGAAAACCGATGATGATCTCAATTCCGAACGAGTGGAACGACAGTTTAGTGCTTAGATCTCTTTGATAATCTTGTTAGGAAGCACTACTGCTTGATATGAGTGGCTTACAACCAACTACTCACCTAAATTAATCAATAATATTTAGTTTTACGCATTTACGTTTGGTTTCTTCATTGCCATTTATGGTGTTAAGTAAATTTCATGCCTTAAACTGTGTACACTGAAAATTGTTAACTAATTTGTGAATCGTGTCTCTAATTGAATTTTTGAGTGGATATTATTTCAATTGAAGTTTAATCCTATACAATCTTCACATAACCAGATGTTACATAGATTTTCGAATAATCTGTAATATCTTATCCAAAAGAATGGTTTATGAACAAAGAATATTCTTTTCGATGACGTCTTCATCATCAGACTCTACATTTATATATACATAATAGTGAATGAATCAGTGTTATTAACAACATCAAAGTTGTTTAAATAACGTCCAATCAATAATAATAGTGTCAATGGATTACAGTTCAATAGCATCACTAGGACAAACAATACACTGAATAGCAGAGAAATTAGGAAAAATAATAATGCAAATTCATGGATTTATAGCCTTTATTGTAGGCCGGTCAGGGTAATAGTAGTGGCTGGACTTGCTTCTTCTGCACACAGAGCACCGGTTGTTTCACGGGAGTCGTGATAGACTCTGCTTTTGCAGTAGGTGGGAAGCATCAATAGCTTGGTATTGGAACACCTGGTCCTTCTGTATCATCTACTGGGTCCCAAACAAATTGCCAAAAACATCCAGGTACCTCATGCTTCAAAACAGCAGAGTCTATCACGATTCGCGTGAAACAAACGGTGTTCTGTGTGCAGAAGAAGCAAGTCCAGCCAATACTACTCCCCTGGCCGGCCTTCAGTAGAGACTATAAATTCATAAATTTGTACTATTACTCTTAATTCGCCTGTCTGATTTTCAGTGTATTGTTTGTTATGTTGATGTTATTGAACTGTAATCCATTGATATTATTATTATTATTGATTCAATGTCATTTAAACAACATTAATGTTGTTAATAAAACTAATTCATTCACTGTTATGTGTGTAGAACTGTAGAACCTGATGATGAAGTTATCGAAAAGAATATTCTCTGTTCATTAACCAGTCTTATAAAAATTTTAATGGACATTTTTTAGTCAGTTTTTTATTCCAATTGAATAATATGTAAAATTCATTTGTATGGATATAAAAATAAATGCACCCAAGTGTACACACGAGGCAATCAAAAATAGAATAGAATTAAATTTTGAAAAATTCTCCTAGTATCCTTTTCAGTGACATCCATTTAATCTACATCTATTGGTTGCAATGAAGGCGGTTAGTGTAAGTACAAGTGATCACTGGACAAAATTCCTTGTCCTTGTCATATGCACAATGACCATTAGGTGCCATGACTGTAGTAAAATAATTGATCTGATAATCACTCTATGAACAGTATATTTATATTATTGTTACTTGAATTATTTGGTGGATGATGATTAAAATAGAGAACCAAGATATGCATTTCGTCCTGTTTGGGACTCGTCACCTGGATGTTCGTGTATTCCCCGGTGAATGGTGATGTTCCCACTGAGGATTATAACCAGTACCCATAGTTGCATACCCCAAAGCTTTATCCACTAGACCACTTGGACTACGAGAGCCACATCCAGATGACGAGTCTCAAATAGGACGAAATAAGCATCCTGGATTCCACTGCTAGCTACCATCCACCGAATTACTTAAAGTTAGATCCTAAGAAATTGTCGTATCATCCGCACAAGGAGCCAGCATGTTGGCAGAGGCCAAGCACTTCGTTCCATTCAATCAGTCGGAAAGTCCAAATTGAATTATATATTGTTGCTTATTTGAATATTTCAGTCACCACCCTTCTCCTCTAAAAACGGTACATCATTCTCCTAGCATTAGCATATCTCCTTTGTACTTAGTTTTTATTGTTCGTCTTTTTTTGTTTGATCCTGATTTCCAATGCTTCTCTTTGTTGTTGTGTTGTTCAACGACTGCGTTTTTATTTGAGTGAAGTTAAGGTTACTCTATGGAGTGGTAGCTCAACTTTGGACTGTCTGCAAGAAATGTGTTTGTTGTGTTTAATTCTCGCAGATAGAGCTTCCATCCAACCCTATTAGGAGTGTTCTTGCTAATTTTCAAGCTATTCATAATTGTTTCAGGATTTCATCATGAGCTGACATTGGTTAAAGAACCATGGGAATACCTAGGAGTACTGAAAGCCGTTTCGTCCTGGTTCCGGACCCTTCAGATGTACCCAATCATTGCCACGGTTCGAACCAAAGACCTTCTGGTTACAAGACAAGCTTGTGGACCATTCAGCCGCTGGAACACAATCCAGTGGAATGTGGATTTTAATTTCTACTAGTTTTTGTTTTAAGGCGACCAGTAGCCAATGTCGTCAGCAAATATCCGTCCTCACACTCGACCTGCCGTACTTCACTGGTACCAAACTAAGATGAAGCAGCTGCCCAGTACTTTGAGGTTTTCCAATGGTTCTCTAACCCATGTCAGTTCATGATGAAATCCTGAAACTGATGAAATCCCTGCAAACCAACACTTGAATTTATGACTGTATTCGATCAACTGATTTCGTTGTACAGTACGAATTTTTTACCTAAGTAACTTTCCGTATTGTGTAACTACCGGACAGCATTGTTGAGGTAGTCGTGTATCTGTTGTATAGTATCACAGATTCTATCCGTTAGATTGTGTTTTTGGATATTACTGGAATAATTATGAACCATGTGTGTGACTCGCAGAAGTTTAGTGAGCCATCCAGAAGAATGCATCAAATAATTCCTGAGTTCAGACCAAAGTACTTGAATTTTGGTCGTCACAATGACTGAGTAAGTATAAAGATACGTGAGTAATTATTTAAGACCTGAAAGTAAAGTCAAAGATAGGATTCATATCGAAATACTGGGATTTTTATCAATTACCCTTTTTTTATTCCTTTACGTTCCCAGTGGAACATAGGGCTTCAAGCTAGAGACTTGAAGTTTCAGTAGCAGTGGTGATTTTATGTTTACGGGATGGGGTTGATAGCCAGCCTCATGCCCAACCTTCCCTCTTTATCAGTCTTGCTACTGGCTTAGCGAGCCAGGTAAAGGAGTGCGTCAGTGGCCGGGGAACGAACCCCGTACCCCATACGTAAACAAAAATAAAATGCAACAGAAGGCTTGTTGAACTAGTTAGTGGCTTACATTTTAATACAATTTACTTTTTCTGGAGGATGCAGATCAATCTGCCAACATATAATTCTACCATCACTACCAGCTGTAAGTAGTCGATAACTTTTGATGTGAATATTTTTCATATTGTTTAAGCTTAAACTTTGAAAATCTGATTGTAGGTAGTTTGATATCCATTCAATTTGATTAATACAATCTTTATGACCGATTGGTGTAGTACCTTCAGTGTTAGTTAGCATATAATCATTTCCACGTGAAAGATCCCAGATCACTATATTACCTAAAATAGATAGAAAGATGATATAACCAACTGACAATATTGAAATATATTTTATTCTTGTGTGTGACACATATTTACAACACAAAATAAGTATAGTCTGAAGTGTCTCACAATGAATTGTATATAAAACTCAATAATTCCAGTTAACTAGGACTTAATTGCCTTTTGTTATTGTTCTGTTATTTAGGCTGGAAGGTTTTTTTAGAGGCTGACGGTATTGACGTTCACGGATAGTACGAAGTATACAAACGCAAGATCTAATACCCACAACTTCTATACTATCCGTCCCATGTAGATCGAAGGTAAAGCTAAACACGGTATTTGATTGTCCAAATCACGAAGTATATTTCGGGACCAAATTGGAGTGCGACATGATTGCTTAGCTGGCTAGTGATCGTGCACGAACGTGACACGATGGAGTACCAAATGGCGTGGATGCTTGACCGGAAGCCTTCAGCTAAACAAGTCGACTTAAACAGTGAGGATTAGCATCCAATATTCAGTGATGATTGCTGTGGCCAATAATTTTGGGGAATTATTTACCGCTACAGGTTCAGTTGCGAAACGTAACTGCGTAGTTGTTAGCTCATAAACTGTTGTCTAGAAGAACATAGAAAGTTTCGCAAGTAGGTGATCTAGTTGTCAGGAAATAAAACGACACCTCTTTCACTTATCTAATAAGCACTGTTTCAAATACAGCCAGGAGAGAATAAGGTTGAAAGAGGGGGATGAATCTTTATTATTCCGAAAGCAATGTGTAAATCTACTGCACTTAGCATAATGATAAAGCTTCACATTTTCAGCAGTGATGTCACATTATTTCGTCTATACAGTTCAGAGACTTGATGAGTCAGCGAAAGCATTTCTAACACCTTGCTTCAGACTTTCATCAACAGCTACCTTTGCTGCTTCGATAGTGAAGAACAGAGAGCCGATTGGGCAAAGTTAGACTTCAAGCACCACTAACTACCAATCAGCGAATGACTTCGAACGCACCGATCACGTGAAGAAGGCATTTTTGAATATGAAATATATATATTTATGAAATAATGCATAAAAACTGTAGAAAGTATTACAGAGGATATCTTTCTCTCACATACGATAAAAGTAGGCCTCAGTTTTATGTTGGAGAGAGTATAACTCCATTGTGGGTAAAATTTATTTTGATAAAGTCTCACAGTAATATTTACTGAGCAATAAATTGTGCTCGAAACCTGGTCATCAGTAAATATTACTATATAACACTGTGAGACTTTGTCAAAATAAATATTACTCATAATGGAATAGTACTCTACTACAGTGCACAAGTTCTATTCTTAAATCAATAGAGTAATTTAGCCACTTTTTATGCATGTAATTATTTAGGTCTTCTAAACCTAACAATAACCTGAATCTTTCCTAAACCTAACCCTAACGTTAAAATATTCCTAAACTAACTGTAATCCAACTCGAACCAACCCTAATGTCGCCTTTATTAGATTAACGCAACCCTAACTTATCCTCGGCTTAAAGAGTAACTTAATCCTTCTCAAACCTAAGCTGAAACTTGTCAGAAATCCCATTTAATAGCATCACACTTCGATGAGCATATTTTATTGATGATGACAACATTATTTGTCAGGTTTCACTGACTTGCTCAATCAGTGAGCTTTTCAATGTCATTGGTGCTGCCGCACTCCATTGGTATTTAGTGGTGCTTGAAGTTTAACTTGGCCGCCAATTGAAAAGGATAAGCAACAAGGAACACTGAAAATGAACAGATAATGGAATTATACTCTACCACAGTGCACAAGTTCTACTCTTATATCAAAAACAACTCGTATTTATCACAAACAGCACACTGCCACGATATACTATGTGAACACTATGATAATTTTGTTGATCAATTCAGAAACGTAAACGTTTCCATGACTACTCAAAACAGTGAGCTCTTAAATTCTGGAAAATTAAATAAGTTGTTATATCACACACATATACTAACCTGTATATGTTCCACCAGCTAACAAAGATGGAATTGTTGGATGACATTTTATACACATTAAACAACTATTCGTTGTATATTTGTGCTTAGGATTATTCAACTCCAGTGTACTACTTGTCACATTCCAAAGTGCTGCATAACCAACATGTGTACACCAGTCAGTATGACATATTGATCCATAACTAAAATGTGTATTTAATGTTAAGGTTTTCAATGCTAGACAACATATGATAAGATTCACTGATGGATGCCTAAAGGAAAAAGAATCTAAACCTCAGAAGTAGTAAGATCATCGGTCACTTGACAGCAGCTGACTAGTTTAGTGATTGGAGTTCTATCAACAATAAGATCTTGACTTTAATACTGCTAACTGTCCATTAAATAATGTGTACGATATAAACCTATCGTATAAAGGATTACTTTTGAGATAAGAAGCTTGTAGGTACCGTCTGAGGAGTAAGGCTTCTTCCAGAATCACAAAAGAATCATAAACATTTGTGATAAAATTAAATTGAACCGTATCATTGAACCACTTAGCTTATTTAAATAGATTGCGCTCTTGGCAAACAGGTTTCAATCAAACTGTTGTTGATTGTTGTAAAACCTGATTTATTAACAAGTAATACCCACAAATTAATAAACAACATCTATGGGGACATTCACTATGAGAGAAGAATAAGACAACGGAATTCCATTTTAAGACGACTAAATCAAGCGAACTAAAGCGGAAACCTGAGAAACCCAAGTACATAGAAAATCAACTCATACAGAGATCAAATACTCAACTATAATAATAGCAAGAACCCAATGATTCACAAAAGAAACTGTGTGCAGACATTGTTAGAAAGAGTCCAAATACACTGTCGCATTCCGATGCTGAAGAGAATGAAAGAGAGAAACACTTGCTAACTGTCTTCAAGAAGAATGAATATCCATACAATTTATCAAAAAGTGTTTAAACTTAAGTCGCAACACCCTTGAAGAAACCATCATCAAAGACCACAAGAAAATTGACTCTGCCACACATAAAGAATATCTCTGAAAGAGCAGTTAGAATACTAAAACCGTTTGAAGTAAGCATAACACACAAGCCAAGCAACAGAACTGTTTCATTCGATATTGTGCAAACCAAAAGATCCAATAGGAAAAGATAAGATTAATATCATTTACAAAATAAGTCACATGAACAACGAGAAACATCACGTTGGTCGAAATGGGCGTCCCCTCCGAATCTGACTCTAAGAACCTAAATTAACTGTGAAGAGACACGATATGCATTCGTTCATATCGATGCATGTAAATAGTTACGGGCACCAGTTTGATTGGGAAAATGTAGAAATCTTAAATGGAGGAAACACCAAAAATGCCAGGGGATTTCTAGGAGCCTGATAATCAGAAGAATCAGCGAGTAACAGGCATATTAACATAGACCACATTTACCAACTAATAAAAAGAAATTTCAACAGGGATGTAGATTAATAACCAACCACGACAACAGTTGTCAGGAGATACAACCATATCATTCATGAAGAATTCAAATAAGTTCATTTCATACTAAAACCTGCGCTGAATATGTTGTCTAGAAGGATAACGAGAGCTCAGCAACTAATTTAACCAGCTCACAGAACACAACTAAATTAAAATAATCCATCTGAGCTATAAATCTCCATTAAGAAAACCTAAAGCCAGTACACAAGTGATTCAATAGCAGAATGCTCGCAGATACACATGACTTCTGGGTTCGATTTCAGGCCGACTAACTTTTAAACTTGCAGAGAAAAATTTGGGCGTGATGCCAGCAACATCACCACATAAACACAACACAAATGCTATTGAATCTTCAAAACTTAAAGCCCAGCGTTCCACTCAGAACGTACTACGGATGCTTTCACAACTTAAATGGTTGGAATACAAAATTTAATTACTATCTTTTTAGTATTATAAGAAATTTCCTTTACCACTCTTAACTAAAATTATTAATTACTCAAAGCAAAATAAAGGATACGATATTGCCAGCAATGCTCCAGTTGAATTCCATGATAGTCCTGTAACAGATAACTATATATTTCACATGTAGGGTTATCTAAATGAAAACAAACCCTACCTTGTCCTCTTTAGCGTTATCCAGTATTAGCGTATACTTTTCCAACGCATCAACCCTATTAAATATTTTTCTTGACTCCAGTCGTTTAAATGCCTTAGAGGTTATATTGTTTTCTATTTCTTTTGTTATGATTGGTTCGACGCGTTTCAGGAAGTTAATTAATTTTGTTTCTTTCTCACGCTGATTTGTAGAGTCGTTTTTATTGTCAGTATTGTTTAATTCTTCATCTTGATGAAGCCAGTCTGTTTGAATCTAAGCAAATACAAGTGTTAATTAAGTATTTTTATAATTAGAAAATAGTTACCTCTTGAGTTTTATACCTTTTCGACTGTGTACCACGATGATAAATCTTGTATGGATCACTCTGCATTTGCGCTTCAACAAAGGATCTATAATAGAAAATTCCAGTGAATGCAAAACAATCTATACAACTACTATAAAACAGCTATGCACTTTCAAGAGTTTGTTTGTAGGGATTCGATTTTTTAGTAGCTTGAATATGCCCATTGAGTCATATGAAAAAGAGAAGACATTCAGCGAAGAGACTCTTTTCGGCGAATTCATTCACATAGCTGTACAATCGCATTTATGTATAATTATTTGTGTGTGCACATGAGATTTGTCAAGTTTAGATAATTGATCAGGTAATACAAGAATGATCTAATATAGAAACAAGGTTTTGATTTAAATGGCTACTGGTCTGACATTTCCTGGCTAATTTTGACCAAAAACAAACCATTAATGCATTTCCTTGAACCCTTTTAACTCACTTCTTAAAAGTAAATTGACGTAGGCACAGATAACATAACTGGCCGAAAAGAAACATTTGAATTGATATATGACCAACTGAGGTATTCTCTATTCAATTTTCTAAATAACAGCTGAACCTGTAGAAAGCACTGTATGTTACTGAATTGTATTAAAATTGTTATAAGTAGATGTTGGTGACTGGCAAATTAAACTTTCCCTCGGCGTCTCATCTAAGTTCCTCTTGAATTGCAGTTGATCTCATCTTCTTAGGTGAAAGTCGTCCTGCGATTTTAAATACTTCTTCACTGTTCATCCGTACTTTGTTGTTATACTTCTTGTCTTTCTACTCCACCTTTACCAATTAAATGTCGTCTTAATACCTTATTTCGGAGACTGTGTACTTTTCTGTTGTTATTTATTTTTAATGACTAACACGCCATCATAAAAATTTGACTGAATTTTCAGTCGGTGCCTGTAGTACTTTATGGACAAGGCGGTCTCCTACACAACGAATATATTTTTCCTCAGACTAACTAGAAGTTGTAATTAAGTATTCAGCGTATTTGTTTTCCTCCAGCTTACGACAAACTACACTTATTATGTGATAATTTCATCACCGATCACAAACTGACTTCAGTTATAAAATCACTAGAGAATAGGAAGTACTGGACCGTTATTTCGTCCTACTTTGGGACTCTTTAGTAGTGCGTGCTCATGAACTTCCGATTACGAGTTGAGCTCGCAGACCATTCAGCAAGTGGTTTGAAGTCCAGCAATACTAACTCCTGCCAAGTCGTCATATGCAGCGCGACCACCGGACAATGTCATTGGCGAGTATTTGTGGCCATATTTAACTCGGTAGGGAGGAGAGTTTATCGGCATTTAGGTTCCGTACCAATGGCTGAATAATCTTTGAGTTCACCTCGCAACCTGAAGATCTTGGATTCGATCCATGGTGGGGTCATTAGCGCATACTACTGAAGGGCCATGAAATAGGACGAAATAGCTTTCTACTACTACTCGGTTTTTCAATGGTTCTCCAGCCGAAGTCATTTCGCGTTGAATCTTAAAATAAATTAATTCTCTGAAAATAAACACTTTGATAGATGCTCATACTTAAGACAACTGTCGGAATCTCCTGAGTGAAGACGAATTCGAAGCAGTGACTTCCTACCTGAAAATTGACTTTATAAACGAATGAGCAACAGAGTAATCAGACAGGATAATTTATTGACTTTATTTTAAACAATAAATTTAATTGCCGTCTATTACTTACAGCTAGAAACTCTCGGACAAACGAAGGTCGCATTTTACACAAGGTAAAAATGGGTCGATTTCTTAACGAATCGAGTGAAATTAAACAAGAAAATGACGGACAATAATATGCTAAAATATTTTAAGTGTTACACAACCATACAGTAATAAATTAAACTAACTCATAAAAGTGTAAATCACCCCTTGTCATAAGTAAGGGCTTACTTATTCCTTGAACTCTTTGATTCACATTTGATTCCACTAAGAACTTCATCTGTAAATTCAGTAATCATCATGTATTCTTGAAATGAAAAAAAGATATTATTAACTCATAGTCGGTAAATTTTACAGACTGGGTATAAAAATATTTTAGGCATACATTACATTAACGATATAAGCAACTTTAGTTGGAGGATTTCATCATGAGCTGACATCAGTTAGAGAACCACTGGAAAACTAGCAGGGAGTAATGGACAGCTGTTTCATCCTAGTTAGGGACTCTTCCCCAGTACGCACCCACTGACAGGTTTCGAACCCTGAACCCTCCGGTTACAAGGTGAGCTGTTAGACCATTAAGCCAATGGGACCCGATGATGAAATCCCCCCACCAATCAACCAAAATCCCTGCAAAACCAATAATCGATAAGCAGCTTTAGTTGAAAAATAGTATTATGAAGTTGTATTTATTATTCCTCGAATTCAGATACTGTTAGAAAGTTGATAAAAATCGCATCGTTTAATTACTATAACCAAAATTAGTCCATCACATTCACATGGGCAATGACCTCAAAGAAATTTAACACTATTTACATTGTGTTATCAGAAACTCCAGCGAAAAATTAACCAAAAGCGAAACAAATACACACAAGAAAATAGAGATGGATCGGATATACTTGTAGAGGTAGGTAATTTCTCAGAATTATTAGCCACAGCATTAATCACTGGCAGAAGGCTTCCGGCCAAACATCCACGCCATCTGGCACGCTGTCGTGTTACGTTCGTTCGTTAGTTCACAATCCCTAGCTAGTTAAGCAGTCATCCTTGCACTCTAATTTGGTGCCGAAATATTCTTCGTAATTTGGACGATCAGTTCAGTTGTTTTTGCTTTGCCTTTAGTCTACGCGGAATGAATACTATAGAAGTTGTAGGCATTAGATTTTGCGTTATTATGGATCGTACTATCGATGAACGTCAACACCCTCAGCCTCTAAATACTCTTTGGAGATTATTGAGGGACATCACACGATAGACCCTATAGTGGATCTCGAGTGAAAACGACAAGTTGAGTAAAATGTGAGATATGGAGGAGACAATTGGAAGAGGAAATGAAAGAATACAGTCAGTCATGCAGCCAGCTAAAAAGGACGATACAGAACAGAGCGAAATGGAGCTATGCTGCTGAATCCTTTTATCCTACTAAAAATTCATGGGATTAGCAATGATTTTATTATTGTGACATGGACGAAGATACTACATAATGCTGAGACTGAGACAGAAAGTTCTAAAGACAAAACATTAGTAATTTTATGAAGTTTACAGTTAAATAGCGTTATTGTTGTAGTGAAAAGTTTACAATTCTTCCACTACATGCAGTAAATTGATGTTGATATGATGTTTATATCGATTTCAATCCAAAGATATAAATAACACCAAAAGATAATATGTTTAATCATATAAAGGTGATTTTCTTTTGATTTACTGCTCTTTCTGTGTTACCTTTATTCACAAATATAAAGAGATGGACATCTGAATACTTTCAGCACCTATACATACCCTGAAACATTAGATCTATAACCTAAAGACATTTTAATTTGGGGAGTTTTTTATTAGATCAAATATTAATTACCGGTTTTGAAGTATTATTTATACTACTGAGATGTTGAAGACAAAGTTAAAGCATAAAGGTTTGGAAAAAGTACTTTACTATGAATGACGTTCATCATATTTTAGGGTTTATTACAAAATGCAAATCGCAGAATAGTAATAATTTACATCGTACATCAAAACTCAGAGGCATAGAATTTCAAGTTGTTATTACTGAAACCAGCAGCTTACATAAAGCTCTCTTATCGTTCATGGTACAGAAATACAAATGGGGTGGAAATACAAGTGATATATGTGTTTCGGGGACAGTAATTTAATGTGGACTACGGTGCACTTCTGGAGTACAGCAGATGACAAGTGGGTGTATATACTTATGCTACAGTGGTTGGCTTGAAGAAATCCCATCAGCGGTTTCTAAGTAATGTCTGTATGTCCCAAGTCAACTAAGCCAAACCGCGGTATGGAGCTTGAAACAGAAGTCACTGGTTTCATGGATTAGATTGCGGTGTTTTAACTACCTCAACCAATGAAACTTTTCCTGTCTAACTCTGCACTTCCGATTTCAGCATCATAACTACGTCAGTAAATTAATAAAAGCATCTTCAAAGAATCTTAATAAACTTCTTACTAATATATTTTAGTTGAACTGCTAATGAGGCCAAAAATTTTAGGCAACGATTAAAATATGGTACTAACAATAAGATTTTTACATTATCTTATATGATAAATGTGTCATTTCTAGTTTACCGTTAAGTGTTGCTCATTTCAACTAAATTTTAGTAGTGTCCTCAGTTATACTCAGTCTTGGCTACAATTAAGCAAGTTGAAAATTGCGAAAGTGGATTCCAGGAGTGATTCCTCAGAGTTTTCTTGATATCATCGTTACACTAAGCTTCAAGAAATGATATTTTCATCACTTCGAAGAAATAAAAATAGTTTGTTCAAAGATACTCTAAAAAATAAGCTTCTGGATCAAGGAACAATTATTTCAATGAACTCATAGTGACATCGCTTATATCTTATATGAATCAGTAAATAAGACTTAAATTAGGACCCTATGACTAGCTTTTTGTTCAGTTGTCTAATCAACCCTGTATTACCTAAAACTGACATTAATTATCATACAGTAACCAGAATTAAACGTGATAATCACGAGTTACAACATGTCACAATATTTGGAGCAAACAGTTTGGTTGTGACACAGGGGTGTAAGTACACGGCCATCAATTATCCAAATAAATCTCAGCAGCAAGAAACGATTATTATCTATGAAAAAACAGATGTGACTTTCTGCAAACAATTGTTGAGCGATATTCTCTCTTACTTTTATTACTAGTCACACACGTTGAGTGATATCACTAGCATCAAAGCAATTTAAGAACAGCGGATGTTATCGCAGAGTAACAATAGACCATAACCATAGTGAAAATTATGTTAAGGCGTTATTCTTCCTCTTTGTTCAGTAACATAATACGCAATGGTTAATTATTATTAGAGCCAACCTGTATTTGATAACAGTTGTCTTTTAACACTCGTGTCGGTCTCGTTCAGTGCAGAAACTAGGCTTCATGTTTGCCTCATATTTTCAGTCACACTTTTATGAGAAAACATTTTTTACCCTTCCATGGTTTAAGATCGCTCTGCTTAAGGGGTCAAATGGCTATATAAGATTCAGTTATGCTTACGACATTGTCTGTTTAACTATGTTACTCACTATTTTCAAAATGCATATCCATCTCTTGAGAAGTCCCTGAATTTTATTAATTATTTCGCACAAAACCTGGGCTGGGTAAACAAGACCAAATCCAAAGTTTACGTCTATGAGTGTTTCATGCAACCAGTAATTTTTGCAACACTTCTAAAACACTGCAACTAGTAGTTTGAACGTACGAATTTTGGTGTACACTTATGAGGCAAGCATAGTGTTGCAGCTGAAGTAAACAACCTACCAAATAAGCTTGAACGATCGGCTGGAATAGCCGTATGTCAATAAAAAGTATAATTCAGATAAATATGCTCAAGACAATCAGATTTAAACATCGTCATTCAGGCAATTCGGAGGTCGCTTGCATGTGTTGTGATATTTTATATTTGCCGTTACTGATTCATCCATTCAGGCTACCTAATAGTACTTCTCCATGTCTCGACTGGGTAACCACACCAAACAACATAGATTTTTGTATACTGATGCGGCATACTCACAGTATTCAATCTAGATCACATGATAATGTGTCCCCTTAACAATGGTTATTGGCTGTATATACAGACGTTGAAAGCACTGGAACAGCTCACTATGAGCTACCATATAAATTTCCCTTCAAAAAAGGTAATAAACATTGGCTGGTATAGGGAAACCAAGTTAAATCAGGAAAGCAGCTGTAGTCTAATTAAAATATACGTTTTCACAGACTCGAGTTAGGCCTAAATAAGCGAAAAAATATTTCTGAAAGACATATTTGAAGACTAATGTTTTCTGAGAGTTAGGCTTATTATAATGCAGAAATAATCTTGTATGACGACACATAAGCGTTTTACTGAGGGATGATTTTGTAAAATTGAAATTATTGGAAAGACAAACAGAAATCTTTGTGACACAATGAGAAATTCCTATTCTTTACCCTTCTTTCAATCACATTTTTGTAGTGTTTGTTTTCTTTTTCTAGCTGTCTTTGTTGTGGAATGCTAGAATTCTCTAGAAGTATAACACAATATTCCAAAAGTGTTGAGAAACACTTTACAAAGTTATCCCATTAGCACAAACTGAAGTATAATCTGTACTTCTAAGATTTCAGTGAGATATATTATGCAGACAATAGTTTTAAAAGACAACCATAATGCTTACAGTTCAGTAAGTCCACATTCAAATTGCGCAGTATGAACAAGGTTGTTGTTGTGACAACGCGGCACACTTTTTAAATGCATGACTTAAACGAATCTGTGTCCGACACATGCAAACTGCATCCACGGAATAAATTACCTTGTAATTGCTATTTTACATTCGCTTCATCCAATAAAATTATATCAGCGTGCCATCAGCAATAAGACTAGACTACCACTGATGGACGTCTCTTTCATGGAATCTATCCGTGGAAATCGTAGCCTGTGTGGTTGAGTATGGGTTAAATCACTTATGTGTTTTCAAGTTTCCAACAGAATAAAGTACCTCGATAACATACTAAGATCGGGAAATCCAAGTCGCAAGCAATAATGGATATCTTTAGGATTGAAACCGGCACCCTATTGCAGTTATGAATCACAGGTTGCCATAAATGTAGACAGTTTCCCTAGAGAGTAAATTATTTATACTCCACATCCTTCAGAGTTTACCTGGAAAATATCCTTAACCTACACTAGTCATTTCCTGAGCAAATTAAACTCCTCCGTATACTTTGTTAAGAAACATCTGCGTAAGTATTACAATGAAAATTAAGGGAGATTTGGATGGAGATTCAGAACAATTCAATCAATCCGT